GTATTCTGGGTGTAAAAAAATTATTATAAGATATATTTTTTATCGCTCACACTGGTGGACGAGCTCACACCCATTAGTCTTACATGTTTACCATGCCAATACACATTAATAAAATAATACAGCCCCCGATCTTGCAATATAAAACTCAATTTTATAGTACACAGCCTTACCCGTCAAATCCAAACACACTACTGCTTTACAACAGAAATAGGCAATAACTAACCATCTGTGCTCATAAGAAACCCTATCACAAGTACAATTCTAGAATTCTGAAGTGTGCCTATGTTGCTGTCTAGAAATGTGGCTATTTTATGTATAATAATATATATATTATTATGTATGTTCTACTTTAACACCTGCAATTAGTCGACAAGACTATAATCAGGTGAGTTGTGAGAGGTTATGATTTGGAGGGGCAAAGCCAATGCTCCATCTCACCTTATTAGAGTAGCTGTCGGCTCTCTTGAGTCTTCTAACCAGATTTGGATGCAGGAGTATACCGGTCAAGAGTTCTTATACTTGGCTGAGTATTGTTTAACTTCATGCAATATGGTACGGATTTCCAGGTACTCGTGGATTTTAAAATTTCGAATATATTTTAATGATATGCTCTGATTTTATGTTTCGCAAGTACAATTTTTTTCTGAGAGTTACTTTCATTAGCTTTATTTGGTCATAGTCAAAATTGATCTGAAATTGACCAGTGTCTATATTTTAAGGGGTTCCAACTAACCCGAACGACTACCGCTGTTTACCACACCATTAACCAGGAATAACTTGCTGGTGAAACTATCCGAAGTAATCAAGGCAATTGATCGTTCAAAATTTCCTTCAGTTTTTGGCGTATCGTAGACACGATTAAAACTACTTTCACGTTTTAATCTCCAGTTGATAATTTGTTAAAAAAATAGAAATACTTACAACTGATTGAAGTGAACTTTCAAAGGTTACGTTAATTAATATTTGGTTTTGAGAATGTAGTTTCAATATTTATGTCTACGTCACTATAACGATCTCTACAATAAAGTCGACCTTAGAGTTTGTATCCGTACCCTTCAATATTTTAATTTACCTGATTAATATTCGTGAATCAGTTTTTTGTTAAATCAAATTAACATAATACTTATACCTGCGTTATCATTAATCGTAATTCAGTGATAACTCTCCACTAAATTAAATCTATGGTGATAACTGATAGCATAATACGGTAGGACTTTTTGGCGGGAACGCGAGGAGTGAAGTTGTGTGATTTGTTTTATTTTGTCTATTTAGTGTTTCTTCGGGTTTAAATGTGTAATAATGGCGGTTTATTAACCGTTTAATATCTGTGAAAGTGCACAAATGTGGGAAAATGAAACAAAGCCGCTGGACGTAACTTCTCGGGATCCTCCAAAAAGTCCACTGAAAAATCTTAGTAAATGACCACCATTTCACTGAGATTATATTTCATCTCATATCATTTCATTTAATTTCATCCCAGTTGATTAATGTCTCAAATTAATCATCTTCATTTCATTTCACTCCATAATATAATTTTTCATAAAAATATGAATATAAATTAAAATAAGATATGACTTAAAGGTCTCAGTTACCAGGTCATAAAATCCCTTAAAAAAAAACTTATTACGGTACAATGTGGCTCTGTAAATTTGGCCCCCCTTTTTTATTTTTGGATATTTTTTATTTTTAGTTATTTGTTCGTCGTTTGTTCGTTAATGTTCAAATGTAAAAATTGTTTGTTCGTCTTTTATTTATTTATAATTAACTAAACAAATGATCACCGTTAGGTGAGCCCGGTGAGTAAGATCAGAGTGTTCACCACAGATAACCTTATCTGTGGTGTTCACTATCCAAAAATCACTATGGTTTTGTACAGGGCTTATCTACCACCGACCCTATGTTTGCTCTAAATACGATCGCTGAGGAGTATCGTGCCAAACTTCGGCCATTGTATGTCGCATTCTTAGACATGGAAAAAGCATTTGACCGTGTGCCAAGAGATATGATCTGGTGGAGCCTTCGCAAGAAGAATGTACCCGAGCATTATGTTAACGTCATAATTGACATGTACAGGGATGCGAGGTCAATGGTACGGACAGTAGTGGGTCAGACAAAACCAATAGCAGTTGCAGAAGGTCTGCATCAAGGTTCAGTACTGAGTCCCTTTCTGTTCGGCATGGTTATAGACTCACTCACTGAGGTGGCGCAGTCCTCAGCCTCGTGGACTTTCATCTATGCAGAGGACGTTGCTATCTGTACCGAGAGCCGCACAGAGCTACGAGAGGCACTCCTGTTGTGGAAACAGCAGTTACAGGCCGGTGGCCTAATATTGAGTGTTGCAAAGACACATTACATGTCTTTTAATGACCCAGATCCTGATGACAACAGTCCGATTTCCATTGACGGTCAACTTGTAAACATGTGCGATCAATACAAGTATCTGGGTAGTATGATGCACAGATCTGGAAATTGAAAATGCAACATTCAACACCGAATAGCCGCAGCGTGGCTAAAATGGCGAGAAGTAAGTGGTGTCACCTGCAATAGGAGGATGCCCGTTAAGCTCAAGGGTATGATCTATAAGACCATAATAAGGCCTGTTCTTATATATGGCAGCGAAACAATGGCAAGGTTTTGGTGTAGTGGGGGTAATGTCGCGCATAGTGCACATTGCAACAAAAAATTGTCACTTTTATTGCCCGCATATAATTTAATTTAATTTTTTATTTGCCATAATTTGTTTTTAAGCCTGTGTGTTTAGAAGAAAGTTAAAGAAAAGAGACGAATTCGTGAAGAGTATTAGGTGTTATAAATAAAATATTTTGTGTCGTCCAGCTGGAGCACTGGGTATGAATACTCCAGAGGGTCCCACAAACAAGTTCGAAAAGGAATGGTAGCGAGCGAGGTGCGGACGTATTCTCGTGTGTATGCTTCGGTGGTTGCGGGTGAACTGTCGGCGCCAGTAAAGGCGCACGCGCGGCTTGCCAAAAGGAAAGCCACTCGGTCGCTACTCTTTGAATCGCAAAGGGAGCCGACAACGAGAATCCCTCATTGGTCGCGGCGCGCGATCAGACGCGGCTGCCGACGCGGCAGGCGTTAGGGTTGCTATAAATACAATTAAAAGTTAAGAAGTTTATTTAATAAAATATACTCAATATTAAAAATTATGTGTCGCCGTCGTCACTATCATTTTCTAATAGTGCTACCCCTTGGATTAAATTTATGGTAGCACCTGAGCTGGTGGAAGGAGTTGGCTCCTCATCGTTGACATAACGAAGAGTCGCTGTCGTCACTGGCGTAAATAATAAAACACTCAGTGACTGAATCGACTATATGGTCATTGGTATTTGGTCCTGGCATTGCAAACAAATTTAAAAGAATAACACTCGTAACAAAAACTAAATTTGAAACAATTATTATTGTTGTTATTATAGTTGTTATTACAACTCGTAACAAAAACTCAATATAACAAAGGGTTCCTACAATTTAGTAGGCGCATGTGTAATCAGGAGCGAACGTGAACGCGGTGCGGGAGGGGAGGGTCGACTGACTCACCAATCGCGCGCTCGGAACGGTGCTACGTCTTTCCCCGCGTCCCGCTTGACAACCAAAGAGACCTAAAAACGACTTCTGCGCATCTAACGACTCTTGCCAAGTTACGTGCCGGAGATTATAAGAGGGGCTCACTTAACGGTGATCATTTGTTTAATTAATTATAAATAAATAAAAGACGAACAAACACACACACATTTCACATTCGAACATTAACGAACAAACGACGAACAAATAATTAAAAATAAAAAAATCCGAAATTAAAAAAAGGGGGCCAAATTTACAGAGCCACATTGTACCTTAATAAGTTTTTTTGAAGGGATTTTATGACCTGGTAACTGAGACCTTTAAGTCATGTCTTATTTTAATTTATTTCATATTTTTATGAAAAATTATATTATGGAGTGAAATGAAATGAAGATGATTAATTTGAGACATTAATCAACTGCGATGAAATTAAATGAAATGAAATGGGATGAAATATAATCTCAGTAGAATGGTAGTCATTTACTAAGATTTTTTTCAGTGGACTTTTTGGAGGATCCCGAGAAGTTACGTCCAGCGGCTTTGTTTTATTTTCCCAAATTTGTGCACTTTCACATAGGTACATTACAAGCAAGCAGACATATTTTGATTAACTCAAGAATATGAAATAATATGACCGATGTGTATAAGGAACTAAATTACGAATAGACGATGAATTACACAGAATTATTAACCCTAATATTACACGATCAATCTACAGATACATTTTTGTTTTGTCGAATATAATTTTAATATTATTATTATTTTAATATTAATCTTTAGTCTTTTACCTAGTAAAGTCCCGGAGATATCATTCATTCAATTAAAAGAATTGTAGTGGATTTCCATATTATTGCATACATGCCATAAGGAAGTCACATAGAGCGTTTTGTTTAATGAATTTCAAATTTAAAAATTGCGTCAAAGTGTTTCGTATACACTATATTTTTGCAATACAATAGACGCTAAAAGCAGTAATTGCAGTAAATCTACTGTCATTACACTGCGTTACTGTATGACACAAACAAAGTAGGTTACTTGGAACATAATTTTTTCTAGCTATCGGATTTTGAGAATTTTTGATGTCATTGTTGCCAGCAATAGTTAATTTTATTTTCAAATTACAGTTTCAATTACAAAGTACATTACTAAACTTGGCTCTTTATGTAGGTATTTGAAAAGAGAAGAGGAACTCAATAAAACGAAGTTGATTCTATCGATCAATATCAATTGGGATGAAACAAAATGCGATAAAATTAAATACTGTGTCTAGAGATTTTAGTGAGTACGTTTATTTATATTAAACACAATGATATTTAACAAACCACCGGTAGTTCTATCCGGAAAATCTATTCCATTATCAGCATGTAGTGTAATTAGTCTATGCATTAGTGATAACCTATGATCCGCGCTAGACTGTCATGGCGGCGGCCGCCATTGCGACATATGTGTGTGACAAGTCATGACATTTATGTACAAGATTTATGAAAAAATCCAATGGCAGATTCATTCTTTGGGTTCGATACTTCATTATCGGTGAGTCTAATAACTGACTTAGATAAATAAAAAGTTAAATTGTAGCAGAAAGTGCTACAAATAAAGGCGCGCAAGCATCAGTGCCAACACGCCACACTTCAGTATGCTTATGTTTCTAAGCTAAATATTTGCTTTTTTATCCTTTAAAGTCACATTAAATAGTTTTTAGACAATTGTTAAAACAAATACAACTTATAATTTGTCTAACTTATAAGATTTATAATCAAAATAGTCGGAAAATTCGCCAATTTTAACATTTTAACATTGACCGAACTGTCAATCCAATAGCTATAATAGCTTTGTTTATATAAAATTATGAGTTTTGAGAAAAACATGCCACTGTATTTCTACCTAAGTGCTGTTTATCTAACGAACTCATTGTGAATAAGAAGCATAAACTTGTCCTTATTAAAACAATTAAGTTATCAAAACAAAATTGATGCAAGTTGTGAAATTCAAAATGTTACATTTTGTGAAAAGTTTTCATCATCACTGTTATAATACCTTTCACTTTACCACGACAATTTTATTATTGACTCGAAATAAAACAGCGGGTTATCAAGATTTACAGTTTCGTACCTGCAAAACAGAAAAATGTTCTTTATAATATTTTTCACAAGAAAGTCGTAAGTAAAGTAACATATAAGTCTCTGGTAAGCAGAGTGAGGGCCAGCTCCAACAGTATCCTGAGCATGATCGCAAGCAGGCTGGACTGTGTATACATGGGTCACTGTGGTTCCATCTCCCATGGGATGTTACGACAGTAATTCATTGTGATGTAAATATAACTACTAACATAGGTCTAAGTCTTATTAACAATTTATATGAGTCATGGTTACTTGCAATAAAAACATTATTATTATTATTATTATATACTGACACGCGTTTCTGGAGCTAGAATGGAAAGTTTGCAATACCTTACCATGTTGATTGCCCGGCGCATTTTCCATGCCCAAGCGTCGTGCCTGTGCAAATCAGAAAAATGTTCCTTATAATTTTTTTCAAAAGAAAGTCGCACAATCGCGCGCTTACAATACAACAGCTGCCCCATCCTTCATACCAACGCATTACTCTTTCTGGGTAACAACGTGCAGAGTGGTAGTACCAAACGTGAGGACTGATAAGACATCGTACCGCCAGTAAATGCACAGATCATATTTTTGCGATTTTCGTTTTATTTATTCTTTCAACTTGGAAGTGTTCCTTAACTATGTATTTTATTAGAAAATTTTGTACTTGTGTGCGAGATTTGAACACCGTTGCAGTCTTATCCTGCAATATGAATACAGCGGGTGTCATCTTTTAGACCATATTGACTTCATATTGGGTGTCCCAAGGGATTCACCAGAGAACAGGCAGCCGTGATCCCTCAGTGTATTATACCAGTTATATCAGTAGACTATGTTTATTAGCCAGCGTGTAGCGGGCTGTAGAGTGTATTTGAAGCCAGCATGCTTAGGTAGCAGTGAAAGTAGCCACATATGTTTTTTTTTAAATGATCCAGTAATTTAAATTTGCCAAATCACCATCTGGCAGGGTTCATCTCCATCTCCTAGAAATGCTGTGCTAACCATAGAATATTGTTGTTTTTGAAATGTATTATTTTGTTCGTGAATGAACTTCATCTGATAAATCTGCTGTCAAAGTGCAACAGTGACATACATACATAGTGTAAATATAACTTTGTTATTTCTGAAATAGCATTTAAATCTGGCGCTCATGTAATGTGCGTAAACATGGTATGGTGTGGTATGGCTCCAGATGACACATCCTTTAGAATATTCAATATAGATTATTACATAATTATAAAATACACAATAGCTATGTTCAAATAAATGCATATGATGATGGTTGTAGATGGAGATTTAAATTAAAATAAGTTTTGATGGAGAGATAATCGAAAAGTATTAGTTGTCATTTGAGACTGCCATGATCACACATATTCCAGAGTCCTGAACTTTTTTTATTTCTTAGGTGGGTGGATGAGCTTATGGCTTGCCTGGTGTCAAGTGGATACCGGAACCCATAGACTCTATAACACAAATGCCGCGACCCACCACAAGATATAAGTTCTAAGGGCTCAGTACAGTACAAACTGAAATGCATTGCTGCTTCACGGCTAGAATAGGCAGGGTGGTGGTATCTACCCGTGCAGACTCACAAGACGTCCTACGACCAGCTACCTTAAGTCGCAGTCGTTCTTAGACTGATCTGATATCACTTCAAATTATTGGTAAATCCAATTTGAAACAAATTTAAATTAACAATTGCACCTAATTACATATCACCATTAAGGGGATACTATAAATAATGATAAAATCAAAACAATAATATGTTAATGGTTAAAGAGTTTAAGATTAAAATCCTTTGTTCTTATATTCATATCACAAATGTTGACTAAATTGATTTATTTAATTGACTTCACTTGACAATGTATGATAACAGAGGACTACATCATTGATTTCATTGTTGACATTTGAAGCCTTGCAGTGTTTTGCATGTTTCATTTTATTGCATTTTCAAATCTCATTGTTCTAGTTCATGAATTTTGTAACATTGATCTCATATGTGACTCCCGATTCAAAGTAGTATTATGTAAAAATTATATTGTACTCGGAGTTAGCCTAAACATTGGCTCGCTTCCCTATTCATGGACCATATGGTATTTGTTTCTTTAATCAAACATGTAATTAAAAGAAAGATACATCAACGCTTATGTTATAAAGTTTTTAATGTCGTAATATAATCTAAAATAATTATGAATTGTTCCTAGTCACTCTATAAGCTCTTTTTTTTTACTTTACTACTCCGGATACAAATCGTTGAGCATCTACAATTTCATTCAAATGACCAGCTAAAAGGCTTAATCATTAGAAATGCAGTACTAGTTTATTAACTAGCGACAATAAGATGTTCTAAAACTAGTTCAACTAGTGTATTTGATTCACAGTTTTATTTATTTCAGAACTTAAATGACGACGAAGGTTGCGCAGAACCCTCAGAGGACGAATACGATGCGTTGAACGATGAGACATTCGGCCATGGATGTAAGTGTGGAACCATATATTTTGTTATTGTTGTATGTCAAACCATATCTTGCCATAATAAATGCCAAAGATTAAGTAATCTATAGATCTAAAACCTATTCTGAAAGACTAGAAACTCAACCAAATAACCTTGCTAAATGTCTAATGGACAATCAAATGACTACAAGAAGACTTAGAAGAAGAAGATCTACTGTAGATTGATTGATATGGAAAATGTCACTGGACATTGTGCATGCACTGGCTATTTCATTGTTTGTTTCAAAACTACAGTTGAATGTCTAAAGAAACTAAAAAAAGAAAAAGAAACACGTGTGGCACTCAGGGACTGCCGCGGGAAAGCTATTACAAGCATTTTTTAGCCACTTATGCAATTATAATTAGACAATAAAAATTTAATACTAAAACAATAATAAAGTAAGACCACGCTATATTTATAAACATTAACAAAAGCAAGGCATTAAGTGTGCCCTTCACCCGCGCAAGAGAGAGATGGGCAGACCTTTCATGATGCGCATGCAGTGCGACGTGACGCCGCGCGCTTATACACAAACACTACACAAGCGCAACGTATGAATGTGTTGAACGCGAGCTTCATGGTAGGTGAAGTGAAGGGTGTTAGGTTTTATTTTCGTTATGGAATTTCTTGATTCGGTGGCCGCGATAAAATCTATCCAATAGCTTAAAAAAAAGTCAAACTAAACGCATCAAAATATTTATTATTCTTTAGTATTTTAAACTGTTTGATTACTATTCATTATGTTTTATTTTTGTTCATTCATTACATGTCTTCCTGCTTCTATTATTTTCTCAAAACCAATTTCAACTCTCACACTCCATAATATGTTGCCAATTGTTGCATGTTAATCTTTAATTTATCATCAAATTGTTTATTTTGGGTCAAATTCCGTTCTGCTTAGCCGGGCTGTGCTAAAACTTTTAGGAGCTGGCCTGATCCCAGGATTAAACTAACAATTATCTTGAATCCCATTCACTTAAGGGTACCGGCTCCACCGAGAATTTGGAGAATGTCAATGGACTTACAGCCTTGGTGTAGACTAAATATTTATTTAAGTGGTTTATGACTATTTAAGCTTACACAGAAACGACAATATTATTCGGAATTTAATTATCATCATCATAGAGCAGTCGTGGTCATGTGGAATTCTTTTTAGTTAAAGCCTTGACAAATGTTCTCCATAGTTTGCGAACTGAGGCTTGGCGCACTCGTTAAGTGGGGTTTTAGTAAGGTCTTTCTCCTGATCAGTCCAGCGCATGAGGCTTCGTCTATGAGATCTTTTACCATTGACCTTACCTTGAACAACAAGTTTCTCGGTAGACTGCTGGCCGTCGCAATACGTGTCCCAAATATCTAAGAATCCTGGATTGCACTGTTGACGACAATCTGAGAAATATTAAGATCTTTTAGGATAGAGGCATTGGTGCTATGCTCAGTCCAATATATACGTATAATACGGAACATCCTTCTCCAGCACCACATTTCTAATGCATCGATCCTTCTTCTAATTTAAGTATAAGTGTGCTTAAATTGAGAATGTCGTTAATTCGATTCAATATTTTGACTCGCATCATACACTGTTTTATGAGAGTGACCATTATGTTGATAGTGGTGGGTGATATTCACTTTGTAAACAAGCCAAGTATCTTACCTAAAACCCACCTGGTAATACAACTGATATATGACCATTGGTTTTTTGTTTTCAGCCGACGAATATGACTGGGAGTTGGAACATGAGCACCTCGCCGGACAGCTCGAGAGCAGTCGACGCCAGAACAGCGGCATCGACGAGATTGCCAACTCACAGCTCGGTTAGTAAACTTATTCAGAAAATATTCTCTGACCGATATAAATGACTATTTCTGCCGTGAAGCAGTAATACGTTTCGGTTTGAAGGGTGGGGCAGCCGTTGTAACTATACTGAGACCTTAGTACTTATATCTCAAGGTGGGTGGCGGCATTTACGTTGTAGATGTCTATGGGCTCCAGTATCCACTCAACACCAGGTGGTCTGTGAGCTCATCCACCCATCTAAGCAATAACAGAAAAGGTAACTTTTTATTTATTTTTTCAGAGCTGTCACTGTCGCAGCTAGTTTTGGACGATACGGACGCGCCGCAGTCCGGGTCGCTCGGCTCCAGCGTTTGGAGAAACGATGCACCCTTCCCAGGACCGCCGGCCGTGAGCTTTTAATTATAATTTTTTTTTTCGAACTACCCGCAAAATTTTATATGACCTTTTTTTATTCGGGCTTCATTAATCTGTTTGTAATATAAGCTGAGGAATGGGTGAGACTTTAATCCCTAAATTATAAACCGCTATGCTATTATCTATATCTATACTAATATATAAATCTACAGTGGTTGTTACGGATGTTCCGTTATAACTACTGAAACTTGGTATCCATGTAGAAAATACATGTACTAAAGGATAGGTAATATTTATATGAGTGTTGGACTCCCTAATAATAATGACCGTAAATAATAATGTTAATTTTAAATGTCCAGCGAAGCGGGCGAGTGCAGCTAGTAAGCCATGAGCCCAATAGCAATATGTATGAATATCTATCTCGTATTATCGTATCTAGTACTAGTTAATAGGCAATTGTTATAAAATTAGATGTATTGCGGTTCGAAGAGTGGCACAGATAATGTTAAGACTGCGACCCAATGACCCAAGACGGCGTTCATGTTGCTGTATCTTTGGGCCCTAGTAACCGCTTAACCCCAGGTGGGCCGTGAGCTCGTTCACCAATCTACGCAATACAATATAATTAGTTTACAATAAAAATTTTGCGTCCGAACAGCCGGCGCCGCTCAAGAATGTATGCACGGTCGAGGAGTTGGAGCGGCAGCTGCGTCACGCGCAGTCGCAACCCATGCAACAGCACTCCTCGCAGCAGCCGTACAACTCGCAGAACTACTACCAGGTAAGACCTGGCCTGGTAACGAGACTTTTGAGCCACTGAATGTTTGCGAATTCACTAAAAATGTCCCAGTTTTTCGAAGTCTCCAACAATGGCGTAAGGTTTGGTTATCTCCTCTTTTTTTAGGCTCTTAATTTGGGACCAATTATTTAAAAAAAAAAGTTATAGTCTCACTGTACGGTAGCCTCAGCGGCTTGGCTCTGCCCCTGGCATTACTAAAGTCCATGGGCGACGGTATCCACTCACCATCAGGTGGGCCGTATGCTCGTCTGCCTAGAAGGGCAATAAAAAAAAACTAGTACTAATATACTGGAGTAAATAATTTACACAGTTGATAAACAGTCCATTGTTTGATACCCACAAAATAAAGATGTTTCGTTTTCATTCCAGCCAAGGTTTCCGGTGATACTACAAAGACCTCCAGGCTTACAAGCGCCCGTATTAGTACCGTTCGTATCCCAGCAGCACAACATGAACCAACCAATGAACACAATGCTCAGTCAGAACAATCAAATTCCGCAAAACAATCAAATGATGAGCAATCAAATGGGCCAAAACCAGTTTATGCAGAACAACCAGATTGGACAGTTTCAGAACAGTCAAATGGGAACGAATTTAGGGCCTAATGTACACCAGATGAGACAAAACATGAAAATGAATCAAATGGGTCCAAAGAAACCTATGCCACAGAACTTAAACCAGATGAGCCAAAACGTTAATCAAATGCCCAAAAATATGACACAAATGGGACAGAATATCGCCCAACCACATCCTCAAATTAATCAGAACATCCCGCAAATGAATCCGAACATAAATCAAATGAACCTGTCTCAGATGCCGCATAATTACAATCACATGAACCAAAATTCTAGCCAAATGGGTCCAGGTATGAATCAGATTGGCCCAAACACAAACCACATGGGACCAGGTATAGGCCAAATATCCCAACCGATTAACAAACTAGGTTCAAACGTTAACCAAATGACGCCCAACATGAATCAAAACTCAAATCATATAAATCAAATGATTCCCAATTTGAACAAAATGCCTCCCAATTCTCAGTTGGCTCAAAATTCAAACCAATTAAGCTCTAACACAAAACCGATGGGTCAAAACGTAAATCAAATGATGAACGGTAATCAGTTTGGCCAAATGAATCAGTTCCCGCATATGATGGGCCAACCTCGCATGATGGGGCCTCCACCTGGTATCAATATGCCCAGGCAAAACTACAACCAGCAGAACGTTGGACAGTTTAATTCCAACATTCGAGTGAGTACAATATTTTAATTATTAAGTAATTCTTTATTAAGTGCATCAATCGATACATACAACACTCATATTCTCAAATACCCTCCACACTAAAAAATATACAGACACGCATAAGCCACGCATAATACATTTTGTGTGGACTAATTTTAATCATAAATGTATTAATTACTTGAGTTTATTTCCACATAGTACATTGTGTAGTTTCCGAACAAAACCCACCACAAGCACCTATCAGATAACTTATTGGGAAGACACTTCAAACCATATGTGTAAATTTAATTGGAACATGAATAATATTTACATTTATTTAATGAATTGCGTTGTGAATTAAAATGTGTTTGGGACTGAGAAAAGGATAAGTTTAGGGCTTCCTTGATCTTCAAACTGGAATGCGTGATGCTGCAGTGATGGACAGGGGCGTGGTTCATGACCTTGGGTTGCAGTATACCCTACCAACAGTAGATTATAGTAAATACGGAAGCGTTATATAAAAATAATAATGACGACTGACATTTATCAATTTACCAAATTTTCTAATGTGAATGTAACACAAAATAGATTACAGATTAAGTTGCTGTTCGTTGCTAGCGATTCGTTTTGTGGGCGTCTCAATATTGAGGTTTACTTTAAGAAATATACCTTTATTACTGTTTCTTTTTGATTGTATTGACAATACTAATTTGTTGCAAGGGGCCGACACTGAAGAATGAATCGCAGCAAGTGCCCACTCAACAATACAATCAGATCGCGAACAAAATGAGCCAGCCAGCCAAATCAGTATCCCCGCAGAGGCTAAAGAAAACCGAAACGAAACAAAAGACAAGAATCTACAACAACACAAACTTATCCTCGCAGAATTTAGTTCAAATGATACAGAACACTCATCCGATACTGCAGTACAACAGCGGGTTCCATAATGCATCGCACCATCCCATGCTGGGTCGTGGACCTCTGAACAATCAGCTCAACCATCCACTCTTGAATCAGAGGCAGAACGGAACCTACAGTAACAGGTGAGTTGCACGATATATCTTCTAATATTAATATTTAGAGGAGTGTGGAAGGAGAGAACATTTTTTTTGTTGCTTATAAAGGAAGACGAGCTTACAGCCCACCTGGTGTTAAGTGGAGTTAAGTTAAGTTACTGGAGCCCATAGACATATACAACGTAAATGCGCCACCCACCTTGAGATAATTTCTAAGGTCTCAGTATAGTTACAACGGCTGCTCCACCCTTCAAATCGAAACGCATTACTGCTTCACGGCAAAAATAGGCGCGGTGGTGGTACCTACTTGTTCGGACTCACAAGAGGTCCTACCATCAGTAAGGTTAAGGAAGCTAGCTTATTTTTTTGGTCAGAAGGAAATCGCCGGACTTCCGCCCTCCACTGGGGATGGCGGGCGGAGCATGTCGGAGTCGACTAAAAACCTCCGGTCACTCGAAGCAAACCACGTCCGAACCTCGCATGAGACAACTCATGAAAAGAAAAAAGGGGGAAAAGTGAGGCCTTTAGTGCGGGGCACATCTTCCCCCCCCCCAGAATGGGTTATCCTACAGAATACCACGCTTGGTTAGGACCAGCGCGGCTACCTTTTATCCCGAAGAAGCATGTTGCTCTCGTAGGAAACCACAATGCCTATAATGCTTATGATGTCTCAAAATGTATCTTATAATTGCAGAGACTCTTCGCAAGACGAGGAGGTCGCCAACGAAGATGAGTACGCTGGTCTCATGTCGCAGAGGGAGAAGCAGTGGCTACTGAACATACAGATGCTGCAACTGAACACGGGGACTCCGTACATACACGATTATTATTATACCGTAAGTAAATACGACATTATATATGTATGTAGTTTTTTGTGATTTTATGACCTGGTAACTAAGACCTTTAGGTCAAGTCTTATTTTAATTTTAATGAAATTTTTTTATATGAAAAATGGTATTATGAAATGAAACGAGATGAGATGATATGGAATGAAATATAATCTCAGTAAAGTGGTGGTAATTTACTGAGAATTTTTCGGTGGACTTTTCGGAGGACCCCAGAAGTTAGGTTCAGCGACTCACAAGAGGTCCTACCACCAGTAATTACGCAAATTACAATTTTGTGGGTTTGTTTTTAATCACAAGTTGTTATTCCTTCACCGTGGACGTCAATCGTGAACATTTGTTGTGTACGTCTATCATTAGAAAAATTGGTAACCGCCTGCGGGATTCGAACACCGGTACATCGCTAGATACGAATGCACCGCCTTATCCATTAGGCCACGACGACTTCGAAATTCGAGATTCGTATCGCTATCGAGAAAAAATGTATAGGACTTAAACAGCGCCCCTACCGTCCGTAAAAAGAATTAATCTCACCAACACGAATGAATTTACTTACTTTCGTTTCCCAATCGAGTCGTCACGTTATCGAAACTCGAAACTTCTTTATTCTTTATTGTACACACAGTTAATACGATACAATAATTGCGAAAAGTTATAAAATGGCGAGCTTAACTCCACAATTGAGTTGTCTACCAGCTGACCGTTCTTAAAGAGGGAGAGCTTTACATAGGTGGGTAGAAGAGTACGATCTAATCAATTTACTTATTGATACAATACACAATAATAATAATAAAGCACTGATACATAATATATCAGACTAAATACATACACACAATTACACACATAAATAACATAAACATATTTTATACATACACGTATAATAGCCGGCAAACTTCTTGAGCATTTGTTGACGTAGTGGGGGTAAGTTTGCGCATGGTACACTCACGTGCAAAAACATTATTTACTCTGCGTCATAATGCAATTAAATTATTAAAATCAACATATGTATTTATTTATATATTTATTAGAACATCAACAAAAAATATAGGTTAATAATTGTAATAATTTAATCTTGGGGTAAAATAGATATTCCTTCTATTAAGTCAAAACTAGAGCTGTTGCCAGGTCTTCGTTCAGTTGAAGCGAAGCTGGTATTTGTAATTTTTTTTTCGTTATCATAATCTTGACCATTATCATCATCACTGTTTTCATCACCCGAGTCGCCATCATCGTGATAAGTCGACATAGGGCTCATCGGTGTAGTTTACGACTCGGTCGGTTCGATCTTCTTTTTTGTCTATAATTAATTATTTTTTGAAGATATTCGATTCGTAGTAATCGAATGTTACTTTTTTCAATTACCAGCTTCCGATTATTTTCTGTTTTTTTTTTCCATCTGAAGCCTAGCTCTTTCATAATTCGTCGTAAACTTCATTCCGAGCCATTAAAATGTATATCTTCTTTAAAATTTTCGAAGCCTTTCTACGGTACGGAGTTTCGCTGCTTGTTATGTAGTTATTATGATTACATCTTTTTATTACAGATTGAACGAAACTATCCATTCCGGTAACTTTCTTCTTCCCTGATCTTTTCTTACCCGGAGTCCCAAGCACGATGAGCAAGCCAGAGCCTTTAGCTTCGTTAATAATGCACCTAACAGTACTCACTGATGTTTTTGTTGCTTCCGAAGTCTGTTTTACTTTTTCCATAATATCATTCTTCCCCTGTTTTATAATGAAGCAATATACGTCGTACACAATTTTTCTACCCTTTCTTTTGAATACTACACCAGTTTGTCGCGGCATAGTGTATTTTTTATAAAAAATCAACAAACACTCAACAAATAGCAATGGCAACAAAGTCAACAAGCAATTATAACAAAATATAACTTAACGATTAATAACGATAGACTTTTCACTGTACGCAAGCGTACTATTGGGAGCAAGCGGAACGAAGGCGCGGTGCGGGGCGCAAGGTTCGACTGATCTACCAATAACGCGCTCGATACGATGTCCCCTGCCGTCGCGCCTCACCCTCATCACCAAAGTGATCTAAAATTCGGTTCTGCGCAGTCAAGGTCATTTGCTCACGATGTTTGCCGGTTACTATACATAATATATGAAATACATAAAATAAATACAATACATAAAATAAATCCATATTATAAGTAATACTAAATCGATAGATAGTGCTCCTTTACTCTTAGTCATAAGTAACCTATAGTCATAATTTATACTCGTAATCGAGAGAACGAAAATTGTTTTGACATGCGGTAACGTAAATCTCGAAGGTGGGCTATCGAGTATTACCGTCTAATGCAGTGGTCGTCACACTTTTCTGGTCAAGGGCCACATAGAACAATGTGAGGTATCATCACTGCGGGCCACACATTTTTGGACTGTTTAGTTGACCACGAGTCAATTGACATATTTAATATCAAGTGTCAAAAGGCGATTGTACCATAGATAAATCAATTATAATTATTATTTATGCAACGCGGGTAGCTTATTAATTAGGAATAGGCATGAGAACATATCTGTAATGATAAAGATGGTAAATATATTATATCAGTATTTTTTATTTCTACTAAAATTGTTTGTTCGGGCGCGGGCCGCAGAAATATCGTCCACGGGTCTAATGTAATGATCCTTTTTCGTATCGACTCGATACATTTACATTACGATTTCGATAGAATTTCGTGCTTGATGTTACAGGTTAAATAAATAAATATTTTTTTTTGTTAAGGTCTTCTTAGAGAGGCAGGCAAATAAAGAGAAGGAAGGCGTGAAGGAAGCTCACAAGGCCAACCAACAGAATCATCCCTTCTACAGCGGCAGTAAGTTGCTCATACATTATTAGTGACTGGCGAACAGAATATTCTGCTATCTTCTTTTTCGCCGTCTTATCCCACCAGGTGGGGTCGGCACAACTAATTTTTCTCTTCCATTCTCTTCTATCAGCCGTCATCTCAACGCTCGCTCCTCTCTCCCTCATATTGTCATTCACACACTCTATCCATGTCTTATTCGGTCGACCTCTTCCCCTTATACTCTGCTCTATTTTGGTATCACATAGGATATGAACTTATTGGGTGAAAATATCCCCTTACTAGTTTATTTATCGTTTTTTCCCTGCCTATTTGCTGGTAGTCTAAATGGCTATTCCAACTGCGCATGGATGGGTAGGTGAGCTCACGGGCTCCATCTGTAAGGACATGCTGACACTAGTCTCATCAAGAGCCGTGCTTCGCAGAATCTACCACCGGATCGGAAACGTGACACACTGAGAAGATCCGGCGAGAAACTCAGTGGGTTGCGTCTGTGGGTTAATAATAATAATCTGCAGCATAAAATATCAATTTTGATATTTGCTCGGGTGCATGTAAATGCACCGATAACTATAGTTTATTCACACATACGCTAGGGCTTGCCTGTCGGTTATATATACTCCGCTAAAATCATTACCAGATTATTATTATCATTATTAACCCAGAGACACAGCCCACTGGTGGGTCGGGTTTCCGGACCGGTGGTAGATTCTGCGAAACACTGCTCTTGCTAGGGCCAGTGTTAGCAACATCGTCAGGCTTGAGCGCCGTGAGCTCAGCTACTCGTTGTGCGAATCTTGCATAACCCCTCGAGGTTACTAGAATAAAATAGGTAGGACAAAAAAACAGAAGCAGAAACAGGAAGGGTGGTAGTACCTACCTGGTAATGATAGGATTTCACCCTTCGACAACATTACTTTTGCTCAATTAAACGTGTCGTTGTTCGCGCAGCAGTGAAGCAAGACGGTCACCAGCACAGAGAGCGGCACAACTCCAACCGACACAACTCGACGGGCGAGGAGGCCGGGGCTCCGCGGGCCTACGTGCCGACGCAATTCGAGAACTCGCTCGGGAAGCTGCAGGTACCACCCCTAGCCCGGTAGCGCTGCGCTCGAGATGCGCTCAAAATAATAGGTTGGGGGAAAAGTTTCTTCGCATTTCACTCATTTTGAAAGTACGAAAAATAAATAAAAATCATACATTTTCCTAATTTGAATTTGGAATTATCTTCTTTAAAATTTAAACTTTTAATGATACCAAAACCAGCCAGATACAAATAGTATAGCCAAAGAGATTTTATTACAAGTTCATACATACTATAATGCGAAAAGACTTTTCCCCGACCTATTACTTTAGTTAAATGTAAATAAACTATATTAAAAAATGTTGCGAATTTTCTGAAAAAATGTGAAGAAATTTTTTCCCCAACATATTTACACATAAATGAGCACACTTTCGCATTTATAATATTAGGTAACTAAAAAAAAGGTTAGTTTAATCCAATTTAAGAATATGTATACGAAGTAAATGAAATCGGTTAATTTGGCACTGTGGTGTAACTGTGAAAAATTGAAATTGAGTGTATATAATTGCATACACATGAGCATTCTCACAATATGAGTGCTTATTAAGAATTTGTACATAATCTTGAACTTTGACGACATTGTATAGAATAAAAGAAAACAAGGATTGTATATGAATACTTTTTTAATTTGCAGTGTGGCAGCGTTACTGCCCCAAGGAAGTTGATAGACGTGGAAGTGGTCGGTGGAGAGGTGGCACCCTCCAGGATGTCCAGAGCTTCCAGTGTGGCGAGCACAGCCAATCCTGCTGAAGTAAGCTTATACCATTGAACTTCACCTTTGAGGATGCTAGTAAAAAAAATACTGGTGTTAGTCCAAGCAGGGATCAAAGTTAAACCATGGTCACAGATACCACAATATTTATATTAATATGATTAATAACTGGAGGTAGCACCTCTTGTGAGTCCGCACAGGTAGGTACCACCACCCTGCCTATTTCTGCTGTGAAGCAGTCATACGTTTCGGCTTGAAGGATGGGGCAGCCGTTGTAACCATACTGAGACCTTAGAACTCATATCTCAAGGTGGGTGGCGGCATTTACGTGGTAGATGTCTGGACTCCAGTCACCATTTAACACCAGGTGGGCTGTGAGCTCGTCCACCCATCCAAGCAAATAAAAAAATAATATGAATATAAAATTCATTGTGAATCCCAAAAACAATGACAAAATACAAATCCTGCTTGTTAATGTTCAGTATCGTAGAATATATACACTTTTAAATTTATTTATTATAAAAAAAAAGAACACAATATTCCTAACCTAAAAGTACATGTTATTATCCGCAACATGCTTCCTCAGATTACAGAAATAAAGTTATGCTTCGTCAAAAAGTACAATACTTACTTTCAGCTGCAAGCGTCGTCATATGTAACATCGTAGAATTGTTTCTACTAATCAGTGTTCAAATCTTGAAATCTGAACATTTAGCTGTAATGTTTTATAAAGTTTTTTTTTGTTTTGTTTTTGTATGCTGTAATTTGTCTATAGACATGAGTAAAATATTTAGTTTTATTTTTTTCTAAATTCCCCAGGCGCCTAGAGAGATGAAAAGGACGAAACAATTGCTCCTAGATATAGAAGCGCTGTATCTGATCCTGTTGAGATTAGAAGAGCTAAACGACCCGCTGGCGATATCCAATGCGTTAATACTGAAGGTAAGCTACCGGATGAGATTTCCCGAGATCAGGGGTTCCCAAATTAATTTTGTCTACTGCCCACTTTGAGAATAAATTATTTGTTAGCTCCCCTATTTTTTCACCTACTTAAAAACCACAATAGCGAGAGCTCAGTCGATGAAGAGTTCCTAGATGAAATTACAAATCGCTTTCCAAGCTTCTACACAACGCCCCCTTTTTTTTTAGGTCTCTTACCGCCCCCCTTTAGGCCTGCAGCACCGACAAGGGGGCGTTATCGCCCACTTTGCGAAACACTGCCCTATATTGAACCCTAGAGTTCGAGAGCTTTCTTTCTGTAAGGATGTCTATGGAACTGAACTATCTAGACTTTGTTTTAAATTTCAACTGGCTCTCGAGGATATAAATCAGTAGTAACAATCGCGTGCCTTATAGGTACTGTCTCAAGGTGGCTTGAAACTCGCTACAGTTGTCGACATCCGGGAAGGTTTTTGTTTAGTTCCATCAACGCACGATAGGTGGCGCATGCGTAGTTTTATGTGTTTGATACATCTAGCAAATAGTCACTGTCTCAATCAACGGGACTTTTTTTTTTTCTTCCTATGACATATGGCTCACTGTCGCGAGTAATCTCCGTCGTCCTGGGATATAAAAAATCTCGGGTCTAAGAAGTCTTTGATGCTAAAAAGATGATAAATTTATCTCAAAGAATTACTCGGGGCTAACTCTGCCCTTGGAACACTCCAGAGTAGACACAAAGAGACTCGACATTCCTCTGCAGTTTTTTAATGTTTCTATTCAAAGACAAATAACATTTGCCTTATCGAATTATATGGTGTTTGATAATTCCAAAATGATGTTTACCAGAAGTCAGTTGACATCATATCATTATTAATTGTTTAAAAGAGTGAATGATATCCTAATTAACCAGTGTGCTTAGTGCGAGTTTCTTAACGTTCTCGTTAGCATAAAAGTTAACCCAATTTTGTATGCCGTTGGAACAGCCCCCTCTAGCGGCAATCGTACGCAAATGATCCCATTTCATACAAATATGAGCTAACTTTTACGTTATCGAGAACGTTAAAAAACTCGCATTAAGCACACTGGTGTTAAGTGCTTACCGGAGCATGTAGACATCAACAATGTAAATGCTGTCACCAGTTTTGAGACATGAGCTCTATCTTAAGTCTCATTTAGTTATAGTACAACAGATGCGCCTCACCCTCCAAATGCATTACTGCTTCACGACAGAAATAAGCAGGGCAGTGGTACCTACCCGTGCGGACACACAACACATCCTAACACCACTCGTAATGTTTCAGGAAAGAGAAGAGAAACAAAAACTATTAGACGTAGCTCAGAAAGAACTGAACAAAGAGGACGATGACGATTCTAATCTGTTCTTGAAGAATATAGAGTCGGTGCAGAGGAGGCCCAAACAGGAGAGCCCCAAGAACGAGAGCATCGATAAGAGACAGGTCAGTCCGGCTCCAGCCCATGTGGTGTGTCAGGCACTCATTTGGTAGCCTTATAGCATTTGGTAACCTGTTAACTTCTTCACCGGGTCTCTTCAGTGGGTTTTTTTTTATGTTTTTTTTATTGCTTAGATGGGTGGACGAGCTCACAGCCCACCTGGTGTTAAGTGGTTACTGGAGCCCATAGACATCTACAACGTAAATGCGCCACCCACCTCGAGATATAAGTTCTAAGGTCTCAGTATAGTTACAACGGCTGCCCCACCCTTCGAACCGAAACGCATTACTGCTTCACGGCAGAAATAGGCGGGGTGGTGGTACCTACCCGTGCGGACTCCCAAGAAGTCCTACCACCAGTAAAAGGGAGATTGGGAGATCCGATGGTAAACTTAGCGAAGCACTGCTCTTGCTAGGTCTAGTGTTATCAATTTATCTCAGGTTGATCCTGAGAGCTCACCTACCGGGGTATAGCTGAGATACCCGCAATCGCATTGAATCGCAATCCGCTTCGCCTCATATGAGCCTTTCGCTGTTTCGTATCGAGTAGAACCGGTTACTAACTTCCTTTATGATGTCTCTTATAGTTTTAGATTCTTATAGGCCACACGACATGTCGACAATTTTCTAGAACATTCCCGATAGTACTAGTAGTTTCCAGTCAACCACCGTGACGTCACATATCTTAAGAACTGTCCCGAGCACGTTTCGTCCCCTGTGCACCCCGCGCCCTTGTACCCCGCAGGCGAGCCAGAACTTTCTGCTAATATATTATTATACCATAGCGTAAACTGTGATGAAAATGTATTTCAAGCAGAGTCCTTGAGCCCAGATGGCTTCTTCTCCTTGCAACAAGAGCTTATTTTGGATCATTCTACGCCATTTGCTCGTATCTGCCGCATCTGCCGCCGAGTGTAGTGCATCGTCACCTGTGGATCTGATCAGTGATGGCTTAGTTAACAATTGACCAGGCTCCCGTGTCGGCAGGTCGTCAACCTGGCGGTAGCCCAGAAGCCGGCACCGGTGAACCTTCTGGACGAGAACAAGGATGACCTGATCAGCAAGATGTTCGCGGGCCTGCTGCACGCCGACCGCGTGGCGCAAATGATGAACGTCAGGAAGGGAAGGGTGAGTTACATCTAGGGATGATCGATATTAGAAAAAACTCGATTTAAAAATATCGATGTACGATAAACATCGATCGCAAAACATCGATATTGTTACGCGTTGGGATTCGTTCGGGATGAATAAAATTCCATCGAAGTATAAATTGAAACTGTATTAGCACTCAGAACACTTAAATCACTTCACAAGCACTTTAAAATTCTCAGTTCACTTCGGGTGATCCGTTTGCTGTTTCGTTTCGAGTAGTTCCTATTACTGACTGACTGCGTGCCATCTCTGCAACGCTTTTATAGCCGATACCACATCCCTGGAATTCCGAGAATGTTCCACACATTTCGAGTATTGAGTTTCCACTATATGACAATAGATGGCGTTGTACTTCTCGAGCGTTCTGAGTGCTACTAGATCCGTCGATATTCGTTCAACTATTCGGCGATAGATGGCGTTACTCTGACCGGCATAACATTAATTAAAACTACGTTTTACGGATTTTAAGCGGGCGTTTAATTATTGGACTTGACTCCGACATCACGCTTCACAATTTACATTTTCTTAATTTCACACACATTTATATAATACGGCTTACTTCGATTAAGTTCATCAGTGTCGTCTAGTTTAAAATAGTTGTGCTACCTAGGGAGTCACTAGCTAGAAAGTACATCCACCCGATAACAACCCGTAACATAACCCGAGAAGGTTCGAGTTTTTTCGAAAAGCCGGGAAGTCGGGAACAGCGACTTTGTTTCATTTTCCCATATTTGTGCACTTTCACAGATATTAAACATTTAATAAACCACCGTTATTACACATTTAAATCTGAAGAAATAAACTAAATAGACAAAATAAAACAAATCACACAACTTCACTCTTCGCGTTCCCGCCAAAAAATTCGTTTTGTTTTTAATGTACATGTCGAAGGTTAAGAATCGAACCCTGTAACCCTCGAGCTACCAAGGATAACTTGTTCCTCGAAGTTATAGGATTATATTTATTTTTTTATACAGATGCTAATATCTCGCTTCGTGAGGCGAGTGGGTCCGAGTCACCCTCGCCTGCGCACGCTGTGGGGCCGCCTGCTGAGGGCGCTCACCGTCGCCCGACGTCACGACCCGACCGTCGATCTAGCGACCCCGTACGCAGAGTAAGTGCAGGACTGGATTTCGTTTTGGTGTTACCGGAATCGAGTGGTGTGCTGTGAGCCGGCCCGGGGGACCGCGGTCCCGGATTTTGGTAGGCAGCGGCTTGGCTCTGTCCCTGGCATTGCTGAAATCCATGGACGACGATAACCACTCACCATCAGGTGGACCGTATGCTCGTCTGCCTACATATACATATATATAGGGATGGCGTAGTAGAATAAAGCCATACTTCCTGAAGTGTTTCACAATTAATTTTATTTCTCGTCTTAACCACGCAACGTCTTACCTCTGATACCTTTTTTTTGACAACCAACTGATCATGACGTAGTATATGCACAGATTAAACTGACCCTTTCTTTTGACAACCAACAGTTTTGACAGTGATGTAGTAAATACACAGATTAAACTAAAGTATTTCGACACACATCTGTGGAGCCGGATAACCGATATACATAATAATATAAAATATCAACCTCATGCCTAAAAGTGGATGGTAATCGCATTGTTATGTGTAGACTCCTATTGAAGGATTGGATGATCATCACACGATACTAACTACGCTATAACTTAACGCCAGGCGAGCTGTCAGCTTGACGCGTGACTTGAGCTTTTTAAAACAAGGTGTTTTTATGTTCCAGATACATCCAGAGCACGACGGGCTGGTCGGCCGTGCTGGAGTCGTGCAGCGTTCTGTCCGAAGCGTTGGATCCCGCTCGCACGCCTCACGCTCTGTCGTCATCTGTTAGTATAATGTATACATTTGACCGGTAGTAGGACGTCTTGTGAGTCCGCACGGGTAGGTACCACCGCCCTGCCTATTTCCGCCGTGAAGTAACCAGTAAACCAACCCAGAATGAACTATGCACTGACCGTTTTTTTTTGTATGATTGTCCGTTTTGTTTATTTATTTATTTATACCTCATGTAAAATTTGCCTAAGTCAACCAAAGGTAGTGCAGAGTAAATAGTGGTAGGTGCAATGAAATTTATATTAAATTACAAATACATACACAATATATATATATATACACATACATACATATAATAGTTTATAGTATTATACGTTTTGATGTGAAAAATCACAAAATATGTCTCTGTAATTTTTAGTTTACGCTCTCGGCCATCTGCGCTCTAGTACTGAAAGCGTCTACCCTGGTGAGCACGGGTGAGCCCTCCGCCGGCGAGCGCCAGTGGGCCAAGTTCCTGCGCACGGCGGCCCGCGCCCTCCGCGCCGCACCGCCAGGCCCCCGCCCCGCGCGCCCCCTGCCCGAGCCCCGCCTGCGCCGCCACCTCCGCCAGCTCGAGGCGCGCGGGCCCGTCGAGATCCTGCAGCGCGGCCAGGCGCCCAACCTCGTCGACATGACGAAGCAAGAGATGCACGAGCTGCTCGTGAAGCATCTGTGCTGATGTCCGCGGGCCGAGCCTCGACAGAAGTGTAACTTCTCGGGCTGCAGAAGTGTAACTTCTCGGGTCGGGCATGCGGAGCTCAGAGCTTTAGTGCGGCGCTTATGAAGCTCCTGAGCGACGAAACGTTTTACTAAACGAGAAGACACGTTTTTTTACTAATTAACTTTTAATTTGTTTTCTTAATTTTTATATGTAGAGTACGTAATTGTAAATATATATTCATATATATATAAAAGAAAGAATGACAGCAAAATCGATGCAAAATTATTGTTTATTTTTCTACAGGCGGCTACATATTTCTTATTCTGTGTTGCCAACGGTCGAGCGATTGGTTATTGTTATGCTTTTAAATTGTAAAGATTAAAACGGACAGTTATATAGTATATGATCTGGTTATCGGGAGCTGACATTTTTTATTTTATTTTATTGTCACGATGTCGAGGGGTGAAAGGCTGTTTTTGTTTACGTGACATTTATCTTTGTAATTAAAGATGCGTTTTATTTGGTATCAAGCATCAACAATTCGATGTTTTTAATTGAACTTCAATTAATTTTACAACCATTCAAATAATTGAAGTTTTTTTTTTTATTATGAATTTTTTTTTCAAATTTTAAACTTTAAATGGCTCTGCTGTAAAATTGCAAAAATGTCGCTTATACCAAAATAGCCATTCACCTTAACCTAACCTAACTTTGTCAGTTGAGAAATCTTCTTTCGGAAACTTTTCGATTTCACCGAATTAATATATCGGATAACATTAACCTTATATCGAAGGTTATTCTAGATCAGAGTTCATTCCAAATGCAAAAACTCACACTAAAATTGTTACATATTTTTTCTATTTAAACATATTTCTTGGTTGGTTCAATATGATGTTTCGCATACAATCGTTAATAGGTAATAAATACTTTACGTTAGATCTAAGGGAATATAGCTCGTATCGCTGCTAGCATAGGACGTATAATGCTTTGAACTCGCCACCGAATATTTCATCTAACTGGGACTACCTTGTTAATAGTAAGTATCGCCTCTATATAGAGTCAATGACCACTTCGTAGGCCGTTAGATCATATTATTGTACTAACTACCCATATTGAGGTCCTTTCCTTAGCCAGCAATGTACCCTGAATTATTTGATTTTGTTACATTGCGCGCTCTTTAAAGGACGGTTCAATACGATTTTTTTATGTGTAGATTTTCTTCGGATATCCATGAAGACTTTATTCATTATTTGACAATGACTTGACGTTTCTGTTTGCAACGTTTGGGGGTAGATTATATTAGAAAATTGAGGGGAGAGTCGAGGGTACACAATTCCTAAGGGATAGAGATATTAAAGACGATGACGTAATTATCCTATGATTATCCTTAATCTGGCTTATATCCAAAAAAGAGTTCCATCGATCCTTTTCTGGTGGGAGAAATTTTGTATTTTGCAATAAGATTATCAACTTAAATGTATTTATTACTACATTACATACATAAATATATGCAGCGTTATATGTATGTAGAGCGTATATGTTTCTTTCCTTTTTTTTTCATTTAATCATTGTAAATATTAAAAGGTTTTTTTATACACTAAAGTAGTCGTAGTGTAGATGTTAGATTGCTTGTAATCATTATAAAAATGGTTTAAAAAAAAAAAGAAATATATAATTATAAGCTTTTCTTATTTTATTAAATATGTAATAATAAAATTATGCTTTTATTAAACGATCCATCGAATTGTGGAAGGAATATGTTTGGAATCCATAAAAATTCATGGATAAAATATTATATATTTAGATATAATTATGATATCTGAGGATTAAACTTGTTTTTTTTTATTCATCTGTTTGTGTCTGTGATTAAATAAGACTCTGTATTGGTTCGTTTTGCTCGTGTTTTTATTTTATTTTTTATTTGATTTTATTACTTTAATGTTTTCCATTTTATTGTCGTCAAGTGTATCATTAATTAATTGATGAAAGAGAAGAATTTTAATCCTCGGATAGAAAAAGCGAATGCACATCACATAATCTGTTCTCGAAGTGATGTGAGTTTGGCAAAATGGAAAAATGTTTTTTTTTCTTTCTTTTAGAATTATTTAAAAAAATTAAATAAAAAGTAAAAAAATTGAAAATGTTATTGAAAAAAATTAAAAATAAAAACTTGTACATTTGAACGGTGGAAACGAGACTTGGGTGTAAATGGGGTTGATTTTGTATTTAAATAAATTATAAAAGATACAAATAAATTAAATTTCAATAAATAATAGGCAATAAATCGGACTTGGCAATGAATCGCGAACTGTAATATAGTTATCGTAAGGGATGTATGTATTATTTTAAATTTGAAAACTATCATCGGATCATCAGTTTTATAATGACCTTTCTCAAATCACTATGAGAAAAAAAATTCATAATTCTATTTCTTTTTTTATTATTGGTAACACCAACGCGTGATGTCACCGGTGGGTAATCGTTTCTCGAGTGTATAGTCTATGTACTTTAATGACGTCACACGTAAGGATGAGCTCTTAGAGGAACAGTCCGATTCTCTTGTCTAATAGGAGAGCTGTAAGGTCGGATGTGAGCGCTGGAATTGATAATGCATGAATTTTATTGTTATTATTTGTTTTGTGTATATTGAGCGCTGTCGCTTCCGATTTTATTTAGTTCCGGATTTCGAAGGGAATCATATCGTGTAGGTCACCGGTGCCCTACGCGGCGCCGCAATCGAATACTGCCACAGATTCTCCGCTGAGTGAGTGAGATGTTGATGTAATTAAAATTTTTATTTTTTTTATTTTGTTAGATAATTTAAATGAATACAAAATGAAAGGACGTAACGATGATATGTAAAGAATTTGCAATAACTTTTTTATAAGCGAATTACAGTAAATTGAGTATTTAATGTCCTTGAAATGTTTTCGTCTGATTTATTTTAAATTTTTTCGGTACGCTTATAAGCGCTCGCTTGATCGATTGAGCCATAACGTCTTAGGTTAGGTTTCTAGATTATTCTTTTTCAATTACCCTCGGATCTGACTCCTCGAGACGGACGCGGCTACAACCAGACGACCCAACTTCTTGATGCATTTCAAGATCACCTATAAATTTAAAAATAAAGAACGGATATTTCTAAAATAAAAAAAAAATCGATATTAGAATTGCAAGTTTTTAAATAAATAAAAAAGAAAATGTCACTTGAATTTTATGGTCACGACGCGACGCATCGAAATAATGAATTTGTTTTAAATTTCGGTGTGTCGTTTGTAAATTACTATATATATACTATATATATATAAAATATTATTATAATGTTTTTTTTTTATGTTAACATCTCGTAAACGAACCCGCAATGTATCGCGTAATGGGAACGATGACGAAGCATTGTAATTAAAACACTTAAGAGTTCCCGCTATGGAGGGTAGAGGTAAGGAGAACCGTATCTCCGTGTGTGAAAAAGTGTCCGTTAAAAATCTACTAAATAAGGGTGGCGCTACAGTAGCAACCGGGTAAATGTTAAAAAAGGCGCTGAAAGTTATTAGAATAAGATAGACAAATAAAAAAGGACGAAAGAACTGTAAGCACTGAAAAATCACAAAAAGTAGTTTATTTAAAGCTGATAAGAAAATGCAATCGATGTCTCCGCGTTTGACCACAGCAATAATTTTAGGTTATATTGACGAAATTAGTTTGGACTACGTTAACATGTGAGATCGTGTATATTACACTGTCACTAACTACTCTAGTCATTGAATATATTAAATTTCCTAACTCAGCATACTACAATCAGTTAACAACTGCTCAATTCATATCATACCCTGTGCCTATGCTAGCGCCATTCTGGAGGATTTTTGAACTGTTATTTAGTGCTGAAAGTGGGATACTTTTTCAAGCTTCTCCCATATGAGACAGTTCTCCTTACCTCTACCCTCCATAGTTCCCGCCCAAAATGTATTTGACATTTGTGACATTTGATAATTTAGTTGTTTTTTTTTTTCGAGCGCTGTGCCGAGAGATTCCGGGTTCGGTTACGGAAATACATTATATAGATATTCGATGAAAGGAAAAACCCATATTGTATTATTTAATATACAAGATTTCATATAGAAAGACATATTTTCAGAAGAAAATTAAAAAAGAAAAAAATATTAACACCAAAATACCGTGTTTTATTTTATACTAGCTGACCCGGCAGACTTCGTTTTTTTTTTTTTTTTTTCCTACCTAAGCTGATAGCCCTAGCGGCTATGTCAGCGTAACCCTAACTTTAGTAGGTGAGCTCACGGGGCTCAAACCTGACGATGTTGCTAACACGAACCCTAGCAAGAGTCGTGCTTCGCAGAATCTACCACCGGATCGGAAACGCGACCCACTGAGAAGATCCGGCGAGAAACTCAGTGGGCNAGCTCACGGGGCTCAAACCTGACGATGTTGCTAACACGAACCCTAGCAAGAGTCGTGCTTCGCAGAATCTACCACCGGATCGGAAACGCGACCCACTGAGAAGATCCGGCGAGAAACTCAGTGGGCTGTGTCTGAGAGTTAATTTACTCGTCGAGCCCTTCGACGCAAGCGTCGGGTTCGACGAGAACGGTGACCGGTGCTTGAATTACCTAAAAGCACCGTTAGTGGATCGGGAGGATCCGAGATGACGTGCAGACTTCGTAGTGCCTCAATCGATAAATAAAAGACCTAAACTTTTGTATCAAATAAACTTAAAACAAACAAAAGGAAGCCGTCCGACGTGGGACACATCAAAGGAAAAACAAAATTGTTATTTTTATATAATTCCGAGCATTTTCATATTTATCACCTTTTAAACCTTCTCTGGACTTCCACAAGTAATTCAAGACCAAAATTAGCCAAATCCGTTCAGCCGTTCTCGAGTTTTTGCGAGACTAACGAACAGCAATTCATTTTTATTTAACTAAATAGATTACAAAAAAAAAACTTCAGCTATTTGATAATGGGGTAAACATAATTGATGTTCAATTAAAAGCGTCGAATTCTTGATGCTAATAACAAATGTAACTATACTGAGACCTTTGAACTTCTATTTCAAAGTGGATGGCGCATTTACGTTGTAGATGTCTGTGGGCTAGGTAACCACTAAAGACCAGGTGGGCTGCGAGCTCGTTCACCCTTATGCAAGAAAAAAACGACGTTTATTAATTACAAAGTTAAATGTCGCTTAAACCAAATAGCCTGTCATACTTCGATATAAGGCGTTTTTTTAACGGCCATCCCTTTTTTTATTTTTTTTATTACATAGACGTGTGGACGTCCTCATGGCCCACCTGGTGTTAAGTGGTTACCGGAGCCTATAGACATCTACAACGTAAATGCCGTCACTCAACTTAAGATATGAGTTTTAAGGTTTCAGTAGTTACTCTATGTCTGTATCAAACCGGTACCCTAGATTGGGGGGAATCCGGACCTTTTCCAAATCCAACATAAATTTTCAATGGTTTTTCTTAGGTTAATGCCAATAGCATTGAGATTAAAATGGTTCCGGAAGCTTAAATTTTTATATATGATGCGTTATTATACATAATTCATCACAAAATATACACAAAAACTGAAGAAACTAGCTTGACCCGATCCACCTTGGCTTTGGGGTCAATCAAGTTACGTATGGGGACAATAGTTTTTCGGTAGGGTTGGCACTATTTCGTTGTTAGGTAGGTATCTAACTTTAGGCCCTCTACCCGAAAAAAAAAAAAACTTTAGGTAATTAACTTTTAAATATCCTTAATAAGTTACAAAACTTGATGACTAAATTAAACTATTTAATATTCTTGAACACTAGGTAAAGAAAAGTCATTTTCAGTGTGCTTAGTGCGAGTTTTGTAACGTTCTCGATAGCGTAAAAGTTAACCCTATTTTTTTTTTTTTTTTTTTTTTTCCTACCTAAGCTGATAGCCTTGAGAGGCTATGTCAGCGTAACCCTAACTTTAGTAGGTGAGCTCACGGGGCTCAAACCTGACGATGTTGCTAACACGAACCCTAGCAAGAGTCGTGCTTCGCAGAATCTACCACCGGACCGGAAACGCGACCCACTGAGAAGATCCGGCGAGAAACTCAGTGGGCTGTGTCTGAGAGTTAATTTACTCGCCGAGCCCTTCGACGCAAGCGTCGGGTTCGACGAGAACGGTGACCGGTGCTTGGAGTACCTAAAAGCACCGTTAGTGGATCGGGAGGATCCGAGATGACGTGTTTTGGGCGACGTCGACTGCTTTCCATTCTGTCCGCAGGATCGGGAATGTAGTTACCGGCGGCCACGATGAGAGGGTTCTCGTGTCGTGCCGCTTTATCGAAGTGGCGCATGGACGCCGACTGCAGATACTTACTGATGGACTCTAAGTCCAGGTCGTCATGGAGGTCGACGTTCCTGACGAACCACGGGGCTCCGACGGCTATCCTGCAAAAACGGGATTGAATAATTTGAAAGGATTTTAAGTGTATGCGGGCCGCGTGAGCGAACACTACACTTGCATAGGTCATGACGGGGCGTATGCAAGTTTTGTAGAGTGTCACCTTATTTCTAAGGGACATTTTACTTCGCCTACATATCATCGGGTAGAGACGTCCTAGAATGAAGGCGGCACGATCGCGTACCGTCTTGATGTGGGGGCGGAATGTCATCCTACTGTCGAGGGTGACGCCTAAATATTTGACCTTCGGCGCCCACGGTATGGGCTGGTCGAACATCGTGATTGGGCGAACGGCGGGGGCGGGGGTGTTGACGCGCCTAGTCGGGAGGGGGACCTATTTTGTATGCAGTTGAAACAGCGCCCCTAGCGGCAAACGTACGCAAACGATTCCATTCCATACAAATATGAGCTAACTTTTGCGCTATCGAGAACGTTAAAAAACTCGCACTAAGCACACAGTTCTACAGAATTAAATCTAACAACTCGACAACAGTATTGTGACATTTTTGTCCAGATTTGTCCCTATTCTAACTCTAGTCTCTATTACCCCCAATCTACTTTAGGCATGATTGCTTCGAGACAAAAGACGATGGTACCTACTAACCCGGGCGGCATATTTCCATTTCGGTATTCACTATGAGGTAGCATTACAATGAAACACACGTGTTTGTCGCGCTAACTGCAATTCCAAAATCGAGTTCTTTTTTTTTCTACCTAAGCTGATAGCCTTGAGAGGCTATATCAGCGTAACCTTAACTAGTAGGTGAACAGGGCTCAAGCCTGACGATGTTGCTAACACGAACCCTAGCAAGAGCCGTGCTTCGCAGGATCTACCACCGGATCAGAAACGCGACCCACTGAGAAGATCCGGCGAGAAACTCAGTGGGCTGTGTCTGAGGGTTAATTTACTCGCCGAGCCCTTCGTCGCAAGCGACGGGTTCGACGAGAACAAACTCGTGTTCAATTACAAACTTAGGTAGGTAACAATCAAATTTCACCAATCGAAATAATAAACACAAAATGATCTCTAACGTTCCTTTTATTTGAGTCGCTTTTACGAATTCACGAGAAACTCGACAATTTCAATTCTTGAAGCATTTCGAACACGGTCTCGACGAGCTTGTATTTCACACTGAAGGCGCCCCGTCTCGCGTCAACAGACCCGTACGACATGTTCAAAGCGAACAGATCCGTGTAAAACTGGAATAGAAAAAAATTGTAAGTTTATAAGTTGGTGGTAAGACCTCTTGTGAGTCTGCGCGGATAGGTACCACCACCCTCCCTATTTGTGCCATGAAGCAGTAATGAGTTCCGGTTTGAAGAGCGGGGCAGCCGTTGTAATTACACTGAGACCTTAGTACTTATATCTCAAGGTGGGTGGCGCATTAACGTTGTAGATGTCTATGGGCTCCAGTAACCACTTAACACCAGGTGGGCTGCGAGCTCGTTCACCCATCTAAGCAATAAAAAAATGCTATAAGGATATTCGTAATAAAAGTGAAAACTCACTTGAAATCCCAGAATTGGTTCACAGCTGAATTCTTGGCTCAATTCGTTCGCTTGCAAGATGCTCGCCTGTTGCGGTGTCACGAGCAAAAGTTGAAATTTAGCCTAAAAAAAATATCTTGTCTGTAAAGTCAGCAGAGCTATTCGAATTGCTAGCTCTGACGTCACTCGAGAAGAGATAAATGTGTCACAAGCCAACGCTTGACCGATCGTGCCTCGCTTGCTCCGCGCTCTCGCTCGCACGCTCAGACTAAGGCAGAACGTGACACTTTCTCGTGCGTGCAGCCGGTTTTCATTGATTTATAAGACGTTATCGCTTTAAAACCAGGTAATAACTAAAAGATGTATATTAATAAACTCCTACCACCTACCACCAGTTTTGAGTTTGTTGCGTAGAGTTTGCTCCTAAATAACCTCAATGGTGATGTTGCATTCAAATTAAAAGAACATTTATTTTGGTTTAATGTTATTACTGAAACATATTAGCTGCCCAAGGAATGGAAGCACGCAATACCCATTGTGGGTAGTTTTGACTTGACTTTAGTTTTACCTCTCTCTTTTTATCAACAGCTTCGCGTATTTGCATGACTATATTTCGTCTTCCAGCCGCCGCGTTCCATCTGAAAATATCAAATGTTTTTGACCACGAAAGTGTCTCTGTATCGAGTGAAGAATTTAAGAGGCCGTACTAAAGTTTTTTATTTATTTTTATAACTATCTCAGATGTTAAACAGTTAACGGTTTGACAAGAAATTTCCTGAAGCTTTTTTTTTTTAACCAGTTACCAGATAACGGAAATAAATGTAATATTTTTATTATACACATACATATATTTAATATACAGCCATAACCTTGGACAAAACATTTTTTATATTTATCATACAAATATCTTCCCTTGGCGGGATTCGAACCCGCGACCCCCTTGTGTAGTGACCATGCCACTTACCACTACACCAGACGGCCGTTGGATTGTTGGTATCGTTTTCATGTCTAAAGGTTTGCATCTCAAACAAGGCTAGGATGAATCCTGTAATACTGCTTGGAGTGAAAAGTCTATAGACATCTTGGAAACCACTGCTCAATATGTGCATTCTTATATTTATCGGGCCATCACACTTAAAAAAATGCGATGGACAGTTCCAAGCTCCCCCGACCAGATTCAGCAGGCTACATCATCGACTTACTGCATCTTAACAGCTTCTCGATGCCGAATTGCCCTGAAGGACCCCAAGTGTCTGACCTGTCTACCACACAGCAGACTTTTTTGTCTAGTTGCATAGATGAGTTGAAATCCCACTTGAGGCTACCAGAGCCTATGTCATCTCACAAACTGAATACCCCCACTCCAAAAGTAACGACAATATAGCAGATATCCTTTCAACCGACAGGCATGACTACTTCGTAGCAGATATAGGCAACAAAACCCAAAACTCATAGGCCTTGCGAGGCGATTGCGTATTTCATTTGAAAAAGCTAGTATCCGTCTGCGGGCTTCGAACACTGGCCAAGAGAATTTGGTGACGTTTAACTTCAAATATTTCTGTCAAAGCGTACCGGCTCCATTGAAAGTTATAGGCCCGCGAAAGAAACGCCATCGCGTGGTAATTGTGACGCTCCGCGGGCCACTCTTTAGGGCAGCTACCTTCGACTTGGTTGTACGCGTCGAAATCAGGAAAGAAGTCGCAGGCTGCCTCGCGCATTATCTATGCAAACGCACTTAAACCGATGTGAGTGACTTTTTGGCGGGAATGCGAGGAGTAAAGTTGTGTGATTTGTTTTATTTTGACTATTTAGTGTTTCTTCAGGTTTAAATGTGTAATAACGGTGGTTTATTAACTGTTTATTATCTGTGAAAGTGCACAAATGTGGGAAAATGAAACAAAGCCGCTTGACGTAACTTCTCGGGATCCTCCAAAAAGTCTATTGAAAAAATCTCAGCAAATAACCACCATTTTACCAAGTATAATATAATTATATATTTCATCTCATCTCATTTCATTTCATTTCACTCCATTTTATCATTTTTCATAAAATGAACAATATAAATCAAAATAAGACATGCCTTAAAGGTCTTAGTTACCAGGTCATAAAATCCCTTAAAAAACAACTGATGTGAGTGATACAATGAATAAAATAGCCAACCGAAATTGCAGTTACTTTGGTACCTATCGAAACGTACGTTGAGACACGAGGTCGATATCCCAATGGTCTGTCTTACCCCCGAAACGGAACGCATTACTACCGCCCGGCAGAAATAGGCATAGTGCGTATCCGCGAGCTTACAATACGCTCTACCAGCAAATGCCGTTACGATCATCTTACCCTGGTATCGAACTCAGAGAACGGTGATTCTCTGGTGAACTTATTCGCTCTTTATGACACCCACAAGAAGAGATGGCACTATCCTAGACCACCATGCCGTCTAACATATAACGTTCAAACCATAACATCAGTAACACTATCCTACAAACAGAATTACATTACTGCTTCTCGGCACATCTAGACAGCACTATAGAACATTCGATACCTTAATACACAGGCACAACCCACTGAGTTTCTCGTCGGATCTTTTAGTTGGGTCGCGATTCCGATCCTGTATTAAATTCAGCGAAGCACTGCTCTTGCTAGGACCAATGCTAGCAATTTTTCTCAAGTTGACGCTACGAGCTCAACTACCGGTCTGCGTGAAGTTGAAATAGCTCCGAAAGCTACCGACGATTAGGTAGGGAAAACAAACACAGGCACATCAAAGTCAAAATCAATATAAAGGTTTCAAAGAAAATACCTGAACCATTCGCTTGACGCTGAATGGCTTATTGAAGTACTCCTTCAAGGCTGATGTAGTTGCGTTTGCAATCCATTTCAGCCTGACCGAATTGCCCAGGCAAAGCCAGGTCATTGTAACGCTGACTCCCGTTACCGAAATCAACACGCCTTTGCTGAGGACGAAGACAAAGCCGATTAACGCTCAGGACTAAGAAGTTGTTAAAGGCAACGACACCATAATGAATAATCAATCTAATATGGCCATTAGTGATCAGATTACTAATGCATAGCCCTCCTAGCAACGCCAACAAAACTGCATCATGCTTAATTACAATGACATCTTTTTTCCCTACCTATCATAGCTGGTATTCTAAGGGCTATTCCAGATACGCCCAAACTGTTAGGTAAGTTCACGGGTTCAACTTGAGAGAATTTGCTAACACTATGCCTAGCAAGAGCAGTGTTTCGCAGAATCCACCACCGGATCAGAATAGTGACATACGAAGAAGATCCGCCGGGAAATGTCAAAAGTCGTCGTGGCCAAAAGGATAAGACGACCGGTGTATTCGTGTTGAGCGATGCCCCGGTGTTCGAATCCCACGCGTACCAATTTTTCTAATGAAATACGTACTCAACAAATGTTCACGATTGACTTCACGGTGAAGGAATAACATCGTGTAATAAAAATCAAACCCGCAAAATTATAATTTGCGTAATTACTGGTGGTAGGACCTCTTGTGAGTCCGCGCGGGTAGGTACCACCGCCCTACCTATTTCTGCCGTGAAGCAGTAGTGCGTTTCGGTTCGAAGGGTAGGGCAGCCGTTGTAACTATACTGAGATCTTAGAACTTATATCTCAAGGTGGGTGGCGCATTTACGTTGTAAATGTCTATGGGCTCCAATAACCACTTAACACCAGGTGGGCTGTGAGCTCGTCCACCCATCTAAGCAATAAAAAAAACCCAATGAGCTGAGTCTATGGGTTAATTCGCTCGTCGAACTCTTCGAACGACGAGGACGGTGACCGGTGCCTGAGCGTCCTAAAACCACCGAGAGTGGATCCGAGGGATCCGACATGTTTGGGCGACGGCGGTTTTGCATTGCCCCGTCACCTAGGTCGAATAGGTAATTAGCGGCGGTCACGTTAGGAGGATTATCGTGTCGCGTGTACTACAATCGGATCAATGCTTTAGAAACGCATAGAAGACAAACATACAATATTTTTCATCATTACATGCTAAAAAATATAGCACATTATTCTATATTTTATATCGGAATATATTGCAAATTCAAATGTACAATTTAAAATGATAGATACCCGACTTTATGTCATTACTTATTTAGTCCATAAGAATTGTTTCATAAGCTCGCGCTCTATTGTTAGGTCACTCATAGATTAACTTAAGTTTTCCTTAGATATCACAATGTAAATTCCGGTACTGAGTTGATATCAAATGAGCAGAAGCCACTCACCTTTCCGGGTCCGGTCGCATATCCCAACCCTGGTAAGGCAAATTGCTGTATCTCAAAGCTGCTATCCCAATTGGCCCTAAGAGAAATAATTTACTTTTTTAGGGGAATCGACAGACCACATGGATATATTTGTGGTCATCGTGGCATAAACATTAAAGTTAAGACGCCTTGAGTACCGTGTGTAAAAACACCTCAAATGTTTTATTATTATTTATTGCCTTAGTAGGCATACGAGCATACGGCCCACCTGATGGTGAGTGGTTATCGTCGCTCATGAATGTCAGTAAAGCCAGGGTCAGAATCAAGCCGCTGCCTACCGTTAAGTACACTCCACAAGCCTCGTTTGAAGAAGGACATGTCATAGCGTTCGGGAAACACTGTGGAGCTCATTCCAAAGTCGGATGGTATGTGGTAAAAAAGATCTCTGGAAACGCACTGTGGATGAACGCAGTGGTTCTAGGTAATATGGATGCATGGTCCAGTGGCGGTGTGGAATGAAAATCAAACCCTATTTCTGTGTGATAACAGTAATGCGGTCCGATTTGAAGAGCGGGAAGCTTATACATGTTTCACGGTGCTATTGACCTGTGATTAGATCCACGCACTTCGATAGTCAACCAAACAAAACTGAATGACTTGATAGTGCGGTAATTAGCGGACCTGACTGTTGCGCCAAGGGTCGTGGGTTCGATTTCCACGTCGGCAAAAATCGCGCTATGAACAGATTTATGGCTATTTCTCTGGATGTTTATTATCTATATATGTATAATTTCAAGCGTATCTAAATATGTATGTACGTCCGTCTCTAGTGCCCATGTGCGTAATTTGTTCCCGGTTATATAAAGTGTGTGCTCCCTTACATAAGACTCCAGTACGAAATTGAACCGTAAGCTTATCCTCGTTGAACTTATAATCGTTTATGTAGTTGCTCGTCCACAGCTTCCGAGCTTCTTGCCACTGACAGACAACCGGTGGTTCGGTCCACATAACGCTCTGGGGTAAGCTGCAGACACAAACAGGATAATAGGATTACATTCAATAAAGCTAAGGACTCTGTCTAAGGCAACAGGACTCTGAAGTCGTCGTGGCTTAAAGGATAAGGTGTCCGGTTCATTTGTATGTAGCGATGCACCGGTGCTCGAATCCCGCAGGCGGGTACCAATTTTTCTAATGTAATACGTACTTAACAAATGTTCTCGATTGACTTCCACGGTGAAGGAATAAAATCTATCTATACCTATATAAGTATATAAAAATGAATTGCTGTTCGTTAGTCTCGCTAAAACTCGAGAACGGCTGGACTGATTTGGTTAATTTTGGTCTTGAATGATTTATATAAGTCCAGAAAAGGTTTGAAAGATAGATAAATATGAAAATGCTTGGAGTTAAATAAAAATAACAATTTTGTTTTCCCTTTGATGTGTCCCCCGTCAGACGGATTCCTTTGATTTGTTTTAAGTTTATTTTATATAAGTTTAGGTCTTCTATTTATTGATTCAGGCACTACGAAGTCTGCCGGGTCAGCTAGTAGTGTAATAAAAATCTAACCCGCAAAATTATAATTTGCGTAATTACTGGTGGTAGGACGTCTTGTGAGCCCGCATGCGTAGGTACCACGGGTAGGTACCACCACCCTGCCCATTTCTGCCGTGAAGCAGTAATGCGTTTCGGTTTGAAGGGTGGGGAGCCGTTGTAACTATACTGAGGCCTTAGAACTCATATCTCAAAATGGATGGCGGCATTTACGTTGTAGATATCTATGGGCTCCAGTAACCACTTAGCACCAGGTGGGCTGTGAGCTCGTCCGCCCATCTAAGCAATAAAAGAAAAGGTTTCCTTACTCGATAAAAACAAGAGCCAATTTTTCATATTCCGTTTCGACTCTCTTTATCTCTGCCTCGATTTCCTCTGGGGTGCGCGTCACCCCCGCCGGGGGAGGAGAGGGCGCGCGGTACTGTATCTGATACTTCATCGGCTGCAGTGTCTTCGGCAGCTGTACTGGAAACAATGTGAGGTCGAATGATGTAACATCATTATCATCATCATCAGCCTATAGCAATCCACTGCTGGAAATAGGCCTCTTCAAGTGCACACCATTGACCACGATCCTCGGCATCTCTCATCCAGCTTTTGCAACTACCCTGCATAGATCGTCAAGGCACGTTACCTAATGAGCTAATAATTTAACGGTATTAAAAGAGGACCGTTAAAGAAAGAGAAAGAAGAAGAATCGACGCGCTGGAAATGTGGTGCTGAAGAAGGATGCTCCATATATCTTAGAATGAGCGTCGCACCAACGTCTCGACCCTAAAGGAACTTAACATCTCGCAAAGATTGTCGTCAACAGTGCAATCCAAGATTCTCCGATATATCGCGACGGCCGGCATAGGCTCATCGAGAAACTTGTTGTTCAGGGTAGGTTCAAGGGTAAAAGACCTCGTGGACGAAGCCCCTAGCGCTGGACTGATCAAGTATAAAACCTTACCAAAACCCCACTTAACGAGTGCGTGCGCCAAGCCTCAGTTCGCCAATTATGGAGAACAGCTGTCAAGGCTATATTAAACATGAATTCAACATGACCGCGACTGCTCTACTAAGGATAGAATCCACTGGGTGTAAATAATTACCGGACTCTGACTGTTTGATGAAGAGAATGCCTCCGCCCATCTTGAGACATGAGGTTGGAGTTTCAAGGTCAACAAAGCATAAACCAAAGCAAAACAGTCAAGCGCCATGAGTGAGAAAACTTAACGACAGACATGAGTGAGAAAAAACTGTAAGAAAGGGAAAAGAGAATGATAGACAGAATTACAGAGAAAAGGAAGATGGCGAAGACGGTTAAAAAATGAGCAAGGCGTATGTAATAAAAGTGGTTATTAATTTTTAATTATTATTATTATTATAACAGAAGATTTTGGAACAGTAGAAGGTTTATTTTATGCGTTGCGATCCCTATTCTACATACTTAAAGATGTATTTCTGATTTGTTAGCATTACGTAGCATAATTCATAGATAGCATTCTAGTATGTATATTCCGTAAGAGATACATCAAAAATGACTGCGATTCTGTCAAATGCAATCCCAGATATCATTAAACACATTGTCATGATGAGTATGAGATAATGAAAATAAATTTTACCATTTCCGACACAATACTAGGAATTTATAACATCGAAACAAAATAATGTAGGTATTTAAGTTTTAATAAAAAAACTACACTAACACGAAAATGCCATATGCGCCACGGTTGACTAGTGCAGAATTATCCAATGATTTGCAAGCAAAGTAAATTTTCCCTTCGTACACTACAAAACTTGCATACGCCCCGTCATGACGTATGCAAGCGTAGTGTTCGCTCACGCGGCCCGCACCAACTTGAAACCCCTTCAAGTCATTCAATCCCGTTTTTGCAGGATAGCCGTCGGAACACCATGGTTATTAAGGAACGTGGATCTCCATGATGACCTATAGCTTGACTCAGTCAGTAAGTATCTACAATCGGCATTATTGCGCCATTTCGAGAAGGCGGCACGACCTGAAAACCCTCTTGTCGTGGCCGCCGGTAATTATATACCCAATCCTGTGGACCGAATGGTAAACAGTTGACGTCGCCCTAAACATGTCATTACGGATCCTCCCGATCCACTAACGGTGCTTTTAGTTACCCCAAGCATCCGTCATCGTTCTCGTCGAACCCATCGCTTGCGGCGAGTAACTTAACCCACAGACACAGCCCACTGAGTTTTTCGCCGGATCTTCTCAGTGGATCGCGTTTCCGATCCGGTGGTAGATTCTGCGAAGCACGGCTCTTGCTGGGGTTCACGTTAGCAACAACGTCAGGTTTGAGTCCCGAGAGCTCACCTACTCGCCCGGTTACGCTGATATGGTCTCTCAAGACCATCAGCTTAGGTAGGAAAAAAAGTAGCTGGTAAAAAAGAGGTTGGTATGTGTGGATGCGAGTGATATGCAAGTGCAAGTTCATTGCTGAGTATTTAGTACATGCTTACATCAGCTCAAATAATATTTTCAACTCAGCACAAGCTCAAAATACCGCTTTTGCCGCGAGACAACAGTGAACAAAACGCGATTTTGATTCGAGCGTGGGTCAAAGTAACTAGCTTTTTAATTTCTCAATCTTCAGTGCCACGAACTGACATTGTTCAGCCATAAATTTAAAACATCGAATTTTACTGTGCTCTGTCTCTTTCACATGCATATAAAAAAGCGAGTGAAAAATACAAACCCCTTCAAAATTCGATTTTGGAATTCGACCTCAAAGAAAACACGTTCGGAAACGCGTAATACCCTAATATCTAAAGATATTTGTAATAAGGAAATTACATTTTTTTTAATAGTTATTTCAATCTATTCCTGTTAACTTCTATGTCTCCTAAGTAATATGTGTTCTCACTGCTGAGATGAAAAGTTATGTGTGCTACACGAGAGCAAAGTTTTTTGCAGCTCGCTACGCTCTTGAATCAATCATAAAATCCTGAGCGTAGTGAGATGTAATGTAAAAAACGTAATTTATTTATAACAAACCTAGTCACTGGTGGTAGGACCTCTTGGGAGTCCGCACGGGTAGGCACCACCGCCCCGCCTTTTTCCGCCGTGAAGCAGTAATGCGTTTCGGTTCGAAGGGTGGGGTAGCCGTTGTAACTATACTGAGATCTTAGAACTTATATCTCGAGGTGGGTGGCGCATTTACGTTGTAGATGTCTATGGGCTCCAGTAACCACTTAACACCAGGTGGGCTGTGAGCTCGTCCACCCATCTAAGCAATAAAAAAATAAATAAAAAACCAGATCCAACAAACAAACAAACTCTTCAGCTTTATAATATTAGTATATATGATACGTAGATTATAATATTATGTTTACAATTTGTTTATGTCACTTTAAATAAAAGTGATTTTGTATTCAAAAACAAGTCATGGATGATGTTGATTGATTGTTTTTGTTGATGAATCTTGTGTTATTTGCAACAAAAGTAGTGAAAAAATTATTTTCTGACGACATATTGGAAAAATGTGGATTCATTTTAAAAGTTATTATTATTATTATTATTCAGTTATCAATTGCTCTATACATGTCAATGTTATTTTATGTCTTACTGTAAACCCTGTCGGTAATCCTTAAATAAATAAATAAATAAATAAAATTGCTAATATAACATAACCTTAAATATAATAGACATCATTCTTCCCACTGAAGTAGGAAACCTATGGAAATGAAACGTCAACAAAAAATTCGTCCCACTGTGACGTCATCTGGCCACAAATCATGGCGGTTTTAGTGCTGCCCAGAAGATTTTAATCTCAGTAGGTTTTATCGATAAACGTTCTTGGCTTATTTTATTTTAAATATTGTTGAGTATGAATGTATTTGTAGAATTTATACTTTAATAGGAATTAAGTATATTGTTATGTGCAAAGATGATGTGATTTAGATATTATGTGAAATATTACTTGAGAGTGATTCAAATTTTAAACTTATCAAGGGACCGCCTGATAAAAAAAAACACCTACAGAACATTTATTCGTTAATGAAATTACAAACGTCATTCCTTGTGACTTCCTCTCTAAAAATCACTTAATTAATAAATATTTAACGAATTTACAATAGTGTTTTACTCACTGCGGAATAAAACTATTTTATTTAAATAGTTCCGAAGAGATTTTGTCGGTAGCCTTTTTCCCGAAATATCTAAACAGAATGTCTAAATATGTTTTGATGACATATTTTAAAGTGGTATTTATGATTAGTGTCATGATCAATAGATTCCGACCGAAAAATGGATTTTTCGGATGAGGGCTCCATAATGAATTTAAATACATATAGATAATAGTTTTAGGGCATCGACTTTCTTGAGATCCTATAAAATACGTTTTAATTATTATTTTTGTATGTTTTAAGCATGATAAATTATGAAATTTTATATAAACAATCATATTAAATCGATATCAAAGTCAATAAATAATGTACAACCCAAAACAGACGGCCGAACTGACGTGACAATGACATTTGGCGCGCTAAACATGGCGGATTTTCGGCCTCATTAGACGGAGACGGAGACATTTACGTATATTCATGTTTCATTTTATGTACGCACTGAAATACTGTTATATTGTTTTCCTGCGAGTTAAAGTGCTGAGTAAGAACGAGATAGATATATGTTTATGTGTGTGCCTTCAAAATGGGTGCTATTTATATAAGCAATTGTACGTATAGAACAATATGTCGTGTCCCTACTATATAGGTCTATGATTCTTCCACATGGATATAAAGAGGGTGGCCATCATAGAAAATGTCAAAAATCATTCACAGAGCTAATGAAAAAATATTTTGCCACAGAACTAAAAACATTCTGAAAAGATTATTGAAACAGTGCAAGAAAAAGAAACATTTTTTTTTATTGCTTAGATTGTGCGGACAAGCCCACAAGCCCACCCGGTGTTGAGTGGTTACTGGAGCCCATAGACATCTACAACGTAAATGCGCCACCCACCATACTTGGGCCATACTTGGGCCATACTTGGGCAATAAGTGGATGATATTTCATCATTAGCCAGACATTTTTGATACTTCCAACCCTTTGCCAGAACAACGTAAGTGTTAATATTGAAATGAACTTTTATTAACTTTAGTGGTTGCATTGGTATTTGGTATTTTCACCCACTCCTTTTTTTATTATTCTTTATTAGAGCCATACACGTGTTAGGTTAAGTCGGCTTACACCCACTTCTTTAAGATCACAAATGTCCTCAGCTACCTGGGAAGGTTGAGGTTCTGTTGATTGAGAAGCTGAAGGTAGGTGTGGATACAGTTAACTCAGACAAATGCGATGAACCTGGTATTAAATCGTCTGTTGATGTATTTACCCGTCTCTAAATGTTTGAGGTCATCGTGGCCTAAGTTAAGTCGTGGATAAGACGTCCGTTGCATTCGTGTTGAGCGATGCACGGGGTGTTCGAATCCCAGGCGGAGACCAATTTTTCTAATGAATTACGTACTCAACAAATGTTCACGATTGACTTCCACGGTGAAGGAATAACATCGTGTAATAAAAATCAAATTTATAATTTGCGCGTAATTACTGATGGTAGGACCTCTTGTGAGTCCACACGGGTAGGTACCACCACCACCCCGCCTATTTTTGCCGTGAAACAGTAACGCGTTTCGGTTTAAAGAGTAGGGAGCCATGGTAACTATACTGAGATCTTAGAACTTATATTTTAAGGTAGGTGGCGCATTTACGTTGTAGATGTCAATGGACTACAGTAACCACTTAACACCAAGTGGGCTGTGAGCTCGTCCACCTATCTAAGAAATAAAAAAATAAAAAGTCATCCCCCCCCTCCAAATTAGGTACACAGCCTGGTGATTGCTGTTCGTCAAACACTAGTTCGACTTACCCAACAAAAACCATCAAATAGAGACGCGTAAATAGCATTAAAAGCAGATAATTAAGTACCAGAAGGCTGGACACGACGATTGCGATTGATAAGATAGGGCTAATCTATCGAAAAACGTACAAAAATAATAATGAAAGAGATACACGCACACACTAAAAACCTATCTAACTAAATTGACGTGTAGATGATTCGCTGAAAAAACAGAGACAGAATCGCGAAAAGTGTATATTGTGATAAATTTTCTTATCGAAAACGAAAACAGTGTATTTCTAAGCGAGTCCTAAATCTATACAACTAGTGACATTTACGAATTAAATATATTATGCACCATGAAATAATAAACAATGAAATTTTGTGAAATCGTGTTTCGATCGAAAATTGTTTTTGGGCGTTATTTTTTCTATAAATTAGACTTTGATTTTTAATTAAAGTAATAATTTATTGAAATCGCCTCTTCGTTTCGTGTCCGGAGAATGTTATTAAAGATCATTAAGCTATTGTAAGTATAAGTTTTGTAAGTAAAACAAAAATAAATTATAAAATACATTTTTTAATTAATTAATTAATTAAACTTTGAGCTGTGTTTGTTAGATAGATTTTCTCTTTAGAATCTATCGTGTGTGCTTCAAATCAATGTCGGATATATTAATTTTAATGAATCCTTTATTATACGTATTCATAATTACAGAATTTTCTTTAAATATATCTTAATTAGTACCAACACCGTTCGACAGATGACGCCTGTAGTTTCAACATAATGTTTTTAAATTAGTGGTGGTAGGACCTCTTGTGAGTTCGCGCGGGCTAGGGACCACTGCCCTGCCTATTTCTGCCGTGAAGCAGAAATGCATTTCGGTTTGAAGGGTGGGACAGCCGTTGTAACTATACTGAGATCTTAGAACTTACATCTCAAGGTGGGTGGCGCATTTACGTTGTAGATGTCCATGGGCTCCAGTAACCACTTAACACCAGGTGGACTGTGAGCTCGTCCACCCAACTAAGCAATAAAAAAAAAAAAGTTACCTACGTGTAAGTGGACGTTAATGTTTTGGTTACTGTTGCTCATTGACACCGTCAATGTCAGGAGCACAGTCAAGTCGCCGCCTATCTCTGACTACTCTCCGCAAACCTCTATCGAATTGAATAAAGTAGCTTAAGTTAAAAGTTACTTTAGGTGAAACGAATTTAAAACTTCTACAGCTGTGGACCCAATTTTTAGACAGATCATGTTGCCTGTTCTCTTATTGGCCAGATTTATGGGGTTCAATAACCCCTTAACATCAGATATGCTGGGAGCTAGATCCAATATGTATATCCATCTATACCTATATAATTATATTTCGAAGGGTGTAAGGTATATTTACATACATATTTAAATACTAGCCGTACTCGCCCGCTTCGCTGGGCATTTAAAATTAACATTATTATTTTTTATAATTTATTTATATTTACTTAAAATCTTATTAATTACATAATATTTTTTAAAAATATATTAAAAACACTATATAAAAATAGATTGCCGCTGATGGCGGTGTCTACGACACAAGCCACCAGTGGTTAGGACTCCAGAGTGAGAAACCTCCTCACAATGCGTGCGGTATCGAGGATAACTGCTTTCTGTTTTAGGCCCTTAACCCAGCTGGATAACGAAAGTTTCTTAAGATGTTGATCGAAACTTTTCGCTATCAAGCCGTGTACCGACACAACTATTGGAACAATGATGGTTGAATCAACATGCCAAATGGCGGTAGTCTCGTGGGCCAGATCTAAATATTTTATTAATTTGTCCTTTTCTGCCTTCACGAGGTTCTCGTCGTGAGGAATGGTGACATCAACCAACACTGCTCGACGCGCAGATCGATCTATTATCACAATATCAGGCTTATTGGCAAAATTGGCAATATACCTATCCGTGATAATAGATCGGTCCCAGTAGAGCGTAACATGACCATTATCAAGAACTGGTTGAGGTTGGTATTGGTAATAAGGTACAGCAGAATCAAGAAAACCATATTTCATAGCAAGTTGTTGATGGATAATCCTAGCCACTTGGTTATGTCTATGCAAGCACTCGTCGTTAGCAAACCGTCTATGCAAGTACTCGCCGTTAGCAAACCGTTATCATTATTATTAGGGAGTCCAACACGCCTATCCATTAATGTCATGTATTTTCTACATGGATACCAAGTTTCAAGTCAATCGGATGCATGGTTGAGTAGTTATAACGGAATATCCGTAAAAACCACTGTATATTTATATATTAGTATTTAAATATTTCGAGAGGTGTAAGGCTATTTGATTTTAGCGACATTTCGAGCGTGAAGTCGAGGATCGTAAGTTCGATTCGCACATCGGGCAAGCATTCTTGTGATAAACAGGTTTATGTAATCCTTGTCTGGATGCTTACTATCTATATATGTTTTTTTTATTGCTTAGATGCGTGGACTAGCTCATAGCCCACCTGGTGTTAAGTGGTTACTGGAGCCCATAGACATGAATCAACGTAAATGCGCCACCCACCTTGAGATATACTAACATACCTTATAAATATAAATAATAAATATTTACTAACAATCACGCCACGNCAGGTTTATTTAATCCTTGTCTGGATGCTTACTATCTATATATGTTTTTTTTATTGCTTAGATGCGTGGACTAGCTCATAGCCCACCTGGTGTTAAGTGGTTACTGGAGCCCATAGACATGAATCAACGTAAATGCGCCACCCACCTTGAGATATACTAACATACCTTATAAATATAAATAATAAATATTTACTAACAATCACGCCACGTTAACTGGTCCCGTGATAAGTTCGTAAAGAACTTGTGTTACAGGTAACAGATAACGGAAATAAATGTAATATTTTTATTATACACATACATATATTTAATATACATCCATAACCCTGGAAAAGACATTTATATTTATCATACAAATATCTTCCCTTGGCGGGATTCGAACCCGCGACCCCCTTGTGCAGTGACCATGTCACTTACTACACCAGACGGCCGTTGAAATATAAGTTATAATAAAGAAATATAAGTTCTAAGATCTCAGTATAGTTACAACGGCTACCCCCCCCCCCCCTCAAACCAAAACGCATTACTGCTTCCTGGCAGAAATAGGCAGGGCGGTGGTACCCACCCGCGCGGACTCACAAGAGGTCCTACCACCAGTTAGACGTATATAAGTAGGTATGTCAGTCTCTGTTAACACAGGGAATCCTTATTTGTATCCGGATGCCCGTACGTAATTTGTTCTCACTTATTTATTTATTTATTCTAGAAATTTCTTTCTGCTCTTCATCGCATCAGCGGAAACGAGGAAAACACAAAAATGCTTAACCGGCTACATGACGGACGTCCAAACCTGGGTGAACGAAGATGGCGTTCTCACGAAAACAATCGGTGAGGTTATCGTAATCTATCTATAAATTAATACGTGAAGCAAAAACTTTGTACCCCTTTTTACGAAAATTACGCGGACGGAGGAGCATGAATTTTCTCACACTTATATAGAGAAGGAGTGCAGAATGCTAATATTTTTTCAAAACTATGCATAAAAAACGCGTGTGGCACTCGGAGACTGCCGCGGTAAAGCTATTGCATAGCATTTTTTATCAACTTAATATGCAATTAGAATTTTTTTTTTATTGCCTTATAGGCAGACGAGCATACGGCCCACCTGATGGTGAGTGGTTACCGTCGCTCATGGACGTCAGCAATGCCAGGGGCAGAGCCAAGTCACTGCCTACCGTTAATTACTCTCCACAAGCTTCGTTTGAAGAAGGACATGTCATAGCGCTCGGGAAACACCGTGGAGGGGAGCTCATTCCATAGCCGGATGGTACGTGGCAAAAAAGATATCTGGAAACGCACTGTAGATGAACGTAGTGGCTCCAGGTAGTATGGATGAACTCTACTCCGGAGGCGGGCGGTGCGATGGTAAAAACGAGATGTCGGTATCATCTCGAACAATTCCTCAGANCGTTTGAAGAAGGACATGTCATAGCGCTCGGGAAACACCGTGGAGGGGAGCTCATTCCATAGCCGGATGGTACGTGGCAAAAAAGATATCTGGAAACGCACTGTAGATGAACGTAGTGGCTCCAGGTAGTATGGATGAACTCTACTCCGGAGGCGGGCGGTGCGATGGTAAAAACGAGATGTCGGTATCATCTCGAACAATTCCTCAGAACACTCCCCATGGAACATACGGTACAGAACACAGAGGGAACCGAAGTCCCTCCGCAGACCCAGAGGTTCCAAACGATCATTTAGACAATAATAATTTAATATTAAAACAATAATAAAATAAGACCACGCTATATTTATAAGCATTAACAAAAGCAAAACATTAACTGTCCCCTTCACACTCATATGCTGTTTAAGCGACATTTCGCTTAACACGCGACATTTATCTTTGTAATTAAAGATCCGTTTTATTTGGTATTACTATCAACAATTAAATGTGTTTAATTGAACTTCAATTAAGTTTACCCAATACGAATAGCTGAAGAAGTTTTTTTTTAAAAGTATTTGAATTTTTTTTCCAAATTTTAATCTTCAAATGGCTCTCGTGTAAAGTTTCAAAAAGATCGCTTAAGCCAATCAGCCTTACATCCTTCGGTATGTGTATATATATTTTACAGATCAAAGCACCGCTATAGATCTTTCTTCGCACTTCGATCCGGTCCCATTCCTTCATCAGATCATGAGTGAATTCAAAACGGACAATGGGCAACGCGTCCGATATTTAAGCCTGGCGAAATGTCGACTCACCAGAGTGCCACCTGTAAGTAGCTTTTTCATAATATATATCCGAAACACGGTTTTTTGAAACTATTGACGGGCGTGAGGTCGTTAATGGTACTGCTGTTGGTATCCAGTCCCCGTCCTTAACCCACAGACACAGCCCACTGAGTTTCTCGCCGGATCTTCTCAGTGACTCGCGTTTCCGATCCGGTGGTAGATTCTGCGAAGCACTGCCCTTGATAGGGCCAGTGTTAGCAACACTCCGGTTTGAAACCCGTGAGCTCACCTACATGTTAGGGTGAAGCTGAAATAGCCTCTCAAGGCTATCAGCGTAGATAGGAAAAGATAACTGCTGTTGTAAATCTTATTTCTATAGGTTTATGGTTTCATTTTCATCGAGATTTTGATGTGATAACTTCTTATAAATCGACAACAGCAACTGCACCCATGAAAAACTGAGTTCCTGAGCTCATTGGATCTTCTCAGTGGGTCGCGTTTCCAATCTGGTGGTAGATGCTCTTGCTAGGACTAGTGTTAGCAACGTCACCAGGTTAGAGCCCCGTGAGCTCACCTACTTCGTTCGGCGAATCTGGTATGACCCCTCGAGGTCACTAGAAAAGGTAGGAAAGATAAAACTGTTTTTTTTATTGCTTAGGTGGGTGGACGAGCTCACAGCCCACCTGGTGTAACGTGGTTACTGGAGCCCGTAGACATCTACGACGTAAATGCGCCACCCACCTTGAGATATTAGTTCTGAGGTCTCAAGTATAGTTATAACGGCTGCCCCACCCTTCAAACCGAAACGCATTACGGCTTTACGGCAGAAATACACAGGGTGGTGGTACCTACCCGCGCGGACTCACAAGAGGTCCTACCATCAGTCCCGAATCTGACCTCGAATTCATTGTATGCGTCGTGTTTCAGGTATTCCATTTGTCAGACTCAATGGGACGTTGGCTATCGCAGACCGTTGAGTATATGACTTTCTACGGAAATAAATTCGTCGACAGAAGCGCGGCCGGTGAACAGTACAACATGATTATAAACGCTACCGGCGCTGTCGAAACTGAGCCGGTGTTCAGCTTACAGTACCAAGGTTCGTACGAGACGCTCCTTCAAGTAAATCACCCGACTTTCTCGCTGGGTACCTTAAAACTTGATCTTTAAATTGCACTCGCGGACTTAGCCCCTTTGAATCTGGGCGTAGTCAGTATTTTTGCGAAAGATCTTCAAGGCTTGCGTGCTCTTCTTATTCCATCGTATGCGATCTCGACCCAGAAAGAGTCTTAAACCTAAACATCTAGTATTTTTGAAGTGAAACTTCATTGCGACAGATTCGTTACGGCTAGAGAGAAAAGATACAATTTAGGAAGAGCGAGAGTGAGAAAATAGACAGAGCGTCTCGCGAACGTTTTCTCAGTGCGTCCATACTCGTCAGTACAGGCCTTAGCAGGGTGGCATATGTATGTATGTATATGGACCTGTTTCTTAGGGTAAGCATCCTATAGCGTATGCATGAGGCAGTGAGGTAAAGAGAAAACGGACGGAATAGGCGTGAGAGAGAGAGCACATACGAGGTGTCGTAGCGACAAAATAAGAGGGGAATAGTTAAGCACTTGCGCTTTTGCGACGAATATCGAAAACGTGCCATGGTGAAGCGCCCTACGCCTCGTTGTATACGCATTACCCCGGTAACTGTACTCGTCGCACCTAACCTAACCTAAACATCAGTCCGTTGAGTTTCTTGACGGATCTTGCAAGCGGGTCGCGATTCCGATCCGGTAGTAGGTTCATTCACAAAGCAACTATTTTTGAGTTGTTAGGTCTCGCTCGGGAAGCTGTTAGTAAATCCCGCCCCTTCTGGTTGAGCCCTTGCTCGCCCACCTGTCCTTGTGAAACTGGAAAGCCACCAGTAATCCAGCAATCATAAAAAAATGTAAACGTATTAATTAATACGAGCGTCGCTTGCTGTATCTATGAATGTGCTTGCGTTTACCTCTTGATTTCATAAAATGGAAAATATTATGGCATGAGATCGAAAAAAAAAAAATATGAAGAAAATCACAATACCGCACACCGCAAAAGAAGCTTCACTTCTTACACGTGCACCAAGTTGTACGCGCGCCATTTTTTTTAAATTGGGTTGTTGCTTCATCACTTGTCAGTAATTATGTTTCAACGCTGCTGCCACAGAAGGGTTTCTCTGTGGAGTTAGCGTAGTATGTCTTCTTTTTCCATTCAAGCCTGTCATTTGTCTTTTCTGCATTGACACCGTTCTCTCGCATATCCTCTTTCACACAATCCATCCACAAGTTTTTATTAACGACATTCACACATTTAAAAAGAAACAGCAATGTGCAAAATCACATTTCTAATACTATTACTAAACTTTTTCATTTTCTTTAATTAATAGAAACACCACACAATATTGCTACAGGCAAAATGGAAAATAGGTTATAAAGTCTATTCCGTGGCTTAAATAGACAAGTTAGAATAATCTATCTTGTCTATTTAAGCCACGGAAAATTTTGGAAGGACAATTGCGTGAGATAATTAAAAAATAATGACCTAGTAAAACATTTTTAGTTACACTTGTAACCACAAAAGTCAGGTCATTCCAAGCCAGGTGTGCATTTCTTCGTTCTGACGGACACCAATTAACGTCTGACTACCGTTGATAAGTTCATTGTTTTATCGTAATAATCTAATATCACGGCGATTAAAAAGATAATTTCATAATGACGTTACGCATCTGTAAATAATCAATTAATCGGTAAATGTTGTTGCACCTTTATGTTTTGGTAAAATTTGGCCTAAATCAATCTATACTTACTTATGTGGCGGATTGAATAAAAAATCGATTTAAAGTTTTGACTTAAAAAGCGATCACAGATTCGTATTTTCCTTCTGTGATCTATATAAAACTTAACATACCAGCCCACAGAGCTGCACAAAAACAAATGTTTATAATAGTTCGGGTATTCGTGAAAATTTCGCTTTTCCAAGTAGACTTTGGAAAAAACTCCTTCCCTAAAAATCTATTATTACAAAGATTAAAGGAACAACAAATCGATTTAGTCGCTACGAAACGGTGCAATAAACCTCACTATTAAATATATATTTTGTCTCACAATTTCAGGTACGACTGTCTGGTCCACTTCAATTGAATACGTCAGCTTTCCGAGCCTAAAGGAGTTGGATCTGCGAAGGTGTTCAATCCAAGTGCTCAGAAGCAATATGTTCGGGGGTATGCCTTCACTGGAGGCTTTATATATAGGGGAGAATGAGATTTATCAAATCGAATCTAACACTTTTGCTGGTCTAAATAAGTTATTACATCTAGACTTTAGCAGGAACGAAGCGTTCGACAGTACGGGGTCTCTTAAAAATCTAATTACTCCGCAAACACCGCTATTCGACGGCCTAACAAGTTTGGTATCTCTAGATCTTTCGTTTACAAAGATGTCCAAACGTAATGTGGCAGTGTTAACAGGCTTAGGACCGAATTTGAGAAGGCTGTCGATATGCGATACAGGGCTGCAGGATTTGAGGAGCGACATGTTTTATAAAACAAATCTCACATACTTGGATCTTTCGAAGAACAACGGGATATTGAACACGCCTAACATATTGCGAGGGCTTGAAGATACTTTAGTGGTATTGTACGCTAATACTATAGGCACAGGTCGGGTCGATATGTTAAAGAATTTCCACAGACTGGAGATATTGCAATTGCTGAACAACGAAATAACGTCTCTACCACAAGAAGTCGCGGCAACTTGGAGGAGCCTACAGATTTTGGACTTGAACAAGAACAGGATAATAACGTGGTTCGAACCGATATTCTCGCTGATACCTAACCTCAAATACTTGGCACTCAAACACAACAACATAAACGTGATCCGCGAAGACATGATCGTGGATTTCAGGAACATATCCTATCTGGCCCTGGCCGGAAACTTCTTCATGTGCAACTGCAACTCCAGAGATTTCCTCGAAACGGCGGCTAGGAACGAGAGAAACCGACAAAACGGATATATAAAGTCTGTTTACGAATCGAAAAACCTGTTTCTGTACCATAGAGGGTTCGAAGATTTCAATACGCTTATAGCGCAAAGGAAACCCGTAATTTTCGAAAACTCCATCAGCGAATGGGATAACGAGGAAGAGAGTGTATACCTATTGACCGATTTCTATGGTCGAAACTATATTTGTGCGTCGTTTGCTTCGGACGAAGGCGAGGCCATCTTCATGGGGGACGTGCCCAGCTGCTACGCTCGTCGAGATATGCAGTACGACGAAAAGATGATTAAAAATCAGTACAAATTAATTGCTTTAATTCTGTTACCGTGCGTTTTATTACCGCTGCTGATGCTGTTCGTATTCAGAAGGACGATTTTTTATTTTCTAATAATGATGCGGAATTCTGCTGCCCTCACCATGATCAATAAGGATAAGACCGGTGTCGGTAAGTTCTTTTATTTTTCTCTCCCGATTAATCGAGACATCAATCGAAATGAGTATTTTTTTGCCCTTGTAGGTAGACGAAGTTACAGACTAGTTGATGGCGAATGGCTACCATCGCCCATGGACTTCAGCAATGCCAGAGGCAGAACTAATCCGCTGCCTACCATTAAGTACTCGTTAAGTACCGTTAAGTACTCATACTAAACAAAAGTGTGTGGAAATCGGCAGAACTTTAGTCGTAGCTTAGTGCCTAATAGGAATAGGAATATGTGGAGCAGTAGAGGGAGTAATGTATATGTATCTTCTCTGACACTAAATATGAAATATGATTTGTTTGGGAATAATGATCACCTTGAATGCAAGACTATTATGGAACTTCAGAATCGACGACAAATCCTATTTGTTCAAACATTGCTGACTTATCTATATTAGTTAATACCATGGTAGAAGGTGGCAGCAAAATTGTTAAGCTATGCGCCCTTCTGTGTTTCCTTCTTGAAACAAGGATCGAAAAGAGTCCTCAATTGGCTTGAATGACATCTTACGTCACATCTTAAGCGGCTCGTTCGGCGATTATAAGCAGACTAACGTCTTTTGTCTGACCTTAGCCTTGACCTTGAATCTTCTAAATTAGCGAGAAATCAACCTAATTTTATTGACAGATGGTACAATATTCAACTACGATGTATTCGTGTCGTACTGCAACGAGGACAGGGTGTGGGTGCTCGACCATCTCCTGCCGCAGTTGGAGTCCAATTGCAACATCAGCGTCTGCCTCCATGAGAGAGATTTTCAGGTGAAAACCTCTTAATACAATCTTAAAACGGCCGGTTTATGAGTTTTCAAACGAATCTATGACCTTCACGCTATGGTTACGTTGTGGGCTGTGACTTGGAGGAGGCTGATGGAGAAACAAAGTACTAGTCTAAATCACGAAAAATACCTCTACCGTCTTTTTTGGCCCTTTAAGATCTCTTTTGAGATAGATTTGAAACTAGTTCTCAGTATTATAAGACGCTTAATCGATTTCCTTGGCACCACTAATCATTGGTGAGTCAAATTATCATCAGAGCATATCTGCGAAGGCAATAAGCCCAAAAATATTTACCCTCATCATACGTGTGTTGACCTCAGGAATCAGCTAATCTGATCTACGTTCGGGAACAACTTTGGAACGAACGAAGTATTGTGCTAAGAAAATAAAAATTAGCATCTACTAATGCGAATATACTAGTGCAGGCAAAAATAGTTATTTTTTTGCTTTTTCTACCTAAGCTGGTAGCCTTGAGAGGCTATGCCAACGTAACCTAACGAGTAAGTGAGCTCACGGGTCTCAAACCTGACGACGTTGCTAACACCAACCCTAGCAAGAGCAGTGCTACGCAGTATCTACCAGTGGATCGGAATCGCGACCCACTGAGAAGATCCGGAGAGAAACTCAGTGGGCTAAAAATATCAATAAGCCTGCTTGGAAAGATACAGCTGTCTGATCTATTTCTGCCTTCACTACAGCATAGTTCAGCTTCAGCCTCATGCATCGAATTGAAGGCATCACGTTGAGCCTTCGATGAATTTCGTTTGTTTTAGATCGGACTCTCCATCCTGGAGAATATCGTCGCCTGCATGGACCGTTCCAGGGCTATCATGCTGATCATATCAAAACGGTTCCTCATGAGTCAGTGGTGCCAGTTCGAAATGCATTTAGCCCAGCACAGGTAAACGTATTTTTTTTATTGCTTAGATTTTAGACGAGCTCACAGCCCACCTGGTGTTAAGTGGTTACTGGGGCCCGTAGACATCTACAACGTAAATACGCCATCCACCTTGAGATATAAGCTCTAAGGTCTCAAGTATAGTTACAGTGGCTGCCCCACCCTCCAAACCTAAACCGCGCGGAATCACAAGAGGTCCTACCACCAGTCCTTGAGATGTCCACGTTTAATTCGTTTAACAAAAAGAAAAAGTCAAAACTGCTGCTCCAACCAAGTACTCTGGAGATTTGTTCACGATGGACCGGTCATCTCGTTATTACCATCGCCCCGTCCACCACTGGAGCAGAATGCATTAGTAATCACAACCGCCCACCCACAGTGCGGTACCAGACATCTATTTGGCCATATACCATAAAGCTTTAGCATGATCTCCACGGTACTCCCCGAGTGCTACGACCTCTTCAAACGAGGCTTGGGAGAATCCTCAGCAGTCGACAACGGCTTGGCTGTGCCGATGGCATTGCTGACTTCCATGAGTAACGGCACCAAGTGGTGCTGAACAATCTATATTCAAGAAATCAGCAAAAAATAGGGAGCGTTATGGTTGACAAATACTTTCTAAATACCCAGCCCTAAAGTCTTCTGATGTTTCGGTACACTAAATCAAACTAAACTTCCGCAGGCTGTTAGAGACGCGTCGGAACGATTTGATCCTTGTTCTGTTAGAAGAAATACCGCGGCGCATCCGCCCGACGACCCTCCACTATCTGATGCTGACGAAGACTTACATAATCTGGCCGAAAGTCGCGCACGAAAGAAACATTTTCTGGAGGAGGCTACGAAAAGGCCTGGTGACGCAGAAGCTGAAGCACACGGAAAACGTATCTTTAGCTTGAATTACGTTTAAACAATAGGACCACAAGGTGAATACGACTCATAGTGTAAAATCGTGTATAGTTTTTATCATAATCCCTGAGCAGAATTAGATGACACCTTGTTTCCTGCAATTTAAATCAACATGTTTTCGACACGGTGACCATTTGTATTTATAAGACATAATAATTTGAAACGCCTAAGACCTAAATCGCGACCAGTATCATCTGGTCTGGCTGAATATTTTTAGCATTTGCGTACCAAACCCTCAACAATCGAATGTCACCACGAAAAAATGATTTCCCGTAATGAAAATCAAAATTGCTAGGGCTTACCGCGATCTCCGGCATTATACCCCCCATCTCATTTTCCGTCTCATGATGTCCACGGGCTACTGTTACCACTTCGCTCTAGTTATCTCGCAGCTTTTTTGTCCATCTGATCGGCGGAATTGAGCTTACAATCAAATATTTTGTTTTAGATTTTTCCAATATCCTCTATCGTAGTGTTCGACATGTCTTTTGTAGCAAGCAGGTGCCTATCCGAGAACAGAAGATATTCGACAAATGCCTGAATCGCACCAACAACATTTTCAACATAAATTTATGTACATATATACAAGCTACGAATTGCAACGATATCTCAACTCGATCGATTCTCGATCTTCCTTGTGTCGTTTCTCACTACACGAAAAAGTTAATTAAGAGAAGATTTGTAAATAAAACTAGAGTTAAGACTAAGTTCTGTTATTTTTTTTGTGTTGGAACAAAATTTCTCAATGGAATTTAGTTTTTACTTTTGGCATACACGTTTTTTTTCTCCTACCTACTTTGATAGCCTTGAGAGGCTATTTCAGCTTCTCCTTGACGTGTAGGTGAGCTGACGGGGCTCAAACCGGGACTGTTGATAACACTGGCCCTAGCAAGAGCAGTGCTTTGCAGAATCTATCGCCGGATCGGAAACGCGACCCACAGAGAAACTCAGTGAGCTGTGTCTATGAGTTAATTCGCTCGTCGAGCCCTTCGTTGCAAGCGATGGGTTCGACGAGGACGGTCAACGGCGCTTGTGGTACCTAAAAGCACCGTTGATGGATCGGGAGGATCCGTAATGACGTGTTTAGGGCGACGTAGGCTGTTTACCATTCGGTCTACAGGATCGGGTATGTACGTAAACGTTAAAACCCGAGCGAGTATACGTCGCGGAGAAATTTGTAAAGCATGCTTTATTGTAAATTGTAATTATTCTACATGAACGCTGTGATTCCAAGACACGTTGTGACGATGTTTGTACAAATACCTTAAAAAATATGCACCCCGGGACGCCCAACAGAAGTGATAACTTAAGCTATTGAATTATTTAATATTGAAATTGTTTAACTTGAGAAAATTTAGGTTATTACTTAAATTTTACGTATATTCATTATATAATTATATATTAATACGTGAAGCAAAAACTTTGTATCCCTTTTTACGAAAATTGCGATTTTCCACACTTATAGAGAATAAATATAGAGAAGAAGTGCACAATACTAATATTTTTTTTTAAATAATGCATAAAAGTTACATTAAATTAATAAAGAAAACATTACACACACTACCATGTATTTGACACAACACATTTATATAAATATACCTACTCTTTGTTTATTGTCAATTGTCAAACTTTTGTTAGTGTTTAAAGTCTGTGGTCAAATTGAGAATAGATTAAATATTGTTTGTCTTTATTAATATTTTTCTACAGTGTAGTCTTGGCGAAATTTGTGATTTATGAAATAATCTTTGAAAATAGAATCATAATAGTTTACAAGCTTACAATTTCAATTAATTATAGTCGAATTTCGACTACTGCGGGACAACTAGTGTAAGGAAAATTGTAACATCAATTGAAAGAGATATATAAATAGTTAGGAGTTCCATACATTCTCAGTACTGCTGCCGTGTGCGAGAGAGAAAGAGAAGCCAGACAGACTGGCGCCGTAACGCTACCGTAACGTAACCGTAACGCGTTACGTAACGAAGCGGGTTACCCTTCCTTATGGAGCTATCAATTCAAAAACCGTCTTAAATTGAATGAGAAATAGGAACCTTGCAAATCTCATAAAAAAAAAAAAACGATTTCAACACGAAAATTAAAGTTCAAAAGATATGATAGATTCCGCTCGCTATAGTCCTATATCTGTTAACAACATCCATCTAAAATAGTCATTCGTTTTTAAATATGAAGCTTTTCAAACCTGACTTATGGGTCCTCAACAAGCATTGGTTTGATAATGATCCTGGTACTTTCAACGTCAATTAGCATCATCGCCCTCGATTCGGCGGTGTTTGAAAACCCGTGTTTTGCTTAGATGGTTGAACGAGCTCACAGCCCACCTGGTGTTAAGTGGTTACTGGAGCCCATAGACATCTACAACGTAAATAACCCACCTTGAGATATGAGTTCTAAGGTCTCAGTATACTTACAACGGCTGCCCCATCTTTCAAACCGAAACGCATTACTGCTTCACGGCAAATATAGGCAGGGTGGTGGTACCTATCCGTGCGGACTCTCAAGACGTCCTACCACCAGTAATTACGCAACTTAAAATTTTGCGGGTTTCATTTTTATTACACGATGTTATTCCTTCACCGTGGAAGTCAATCATGGACATTTGTTAAGTACGCATTTCATTAGTACCTGCCAGTAGGATTCGAACACCAGTGCATCGCTAGATACGAATGCACCGGATGTCTTATCCTTTAGGCCACGACGATGACGTGTTACTAGAACAAGCTTCTCTTTCAACACTTACACGTGGTGAGGGTAACAGAATCCCTCATTCGCTTCGGTTGCGGAGGCGTCGTGAGGAGATCCAGATTAAGCACTCCACCGCATATCCTGCAAAAAACATAAATAATTTAGGATATATTAGACCGGTTTTCAAAACGAAACACGTGCCTTCGGGCTGAAGAAGGCTCACGCGACCGAGTCACGCTTTTTTTTTACAATAAAATCATTTTTCTTACACTATTTTTAATTCAAATTTATTAAAATTTATTTTCTATTTTTTAGTTGGATTTTCTATGAAAGCGTATTTTGTCATTTTTTTTAAACTATTATTTATTTTTCATTTTTTAGTTGAATTTCCATTTTTAAATTTTTTTTAATATTGAATTATCATCGGTCCTTAATAAGTATACCAAATTTCGAGGTCAAAATCATGTTCAAAGATTTCGTTACATACTAACATACATACGTCTGAAGCTAATATAAACGTATTAAAAGAGGCAAGTGACGCGAATGCTCTCCGTAGGCCTCCTTTGAAGAATAACAAATTAAAAGGCTTCACCAAAGTGTGCTTAGTGCGAATTTTTTAACGTTCTCGATAGCGTAAAAGTTAGCTCATATTTGTATGGAATGGCAACGTTCGCCTACGTTTGCCGCTAGGGGCGCTGTCCCAACTGCATACAAAATTGCGTTAACTTTTACGCTATCGAGAATGTTAAAAAACTGGAACTAAGCACATTGATATCTGCTCACCTATATTTTCTCAGATTAACTTCGCCCGACCTGGTCTTCACTGAACAGGTCTTCAGATATTTCTTGAAGGCCAAATCTGGAATCGAAAAAATAAATTAACAAGAATTGAATCGTTCGCTGCCTATGGTTTGACGGATAAGAGGACCGGTGTATGTGTATGTTTTACAAGTGTACTACGGTTAAAAAGTACTATATTATAATAGCACCTATAACGAATTGGCAAAATCGTCAACTGAATTGAATATTTTTACATATAAATTACCGACGTTTATAAAAATGATCAAGGGCATCCATGTTAATAGTAGATTATCTAGTCTAATTGTTTAATGTTTAATTTTATTTCCTTTGTGATTGTGATTTATTGTTACTTCCTTACATGAAAAGTTAGATTGGTTTTCGTTATCGCGCTGTTTTGTCCTATAGTTTTTTTTCCTACCTATACTGATAGCCTTGAGAGGCTATTTCAGCTTCTCCTTGACGTGTAAGTGAGTTCATGAGGCTTAGACCGGGAGTGTTGCTAACACTGGCCCTAACAAGAGCAGTGCTTCGCAGTATTTTCCACCGGATCGGAATCGCAACCCTACTAAGAAGATCCGGCGAGAAACTCAGTAGGCTGTGTCTGTGGGTTAATTTACTCGTCGAGCCCTTCGTCGCAAGCGACGGGTGGCCTGTAGTTATAATGAACATTGTGTACTTAGCATATTTGTCCTGATTAATTGTGTGCGCATGGCTTATGTTACAGCCAATTTTTTTTCTTGTTGTTATTTATTGTGTACCTATCTTTTAATTTGTAGCTTGTAGTGTGTATTGTGTGCCTAATAAATAAATAAAATAGCCCCTTCTCTTCACGAGGATGTCATAAAGCAATTATGGGATTCACCAGAGAATAGGCAGCAGAGTTCTCTGAGCATTATACCAGGTTACTGCAATGGGCAACCAGCCTGGTAATAAGTCGCATTGTAAGCTCATGCAAGTATGCCGCCCCTTCCTATTTCTGCTTTAGGCTTCGACCACATGTCTCTACAGGTGGCGGCATTCACGTTGCGATTTTACAGTTCAAAAAGAAAAGCTTGTAACAGACATCGTACCTTTGTATACATAGAAATTCTGTTATGAGGACGAATGCCAATCGACTTACCGTTCTGCTCAGCCATGAAGGTCCTCGGATCCGGTAAGAAGGGGGGCTCGGCCATGTTCAGATTGTCCAATTCCTCTTTCTCTTTCTCATTTTTCGTGTAACTGCAAAGAGACGAATTGAATAAACAGACTTATTCTTAATTAACCAAATAAAGGGTACATTGAAATAGTTCCGATGAAGAAAAGAGACAGTAAGTTTGTTATCTCTTACTATAATGACGTTATTCGTCTGGCGGTACAATAGTTTCATGATAAATCAACCTTTTTTGGAGTGATAACTTCTTGTGGAAGGGTAAACCGCTTCATTACGTAACGCGTTACGGCGTCAGTCTGTCTGGCTTCTCTTTCTCTCTCGCACACGGCAGCGGTACTGGGAACGTATGTAACTCCTAACTATTTATATAACAATTTCAAATTTATCTTACAATTTTTCTTCCGTTATCTTCTTATGAATCTTATCTTCTTATTATAATATACATCATACATACATACATGCTCCCCTCCACGGTGTTTCCCGAGCGCTATGACATGTCCCTCTTTAAAAGAAGCTTGTTTTTTTTTTTTTTTATTGCTTAGATGTGTGGACGAGCTAACAGCCCACCTGGTGTTAAGTGGTTACTGGAGCCCATAGACATCTACAACATAAATGCGCCACACACCTTGAGATATAGTTCTAAGGTCTCAGTATAGTCACAACGGCTGGTCCGCCCTTCAAAACGAAACGCATTACTGCTTCACGGCAGAAATAGGCAGGGCGGTGATACCTACCCGTGTCAGGTCACGAGAAATCCTATAACCAGTAGAAAATTGATTGTAACGCGCCCCCTCTCGTACTTATTCCTGTATAGCCTGTTTCACAGTCAAAGCTAACTCAAATTTGTATGGAGTTGGAACGGCTTCCCTTCGTTTGGCGTTAGGGGCGCTGTTCCAACTCCATACACAATTCAGTTAACTTTTACGCGATCGAGAAGTTAAAAAAAACTCGCCCTAAGCACCCTGCAGATGTAATACAAAAACGCTTACGGATTAGCCTTCAAGAAGTTCTCCACTTCGCGTATCTTCTGTTGTATTTCTTTGTAGAATTTGTTCCTTATATCGTCCTGCTCCTTCTTCAGTTTGTACGTCTCCACGTGTTCTTTAACATTGAACACGAATAAATCTAAAAACAGTGGATTTCGTTAATGAAACACAAAGTACTATTAACAAAAAAAAATACTCAGTACGTCATCAGTATAGTCGAACTCAATTGTTTTTTATTGCCCTTGTAAGCAGACGAGCATACGGCCCACCTGATGGTGAGTAGTTATCGTCGCCCATCGACTTCAGCAATGCCAGGGGCAGAGCCAAGCCGCTGCCTACCGTTTAATACTCTCCACAAGTACGTGTCACGTTGTTTGTCCGCGATGGACACCTAAACTACTGAACCGATTTTAACTTTTTTTTCTTAAAATATGTGTTTTGTTCCAGCTTAGGCCATAGGATGGTTTTTATTTCGATTAATGGTCGCAATATTTATAAATCTATATATATAAAAGAAAGTCGTGTTAGTTACACTATTTATAACTCAGGAACGGCTGAACTGATTTGGCTGAAAATTGGTGAGGAAGTAGCTTAGAACCAGGAAAAGGACATAGGATACTTTTTATCACGTTCCCATGGGACGTGACATAAAACGTGGTATAACAAAACGAAACTGATATGGAATAGCAAAACGCAACTGACAGCTAAATGTAATAATATATTCTATGGTTAATTATAGTAAAATATTGAAGTTGACCGGTTGATGTGTTTGGAACAAGCCGTGTGGCAGAACAAAGTTCGCCGGGTCCACTAGTTAACAATAAAATGATTTCTTATATTGATTATTGTTATTAATTGTAGGTTTCATAAGTCTAAAACACGTGGCGCCTTAAATCACTTTTTACAGACAATTATAATACTGTCTGACATATAATCTCATAGATGGCGCTGTGTTAAAAATACCAACGTTTCACTTAAGCTACAATTTAATGGCATAATCACCACGTGTTGCTGAGGCTAAAGTATAAGTGAAATTTATTTCGTAGTAAACGCAATACAGTGAAATCCAATTGTTCTTACTTTGTTAATTTTTAGTATTAGCATAGCCGGCCACGTGTTATTTAGAAACGAAAATCTTAGCCACAGCCACGTGTGGCCGAGTCTGCTAGTTGTATCATAAAAAAATTACTGGTGGTAGGACTTCTAGTGAGTCCGCACGGGTAGATACCACCACCCCGCCTATTTCTGCCGTGAAGCAGTAATGCATTTCGGTTTAAAGGGTAGGGCAGCCATTGTAACTATACTTGAGACCTTAGAACTTATATCTCAAGGTGGGTGGCGCATTTACGTTGTGGATGTCTATGGGCTCCAGTAACCACTTAACATCAGGTGGGCTGTGAGCTCGTCCACCCATCTAAGCAATAAATTAAAAATTGCATTCTTCTGTATTAAGAGTCCTCAAACCTTCGTATCTATTGGGCATCTCCGCAGCAAGCCCGTAGGACCTAGTGCTCTCGCTGAGCAAGTCAATCAAGGATCTGGCGGCGCGCACACACACGCACGACCCGTCTATGACCTTGGGCAGCTTCACAGCGACGCTCATAGACGGAAAGGATAGCTCGACTGGCTCTCTGTTAGATATAAATATAGTTCTTTATAGGCTCACAGCTCACCTGGTTTTAAGTGGTTACTGGAACCCATAGACATCTACAACGTAAATGCGCCACCCACCTTGAGATATAAGTTCTAAGTTCTCAGTATAGTTACAACGGCTGCCCCACCCTTCAAACCGAAACGCATTACCTACTGCTTCACGGCAGAAACAGGCAGCGTGTTGGTACCTACCCGTGCGCACTCACAAGACGTCCTACCACCAGTAATTACACAAATTATAATTTTGCGGGTTTGATTTTTATTACACGATGTTATTCCTTCACCGCGGAAGTCAATCGTGAACATTTGTCAAGTACGTATTTCATTAGAAAAATTGGCACCCGCCTGCGGGATTCGAACGCCGGTGCATCGCTACATCCCAATGGACGTCTTATCCTTTAGGCCACGACGACTTCATTGTGTTATCGATATTTCCATTGCGATAAAACAAGGCCAGCTGGTTTCCCAGTCTGACGCAATTAAAGTAACGTATCTCCAAACTCACGGATCCGGCTCCAAGGGCTTAGGTTTCCTGGTCGGCATCCTGACCGCGACCCACAGGTTCAGACGGAGACCCTTGAATTCCCTCTCGTAAGTCGCCAGCTTGATCGAATGAAACTTAAGATTCTTCTCCAAATCTCTGAGCAGAGAATACGAAGCGTACTGTATTGCGCTCGAGAGCTGCTCACGTAACTCTAAGCGGACCTTAAAGCGATTAATTTGGGATTAAAGTTAATCGAAACAGTGCTTGATGAGGAGAGTCAGAACTTAAAGCCATCTCTAACATCGAATAGAAGAAAATCGATAAAAACCTACGTCGATTTGGACAACACTATTTATTTATTTATATAAGGAAGCCAACGGTACAAAACAAACATTTTTACATTTTTACTGGTGGTAGGACCTCTTGTGAGTCCGCACGGGTAGGTACCACTACCCTGCGTATTGTCTTTTGCCTTTGACAATAGAACCATAATAATATTCAAAATGATAATTTCAATTAATTATAGTCGAATTCCGACTACCTACTGAGGGACCATTCGTTTTTAAATAGATTTATTATACCTCGTTATAACTTTGGGCTTGCAACGGAGTATATTGTCGAGAATTGGCTACGAACTCTTCTAACATTTCCAGCATCTGCAACATAATATATTTGTTATATTAATAACTAGCTGACCCGGCAGACTTCGTAGTGCCACAATCGATAAATAAAAGACCTAAACTTTTATATAAAATAAACTTAAAATAAACAAAAGGAATGCGTCCGACGGGGGACACATCAAAGAAAAAACAAAATTTTTATTTTTATTTAATTCCGAGTATTTTCATATTTATCTACCTTTTAAACCTTCTCTGGACTGTCACAAATAATTCAAGACCAAAGTTAGCCAAATCAATCCAGCCGTTATATGTATAGATTGTTTTATCGCTTATAACGTTTAATGAGTTCACGGGTCACCTGGTGTTAAGTGGTCAACAACGTTAACAACGACATTCGCAGTGGTCCGCGTCTAAGGAGCTATCGTGTAGTTTTGTGTATCTTATAAATAAGAGAGATTTTATAATTTCACCATGATGAATAGTCGTAATTATGTACTTCTTAAATATTGGCTTATCTTTTACTACTAGATACTAAGTATAAATATTAACATTTTTAAACTTAAAGAGCGACTTCCCCAAAAATAGATATCTATTTATATAATTATTATATAGCTATTTGGTTTAAGCGCCAATTTTGCAACTTTACACTAGAGACATTTAAAGTTTAAAATTTGGAAACGAATATACGAATAATAAAAAAACTTTTTCAGGTATTTCAATGGAATAAGCTTATTTGAAGTTCAATTAAAAACATCGAACTGTTGATGCTGATATCAAATGAAACACATCTATAATTACAAAAATAAATGTTGCTTAAGCTAGTGCTTCACCTCTAGTTAAGTTGTGAATTTATTAGTTTACAGTACTACACATGTCTTAAATCCAATAATGTCACACTTTTATTATAAAATATTATTGTAATTATATTATTTTTTTGTAGTGGACCGGATTGTGAATTTAAATCTTAATCGAATTCACACGAATGCAAAATTTTCATCAAAACCATTTTTTTTTCTTTCAGCGTAACCTTCTAGTAGGTGAGCTCACGAGGCTCAAGCCTGTGCTCAAACCTGACGACGACATGAACCCTAGCAAGAGCCGTGCTTCGCAGAATTTAGCACCGGATCGGAAGCGCGATCCACTGAGAAGATCCGGCGAGAAACTCAGTGGGCTGTATCAATGGGTTAATTCGCTCGTCGAGCCCTTCGTCGCAAGCGACGGGTTCGACGAGAACGGTGACCGGTGCTTGAGGTACCGGTAATGGATCGAGAGGATCCGTAATGACGTGCTTAGTGCGACTTGATGTACTAATGTTGCACGCTACAATGTCGATTAAAAAAAATGAAAAATAAAAACAAGAAACCCACCGGTAAAACTTCCACGCATCTCCGGTTAAGTTCTTCGTCGTCGCACGCAGAGTTTCCCTTCCACACGTGGAGGTACGTGTTCATCTGTGTCACCACCCGAGGATCCGGGAGACCGTCGCAACGAAGGTATTGCTGCCACTGTTGTTTGTTACCAATTCAATCATATCCTCCATCAATGGATCCCAAGACTATTACGAGCTAGTCTTAATTCAGTTTATTTATTTTTTATTGCCTTTGTAGGCAGACGAGCATATGGCCAACCTGATGGTGTGTGGTTACCGTCAACCATGGACGTCGACAATGATAGGGGCAGAGCCAAGCCGCTGCCTACCGTTGAGTACTCTCCACAAGCCTCGTTTGAAGAAGGACATGTCATAGCGATCGGGAAACACCGTGGAGGTGAGCACATTCCAAAGCCGAATGGTACGTGGCAAAAAGATCTCTGGAAACGCACTGCGGATGAACGCAGTGGCTTCAGGTAGCATGGATGAACTCTGCTCCGGTGGAGGGCAGTGCCATGGTAAAAACGAGATGATGGTATCATGGCAACCAATTCCTCAGAGCACTCCCCGTGGATCATACGGTACAAAATAGAGAGGCAACTTTCTTTCACTGGTGGTAGGACTTCTTGTGAGTCTGCACGGGTAGTTACCGCCGCCCTGCCTATTTTTGCCGTGAAGCAGTAAACCGTTTTACTATACTTTCTTTGTCTTATCACTCTTGTCAGAGCGTTCATGGTCGTCATTCGGTATCATTGCTGGGGGCAGAAGTTATGCGCCTCACAAGCAATCGCCACTTCTCTCGCTTCACAGCAGGTGGGCTCTGAACTCATTAACCAGTCTAAGCAATAAAAAAAAGGTCTTAACTTCCACCTACTAGTATTTATTATGAAGGCTTATGGAGGTCTGGGGCCACCTACCCGTGCGGTCTCACAATACGCCCAAGTGCCAGTATTAAATGTACTGACAAGAAGAAATTAGCGAAGATACAAACCTCAATTAATGGGAATGATTTAAAAGGACATGAATACCTCGGCTTCGAGCTGCTTTTTGTTTTCGAAGTCCATTTTTCTCTTCTCGAACACTGAAATGTATAAAAGTAACGTTCAATAAAACATTTAACTCAATTAATACAAAGTATTTCGTGGTACCGCTCTTTCGTTTCAAATTCCCGATAAGTAAACACGACTTACTGGTGGCAGGACCTCTTGTGAGTCCGCACGGGTAGGTACCACCATCTCCACCTATTTCTGCCGTGAAGCAGTAATGCGTTTCGGTTTAAAGGGCGGGGCAGCCGATGTGCTGTTAAAAGTGAGACCCTTACAACCCACGTCTCAAGGTGGGCGGCGGCATTTACCTTGTAGATATCTATGGGCTCCGGTAACCGCTTAACACCAGGTGGGCAGTAAGCTCGTCCACCCAACTAAGCTATAAAAAATACTGTTATTACAACGGTATTGAGAACGCCATATGATGGTGGAGCGATCCAGGCGAAGGGCTAATAAGGTTCTGCTACCTTCACCAGCACCACCTTTCCGATCCTCCCGATCTACTCTTAGTGCTTTTAGGCACTCCAAGTATCGATCACCATTCTCGTCGATTATACGTCATTACGGTTCCTCCCGATCCATTAACGGTGCTTTTAGGCACCACAAGCACCGGTCACCGTCCTTGTCGAACTCGTCACCCGCGACGAAGGGCTCGACGAGCGAATTATCCCACAGACACAGCCCACTGAGCTACTCGCCAGATCTTCTCAGTGGGTCGCGTTTCCGATCCGGTGGTAGGTACATTCTGCGAAACATAGCTCTTGCTAGGGTCAGTGTTAGCATCACTCCGATTTGAGCCCCGTGAGCTCACCTACACGTTAGGGTGAAGCTGAAATAGCCTCTCAAGGCTATCAGCATAGGCAGGAAAAAAAATTCTCGTCGCAATATCTCCTCTGTAATGAATAAAAATAACCCAAAAAGTCTTACGATGAAACAGATTTACGATCTTCTGCAGTATATCCCTTCTTATTTCCTGTTCGGCGTTGTCTTTGGCCATCAGCTCCGCCCTTTCTTTGGCCAGAGCTATCCTCTTCTCCTTTGCCCCCGCCAGGATTGCTTGTCTGCCAAAAAGTTAATAGAATTCTTCATTGAGCAATCTCAGAACATATTTTATTTATTTGTTTTTTTATAGCTTAGATGGGTGGACGAGCTCACAGCCCACGTGGTGTTAAGTGGTTACTGGAGCCCATAGACATCTACAACGTAAATGCGCCACCCACCTTAAACGACTTTTACTAAACTAAATATTAAATGACTTTGTCTGTATTTTGCTGGGTACTTGAAACATGGAACCGGCATGATTTTATCTACTTTGCCTAAGTTTATCTAAGGAACTAGATCTCTATGTTATTAGGAAAGCTGTCTATCTAATTATACTAAATCCCTCCTTCAGTTTGTTTTTAATTTGGAGAAGCAGCCGATATATGGGGCGAGCATACGATTCTTTTTTATGAGGAAAGCTATCTATCTAAATTATCCTAAAGACTACCTTCAGTCTGTGTATAATTTCGAGAAGTAGTCGAGATATGGGAAGTGCATACGATTCTTTTTTATGAGGAAAGCTATCTATCTAATTATACTAAGCCCCTCCTTCAATTTGTGTATCATTTGGAGAAGCAGTCGAGATCTGGGAAGAGCAGACGATTCTTTTTTTATGAAGATGTTGTATATTGAAAGCTGTGGTTGTAAATAATATAGTTTGGGAGATCGATCGAAGACCCCACGCGTCTGGTTCGATTGTTCTAAATACGAGAATATGAGAAAAAATCCTAGATTAGGTCCGGAGCAATAACTAACTTTTCCGCTTCCTTCTCTGCCCTCCACTCCTCGATCCTCTGCAGCATCCACGCTTCCCTTTCCTTCTTATTCATGGTTTTCCAATTTTTCGGCTGTCGTCACAATTAACTCTATTTATAAGTTAATAATTGTCTGTCTATCGTTTTTGGTATATGTAAGACAGCAATAGAATTTTGGTTATTATTTTTTTGGTTAATAAATAACTATACAAAAAAATATTCGGTCGTTTGATAGAGCGGCGAAGCCTAGACAATATATACGGTTGCTTCCAATATCGCATATACGATGTTCCTGAAGTTGTGAATAAACAACACTAGCTTGATCCCGAGATTTCACTCGCGTGGACTTTTTTTATTGTAACGCGTCATTTTCTGATGAGTTATTTTATAACAGGTATTTTTAACTGTTTGTGAGTCTTCAAGAATAATTTACGCAGTCAGTGATTCCGAGCTAGGGTTCAGGTGGATCCGAGTCTTGGAATTGGAGGTGGTTTTTACTGGTGGTAGGACCACTTGTGAGTCCGCACGGGTAAGTACTACTGCCCTGTCTATTTCTGCCGTGAAGCAGTAATGCGTTTCGGTGTGTGAAATGTGAATGTGTTTAAGTGAAATCTTAAAACTCATATCTCAAGGTGGGTGGCGGCATTTATGTTGTAGATGTCTATGGGCTCCGGTAACCACTTAACACTGGGTGGGCTGAAAGCTCCTCCAACCAGCTATGCAATAAAAAAAAGGTGAAATATTTTAGAATTGAGATTGTTTTAAAAATATTGTAAGTTTAAAAAACAATCGTTCCTTATTTTTAAACGTAGACCGTTAGGTACCGACTTTATTAAAATTTAAAGACAATGAAAACAGACCAAAATAGTTTAAAAAAAATTAATTTGTAAATATAAAAATGAGAAATTCATTGGTTCAGAGCTTGAGACGCCTGGGCGATAAAAAAATTTAGGTCTAAAATGTTTATTATATGAAAATAATATCAGAACCGATCAATATCAGCCGTGTTGGTAAATTGAAGACAAAAATAAAAGGCATTTTTTTTAATAAAGTACACATATTCACAAAGCCTTTTATATAATTATGAATTAACCGACAAAAGGCTAAGGTTACGCTCTATTCAAATATAACATGTATTACCAAGTAATGTACCTTTTTGTTTTAAAATTCAACAGTACAAACAAACAAACATATAACAAATACAGTTTTTAATATATAGACATAGGTACGGCACAACTTTACATTGCATGTATGTATATCGTTTTTATTTATAGTGTCGTAAAAATACATGATCGATTATACACGGTGCACGCATCAAACTGTTTTGTGGGGTTCTTCATATACCGACAAGTTTTTAAAGAAGGTATTCTGTTATAAGGCCAGCGTCACAGCTTTGGGCCTTTCTGTATCAGGCTTTGGGCAGTAGATCCTTTCTCCAAAACAAACTCGGATAACTCAGAACCGCGTAACCAAATCTATATAACAATACGTAAAGCCAAAAATTTTGTACCCCTTTTTACGAAAATTGCGCGGACGGAGGAGTATGAAATTTTCCACACTTGTAGAGAATATAGAGAAGGAGTGTAATAATAAATAAATTACACACACTACCATGTATTTGACACACACATGTATATATTATAATCTTTTGTTTATTGTTATCTGTGGTCAAATTGAGAAGAGATTAATAATATTTGTCTATAGTGTCGCTTTGGCGAAATTGGTGATTATAGAAGTATAGTCTTTGACAGTATAGGCATAATAATGTTCAAACTTATAATTTAAAGTATTTATGGTCGAATTCCGACCACTAGACGACCACTACTTACATTAAAAATGCCATCTTTAGTTTTGTTTTTCCTACTGGTACCAAATACTTACCATTTTAAAAAGTTTGGGGTCGGTTAAGTTAGTTGATTTTAAAATCATTTTTTCGTCAAAATTTAACAAAATAATTAGACATAAAATTCAGTTAATATCAAGTGTCATTAATAGTTATAATTACTCGTAATACAAATTACGTAAATACACTTGGGGAAGTAATTATTAAAAAAAACACACACACAAAACGCAATGTATACAGTAATACTTAACATTTCAAATCAGAACTTGTGTTAATCAGACTTCGTCGACCCCCAAAAGCAAGTTTTTTTTAGGTTGAACCCCAGGAAACCGATGTGGTCCCCCACGGGGACCACTTGGGGAATCCCTGCTCTAGATAAATGTGTATAATAACCAGTCTATTCTGCCGCGATAGGATATGAAGGTTTGAAGTGTGGATAGTTGTTGCATACTACAACTTGTGACTTTGAACTCATGCGAGCCGTGAGGTTATTTGGGAAAATTTAAAAACCCTTCAAGATTTCCCTTAGCCCTCTTCCAGGTTCCAAGATTGAGCGTCTTATGAGGTCACACGGGAAGGTACCACTATCCTCTCTATTTCTGCCCTGAAGCAGTAATGGTTTCCGATTTGATGGGTGGGGCAGACGTTGTACTATAAAACTGAATTTGGAACTGACGCCTCAAGGTGAGTGGTGACATTTAAACAGTTGATGTCTATACGCTCCAGTAACCACTTAAGCAGGTAGGACGTCAGCTCGTCCACTAATCCTAGAAATTAAAAAAACTTGTACTCAAACCTTCTCGAAGGCAGGTATATCCTCTTTATCTTTCTTTCCCTTCTTCCCCTTCCCTTTCTTCTTCGGACTTTCTACCGGCTCCTCTTCCACCTTCAGCTGTTCCTCTGTATATTTAAGAAGGTATAATTAGCAAACAACATACATGCAACTATAAGTCTTGAGCGTTCGGAACACGGTACATTACTGCTGCTTTTAGTTCACGTCTGCTCCTGGACATAGGCATCTCATAAGACTCGCCACAACGACCGGTCCTGCACTGCTTGCATCCTAAGGATTCCATGCGAGCTTCAACAGGTCGTCATTCCACCGTGTAGGAGGCCTACCTACTGTTATGCCGGTAAGAGTAACGCAATCTATCGCCGAATAGTTGAACGAATATCGAAGGATCTAGTAGCACCTAGAACGCTCGAGAAGTACAACGCCATCTATTGTCAGATAGCAGGAACTACTACTAGAGATGTGTGGAATATTCTCGATAGTGATAGGGATGAGTTATCGGCTATAAAAGCGTTGCAGAGATGGCACGCAGTCAGTCAGTAACCGGAACTACTCGAAGCGAAATAGCGAACGGATCACCTGAAGCGAAGCGGAAGAAGCGAATTGAGAGTTAGTGTTTGTTATGATACTTCTAACATCAAGTTGTTTAAGTAGATTATTTAAGAAGCCGCGATGTATATTGACGGTAGCTGGCGTATTCTGTATTGAGGTAAGCTAATCAATCTCATTTACGTTACATTGCGCGCGATTACAGCTCTACTGCTGAATTTTAATTTCTGTACCATAATGCTTGTCGGCGAATGTAATTTGTTAGTATTGTAATTTTATAATTTAATTATAATGAAACAATCGATTATAACCAGCCAAGGATTCCTCGGACCACTGAAACATTTCACTGCTCGCCTTTTTCGATACTTCCAATGCCTAGAAAGTGATTTAAATCATGATTCGTATCATATAGTCGTACATAATTATGTTTCCGTCAAATAGAGTCGGGCATTTAGCGACTAACATAACCAGTGCAGAGACTTACAAAATCCCAAACTATTCAACAAATCTTTTATATATATACTAGCTGACCCGGCAGACTTCGTAGTGCCTCAATAGATAAATAAAAGACCTAAACTTTTGTATAAAATAAACTTAAAACAAACAAAAGGAATCCGTCCGACGGGGGACACATCAAAGGAAAAACAAAATTGTTATTTTTATTTCATTCCGAGCATTCTCATATTTATCTACCTTTTAAACCTTCTCTGGACTTCCATGAATAATTCAAGAACAAAATTAGCCAAATCGGTTGAGCCGTTCTCGAGTTTTACCGAGACTAACGAACAGCAATTCATTTTTATATATTCTTCTGTGCGTTTCTTCACTGAACTCCTAAGCGGCTGGACCGATTTGAATGATTTTTGTATGCGTTTGGGTGGCGCCCTGGATGGTTTAGATTCACAAATAAACCCGGCAGATGACGTTGCAGTCGGTATCTAGGTTATTAATCTATACTACAACTAAATAGCTAGATCGACTTGAATGACTTTTTGTGTATCCATTCATTCATTCCGCTAGTACTTTATAATTACCAAACCAAGTGCTGGAAATAATACGTAAATCCATTTAAACATTAAATATTGGAGAACAAAATTTCACAAATACGGATCGACGCCAAAGTAATCTAGAGAAAATTCTAAAATGATATCTGCTGATACAATTGTCTCTATTAAACATAATATGGGGTCAGAAAATTAATCGGGCTTTATCCATATTAAATTAGAATTAATCTCATTCAATAATTCATCTAGCAGTTTTAAGTCTTCATCATTACCATCTATGTCTACGTCTACGAATGTATTTTGGAAATAAAAATCATCACTTTTTGTTAACATTGGCTCACCTCGGTTTCTTTTGTCTTTTTCCCCTTCTTTTTCTTCGCTTTGGGTTCTGAAAACATAAGAACATAACAGTCACTGCGGTACGAAATTTCACGAATAGTACAGTAAAATTTCGTTAAAGGAAATCTGAACTGTAATTACAATTAGTTTCATACAAAAACTTATTTATTAATTGTTTCAACTCTTTGATGACAGGCCTGAATTACTCAACAAAGGTAGTTCTAAGGCTTCATTCCGTTTAACGCGACAGAACGAGATAGAAAATAACAAATCCGTTTAGAGTATTTCGAACAACGAATACGACAAAAAAGCATCCTTGCATATGGGTTCATAAACTCAAAACAGTGTCAAACTTATTTTGGCGAATATTACTAAATTTCACCTATATTGCAAAGACAAAAGAAGCTGTTTGACGTGTCGACACAGCTGGAGCGGATAGCGGCGCGAGCGGAGTATTTATGTGTGTGTGCATATCAGTGGCTGACGCGTGACCGTTTTGAGTTCTTCAAATTCAATTATATTGGCCAACCCAACGCGTTTGCTGAGTTTCTTGAGCCTTCCGAAAGGAATCCAAAGTTGTTGGGTATTTTACAAATTTTTTTTACATTAATAAATTTTACACTTTCGTGCGTTAAACTTGGTTTACAGATATAAATCTTTGTGAGATAAAAGTGATTTAAACTATCACTTACGTACAAGATATAGAATCGGATCAACATCGAATCGAAGATTTGGGTGTCTGACTGGTCCAGATTAGAAGTAAAGATAAAACAAAAGTAGATTTATGACGACTAGTTATTGTACTAAGCATGTAATAAAATAAAATCACTGATGAGACCAGTTTATTTTTTATTAATTTGGATTCTAATGTTCATAATACAACTTCTACTGCTCATACATTCTGCAGCTAATCACGCGTACCACATTTCCTTACAGTCTTAAAAATACGATAGCAAGTCGTTCTTGGAACCAAAACAACAGTTTTACCGTCGCTTTTTTTTGGACTGCCTAACCCTAAACCAATACACAGAAACACGACACAACATGAAACCCTAAACAAATGCATAAACATAAAATATTTGTTTACGAATGAAAAAACACGCATAAAGATTGCATATTTATCGCTTTCACTCACCGGATATTCCCTTTACGTCGCACGTGTATGTATCTAAGGAGACCGTTATTGATCAAACAACTCGAGACACCATGGAAAGCGAGAATGAGATATGTCGTGTGTCGCATAGGACAGTAGCGAAGTGTCGCGAGATAACTTACACTAAGACCTAGACGTTTGCTTAAACCTGAATTTACTTGAATGAGATATCCTTTTTTATGATTGAGGGTGTACTGGTGGCCCGGAGGCTTTTCCAGTTTCACCAGGACTGGTGGGCGAGCAAAGGCTCAGCCAAATAGGGGCGGGGTTTGCTAACAGCTACCCGAGCGCCTCCGAAGGATATTTAACAACTCAAGAGTAGCTGCTTCGCGAATGAACCTACTACCGGGTCGGAATCGCTACCCGCTGAGAAGATCTCTACTGTCTACTCCTACTGTTAGAGCGGAAGGCGTCATGAGATATCCCTAATGTGAAATACTGCATGTGGATTTAGTGAAAATTACCTTCAACAATAGGTGGTAAGGATTCAAACGATGCGCTGGTGTACGAGGTGTCAGTGAACTGGACTTCCTCTGGTTCCAATTCCAGGTTCGTCGTCGCGACAAGTACTTCATCTTGAATGTCAGATTCTGGGGATAGATACTAATCGTTAACTTTCAGTTTTTCATGGCCTAGCTGATCACTGGTTGTTTCCGGAGCTACTGTTTACTTACTGGTTTAGTTTACTGGTGGAAGGACCTCTTGGGAGTCCACGCGGATAGGTACCACCACCCTGCCTATTTCTGCCGTGAAGCAGTAATGCGTTTCGGTTTGAAGGGTAGGGCAGCCGTTGTAACTATACTGAGGCCTTAGAACTTGTATTTCAAGGTGGGTGGCGCATTTACGTTGTAGATGTCTATGGGCTCCAGTAACCACTTAACATCAGGTGGGCAGTGAGCTCGGCCACCCATCTAAGTTATAAAAAAAAAAACTTTTCCTTACATTGCCGCCACCAATATTGCGACTTGGAGTCAAAATCTCACAGGACGACTGGCCCGATCATCGCGACACAACTTATGATTTTTTTGCTGCAGAAATAGTTAGGACGGTGGTGGATACAATGAGCTATCACCAGTAGATGTCAGCTAGCGATTGTCTTATACCGATAGTCGGAGAACGTTGCCAATTCTCCGGAAAATCTACGAGAAGAGAGAAGGTGCTATTTTCGGCTTGGTTTGATACGTTTGGAACAAAATAAAGACCAGTGTGCTTAGTGCGAGTTTTTTAACGTTCTCGATAGCGTAAAAGTTAACTCAAATTTGTATGGAGTTGCAAAGTTTGTTTACGTTTGCCGCTAAGGGCGCTGTTGTTCGCAATAACCACACTGGGCTTAATGGGAATACGGGAAATCAGTTAGGATGATGTAATGAAAAAACAAGTATTCAAAGTAGAAGCAGCATGCCAAGTTCTAATGCCGTTGCTATCTGATTCTTATAACTTAACGTCCTCTGGTCTCATCATGACTCTCTCTCTCTTTTTCTTTCGTATCAAGTTGTGCTGTTTGCGCGGGTAATGAAACCGGCCACACTAGGGACGAATGAATTCATAATTGGCGACGTGAGATCGCAGAGCTACCGGAACAAGTGAGGCGTTAATCTCAATTTCTACCTGGCGGCTCTTTGGTGGTTTCCTGAAATGACAGAGAATGATTGCGCATCAATGTTTTAGCTTGCAATAAATAATAATAATAAATAACTAGTAACAAATCACGAATTGGTCATCTGGACCCAATTTAGGATTCCCTATGTTATGGGTAGCATACTGACATACACATGTATATACGTTCATATATATACCCAGACAAAGAGCAAACGAAAGTGTTCATAACACGAATGCCCAAAGCGGGAATTGAACCCACGACCCTCGCCACAATAGTCAGGGCAGCTAACTACAGCACCACCGAATCTGCCTAAGATAATGCAAAACAGATTCATGGTACTACAAAGTTCCGAAGAATGTAAACCCTGACTTGCCGATATGGACGTTCATCTGACCAGATTCGCAACAACCTTGTTTCTATAATCTACGGTACTCTCGGACTATCTGGAGACTAGAAAAGGTGGCATAACATCGTGAGGACGAAACTCATGAATAGGGGTGGATCCACAGACATGAGAAGCAGGGCTGAAGGAGAGATATAGTTGTCGAAGATACCAACAAGGTCATTCGTGGATGTGCCTATAGCCGGCCATATCGGGGCCCGCAGGAGAGAGTATCACCACAGCAAGAACATGGGTATTGTGTTATAAATGTAACCAAACTCTCTACTCTCAACACTTCAGTGCACGTTCCTAGTCACGAGAAGAGTTCTTGTAGGAGGCCACGACCCTCAGCATTGAGGATTATCGATGCAATGAGGAGCATAGCCATATATTTAGCTGGTTCTTTAGCCGGGTATACCTATTCTATTTCCAATTGTGCCCCATTTTCTACTGTATTTAGGCCGGTCAAAAGTATTTCTTATTGTTTTCTTTTTTTATATATGATGCTAGGATTTCGTGAGCACGTGTTAAGTTCGTTTCACTTAGCACTTTCCCGTGCACCTGCAGATCGTGATATGAAGGTGACACCAAACACGTGCGTGTGAATGCACAAGGCATCTTCGAACGGAAATAGTTGTGTAATTGACAATTAACTCGACGTTGATGCAGAACACAAAGATGTAATTGAAAATCGCATTACTGTTTTTTTTTTCTTGTCCTTTTTAGCCATAACGGAGATTCAGAATAAATAATAAAAATAAAATTCAAAAAAATTATGATATTGATGATGTCAAATATTATATGTTTGAGTGACTGTTTGGTTGACAGTTTATGTTTTTTTTTATTGTTGAAGCCAACGCGTCCTTTACTATTCAAGTGAATCAAAAGAATTCAAGTCAAAAGTGAATTAGGTAATGATTTCACATTAATTGTTTAGTTTTAATTGCGGCGGTCGCTGCTTGTTGATGTCCATGGACTCTTGGAGTTGATAGATACAGAAACTCCAAAATAAAAGAAAAGTTAAACATAGACAGTAGTGACAATAGGAGTCTTGACAAGTGAAAAAAAATCCGTCGGTTCGTGAAGTAGAACAAAATAACAAAACTGTGATTTCGATAAAAAAAAAATAAAACATCCGCGTAATTAATTCTAATTTGTAAAAGTGTGTTAGTATTTTATTTCGTAACTCCCTGTGCTCTGCGATTTGAAGATAGGACTGCTATGAAGATCTTTAAATTATATATAATGGACGACAATGACAAAGGCTAACATAGATATATAAAATAGAAATAGAATAAAATAAAATAGAAAGGTTCCACTATTCCCGTAGACCAGTATACTTCCGTGAATGTTCCGTGTCATTGTAATGATATATAATGTATGTCTGATAGTTATGTGTTAGAACTTTTAAGTTACAAACATAGATTATAAGTAATTCTTACAAACAAAATGGTATGGTTTTAAAAAAAACTGATTTAAAGTATGAATAATAACAATACTTAATAATTAGTTCTGAGTCAATCTAGTTCTTCGGTTTGGAAGCTACGTTCATTTAAAACTGCGCAACGCAAGTTTTTTTTTTGTTCTTTTATAATACATTAATTCGAGTTCCGTTTACCATTTTAAATGAACGCCCGTGTAAGTGTGTCATTTACGTGTCCCGGTTCTTGCTGTATAATCAAAACGATTAAGCGCAGGTTGATCGATTTTTTGTTGAGAATGCGCGGACTTAGAGATTGGACACGTCATTCCGGATCCTCCCGATCCACTAACGGTGGTTTTAGGTACCTCAAGTACGGGCCATGGTTCTCGTCGAACCTGTCGCTTGCGACGAAGGGCTCGGCGAGTAAATTAACCCACAGACACAGCCCACTGAGTTTCTCGCCGGATCTTCTCAGTGGGTCGCGTTTCTGATCCAGTGGTAGATTCTGCGAAGCACGGCCCTTACCAGGGTTCGTGCTAGCAACGTTGTCAGGTTTGAGCCCCGTGAGCTCACCTAATAGTTAAGGTTACGCTGAAATAGCCTCTCAAGGCTATCATCAGCTTAGGTAGGAAGAAAAAGGATATTGGTTAAACTGGCGCAAATTGCGAAATATACTGGAAGTTAGGTAATATTTATTTAAAATTTATTTCGCTACCTAATCGCTGTAACGTAGGCAGATAGCCATCAAGGCCGACATACGACCTCGTCAAAGCCGCTAGTAGGGAGTGGATGCGAAAGGCAAAAGATCGAAATGAATGGGTGCGTTTGAAGAGCCAGAGACTTTTACTGATGGTAAGACCTCTTGTGAGTCCGCGCGGGTAGGTACCATGACCCTGCCTGTTTCTGCCGTGAAGCAGTAATGCGTTTCGGCTTGAAGGGCGGGGCTGCCGCTGTAACTATACTTGAGACCTTAGAGCTTATATCTCAAGGTGGGTGGCGCATTTACGTTGTAGATGTCTATGGGCTACAGTAAAAACTTCTACATCTAAGCAATAAAATTAATTAAATATAAAACAGTCTGCTGAATCTCACACTTCTTTCTCATATGTTTTGTTATTGATTTCTTTATTACAAGCGACCCGCCCTCGCTTCGCTTCGGAAACATTAAAACACACATGAAACCAAAAATAAAAATTAAAAAAAGTAGCCTATGTTCATCAGGGACAATGTCGGCTTCTAATGGAAAAAGAATTTTTAAAATCGGTCCAGTAGTTTCGGAGCCTATTCGAAACAAACAAACAAACAAACAAATCTTTCCTCTTTATAATATTAGTATAGATAACTGGATTGCTTTTTTCTGTAAACGCGCCATGGATTCTATTTGTTTCAAAATGCCATTGAAATCTCAGTAAGATTACCTACCGTCATTTACTGAAGGTTGATTACAATAGATTTTAATAATTAATTACGCACAAAAATATATTTGTCTTAATATAAAGGACCATGAAAACTTAATTAAATTGTTTTTAATTTTATTTTAAATCCCACACTTGCTTTGATGATGGTTAAGGAGGTGATTGCCATATTAAAATAAAGATCAAAATTGTTTACTCGTTATCATGAATTCTCAACCTTCAGCTACCTCTTAGGATGGTGGTCACCTGGTAGTCGACATATTTATCCTATTGGTATAATTCAATGTCTAATTAATGAACCCGCAATGTAAGATGAAGTAGTTGAATTTGCGATACATTGCGCATACTTTTTTTTTTCCTACCTAAGCTAGTAGCCTGGAGCGGCTATTCCAGCGTAACCGTGGCTAGTAGGTGAGCTCACGGGACTCAAACCTGACGACGATGCTAACACGAACCCTAGCAAGAGCCGTGCTTCGCAGAATCTACCACCGGATCGGAAACGCGACCCACTGAGAAGATCCGGCGAGAGACTCAGTGGGCTGTGTCTGAGAGTTGCGCGTATTAAAATGTTAGTAAAAATAAGAAAGAAAATAGACAGGTTTGTCTGATCCTAACGTTCTATCCGTTAAATAATGGTACTTTATTGTGGATGGCCAAGAAAATACCAAAAAAAAATTGATGTGTTTTTTTTTTACTTTGATGGGTGGACGAGCTCACAGCCCACCTGGTGTTAAGTGGTTACTGGAGCCCATAGACATCTACAACATAAATGTGCCAACCACCTCGAGATATAAGTTTTAAGGTCTCAGTATAGTTACAACGGCTACCCCACCCTTCGAACCGAAATGCATTACTGCTTCACGGCGGAAATAGGCGGGGTGGTGGTACCTACCCGTGCGGACTCCCAAGAGGTCCTACTACCAGTGATTACGCAAATTATAATTTTGCGGGTTTGATTTTTATTACACGATGTTATTCCTTCACCGTGGAAGTCAATCGTGAACATTTGTTGAGTACGTATTTCATTAGAAAAATTGGTACCCGCCTGCGGGATTCGAACACCGGTGCATCGCTACACACGAATGCACTGGACGTTTTATCCTTTAGGCCACGACGACTGCAAATTATGTATATTAAATTAATCAAATAATTATACTTTCACGATGATGTTCTTTTAATTCGGTTGGCACAGTCTTATCTGTACTCCTAGCATTGCTGATATCCATGAGCGACGATAACCACTCACCATGAGATGGGCTGTAAGGTCTGCTTCCTCCTCCTCCTTGAATCGCTATCCTCATAACTTCCCCGCAGCATCATGACGATTGTCCTCAATCTGCTGCTATCCTTGGCTTGGTGATCCTTGGAGTCTGGTAAATAAGGTTTTTTTTTATTGCTTAGATGAGTGGACGAGCTCACAGCCCACCTGGTGCTAAGTGGTTACTGGAGCCCATAGACATTTACAACGCAAATGCGACACCCACCTTGAGATATAAGTTCTAAGGTCTCAGTATATTTAGAACGGCTGCCCCACCCTTCAAGCCGAAACGCATTACTGTTTCACAGCAGAAATAGGCGGGGTGGTGGTACCTACCCGCGCGGACTCACATGAGGTCCTACCACCAGTAAAGGTAAGGTAAGGTGTGCCTACGGATGACATAAAAAAGGAATTTCCTTAGAAGAATCTGTACGTCAGTAGTAGTAAAGGGTAACTTCTTTTAGTTGTGGCGGACGCCTCAATTTGCATGTTCATATTGCGCTCATAGTCTTGGGTGGCACTGCGCCTTAACAGAAATGTCGTGTCATCGTTTTAATTCAGCATATATGTATTTACAAATTACAGTATACGTATGTGTGGCATCTCAGTTGACACATTACCCGCGCAACCTTTATTGTTTCATTAATAGACTGAATTTGTATAAAACAACACATTAAATCGAAGCGGTTTTTTAGTAAATTCAAAAAATCTCATTGCTTAACATCGTTTTTTTTTTCAATCTAGATTTTTCTAGAATTATTGTTGCCAATTGAGAACGCGAAGTTTTTTTTTTTCAAAATTTTACATTAAAGGTGGTTGTTTTTCGAACTCTCAACTAATTCCCGGGTTTTATTCGTTTGGATTTTAAACAATATTCACATTCTTGGTTTTTTCATTAGGCACAGATATGACGCAAGAGCAGACGATCCCGGAATTCTTCACGGGGAAGAATATCTTCATAACCGGCGGCTCCGGTGAGTAAATTGTCATACACAAAAACGATCTAATATGCTCTCGACGAATTAGACTATCGCGCGATTTCTCTCCACAGCAAGCTTGAGAATCGAAGACAGCATCACCGATTACCGGTCCAGTTTTAGTCGAAATAAAGAGGGCTTACTGATGATTGTCGTTTCAGGAAGAAGTCCTATGTTCTTGCTCGTGAGAATCGGTGGAGACCAGGATGTGTTCTCCGTCGTTCTAAAGCGTCTTCTACTTTTTTTCATTTTACCCTTAGCTGGGGTGTAGGGCTTCAATCAAATTCTTCCATTTACATCGGTCATGGGCAGTCTATTCTACCTTCTCGCACGTCATGCCCAAGGCGTTTCTGCCCTACTGAACGACGCTAAGTTCTTCTGGGACGGTCTCTCTTCCTTTTGCCAGACGCTGATGCCTAAGCTTGCCTAATGAAATACGTTCTCAATAAATCTTCACGATTGACTTCCACGGTGAAAGAATAACATCGTGCAATAAAAATCAAACCCGCAAAATTATAATTTGGGTAATTACCGGTGCTAGAACATCTTGTGAGTCTGCACGGATAGGTTTCACCGCCCTGCCTATTTCTGCCGTGAAGCAGTAATGTGTTGCGGCGTGAAGGATGGGCCAGCCGTTGTAACTATACTGAGACCTTAGAACTTATGTCTCAAAGTGGATGGCGCATTTACGTTGTAGTTGTCTATGGGATCCGGTAACCACTTAACATCAGGTGGGCCGTGAGGTCGTCCACCCATCAATGCAATAAAAAAAAAAATCCAGGTCACTGCTCTCTTGGATAGATGGATATCAAGCTTTCTTAATGTGTGACCAATCCCATGTTAATGCGCGTTAAGGATCTTCCTCTCTATTGATGTCTGCTTGCTAATCCTCCACAACTGGCTGTTAGTGATCGTCTCAGCCCAAAATCGTTCTAAAGCATCGGATAAAAACTTCATCTGTACTAATATATAAATCTACAGTAGTTTTTACGGATGTTACGTTATAACTACTGAACCGTGCATCCGATTGACTTGAAACTTGGTATCGATGTAGAAAATACATGTACTTAATGGATAGGCTAATATTTATATGAGTGTTGGATTCCCTAATAATAATGACAATAAATAATAATGTTAATTTTAAATGCGCAGCGAAGCGGGCGAGTACCTACGGCTAGTTCTTAATATTTTTGTTCGTTACCGTATTAATTATCATGACGCCACATCAGTAATTAAACACCATTGTTTCTAAGTTTCCGAGGGCATGGTAAGCTAATTAATTACATTAGTTAAGACATTAATTCTCATTGTACTCTGTGAATGGATTGTAAACCATTACCTACGTGAGCACTGTGGAAGTTAAAACAGTTTTATTACAAAAAAATGAAATTGAAATTGAAAGCTGACTTCAACTTAGTACAATGAGAACATAATGAATGTTCGGAGTCAACTTTAATTTTTTTATTTTTTATTGCATAGATGGTTGGACGAGCTCACAGCACACCTGGTGTTAAGTGGTTACCGGAGCCCATTGCACAACGTAAATGCCGCCACCCACCTCGAGATATGAGGTCTAAGGTCTCAGTATAGTTACAACGGCTGCCCCACGCTTCAAACCGAAACGCATTACTGCTTCACGACAGAAATAGGCAGGCTATATACTACTAGCAATAATATTGCAACGATAATGTTGAATGCGTCAATCAATTTATGCACAAATTTCAGGTTTCATGGGTAAAGTTTTGATAGAGAAACTTCTGTACTCGTGTTCGGAATTAAGCAAGATCTATCTTCTGTTGCGCGACAAGAAAGGCGTCAGGTCTGAAGAACGTCTGCAGCAAATGTATTCTTCTCCAGTAAGTGGACTGGCATATCTCTTGTTTAGATGGGCTGTGCTGTGATCTCACCTTTAGAGTTGAAATGGCTTAACTGGTGGTAGGACCTCTTGTGAGTCCGCACAGGTAGGTACCACCACCCCGTCTATTTCTGCCGTGAAGCAGTAACGCGTTTCGGTTTGAAGAGTAGGGTAGCCGTTGTAACTATACTGAGACCTTAGAATTTATATCTCAAGGTGGGTGGCGCATTTACGTTGTAGATGTCTATGGGCTCCAGTAACCACTTAACGCCTGGTGGGCTGGGAACTTGTCCACAAATGTAATGTCCCCTCAAATTTCAGTGTTTCGACAGACTACGCAACGAAAAGCCTGAGATCTTCGAAAGGAAGGTCGCTTGTGTTTCTGGAGACGTCATGGAAATTGGATTAGGTACGTAATCCATCATCATTATTCATCGGAGTCAAATGGAAGTAGTTCTTGGAATTACCAACGATACAATAAATATTTTGAGGTCGTCTTGATCTAAACGATAAGACGCCTGGTGCAACTTTTTTTTTTTACTGCCCTTGTAGGCAGACGATCATACGGCCTACCTGATGGTGAGTGGTTACCGTCGCCCGAGAACTTCAGCAATGCCAGGAACTGAGCCAAGCCGCTGCTTAACTCTGCCGGTGTTGGAATTCCGCAGCCTTAATGTAATAAAAATCAAACTCCGCAATAATTTTCATTTGCGTATTCACTAGTGACTTCACACGGGTAGGTACCACCGTCCTACTTATTTCTATCGTGAAGCAGTAATACGTTTTCGCTTAACACCAGGTGGGGGGAGGGCTTCTGAGCAAGTGTATCTTAGCAATAAATAACAAAGAAAAGACGATATTGATCGGAAAATATGTTCCTATTTCGGTAGCCATCAATGTAAGCAGTGTATAATCGGTCGGTCAATGACCTCCAACGAACAGTGTTTTTGGTTAAATGCATGCATGCTCAAATGCTTGAATTATTATTAGAGACGATTCCAACAGACTTAACTCTTTCTTTTTGAAGCAAATGGGCTTATTCGCAGTCCAACATGTTACCCGAGCGCCATGAAAAGCCCGTCTTTAAAAGTTCGCAACGACAGGTCCCTTGGCTATGCCCCTTCCGTGCCGATGTCCACGGGCGACCGTAACCACTCACTGTCGAGTGCACTGTACGCTTTTCTGTGCCGTGGACAGATAATATAAGACGAAACTTAGATGATCGGGAATAAAATTTACGTAAAAAATCTGTTGGCTCTGGACTTGTGATCATCGATAAATGAACCTTTCAAAACGAAGAAATCTAGACTTAATTTGTTAGCCCACAGACACAGCCCACTGGGTTTCTCGCCGGGTCTTCTCAGTGGGTCGCGTTTCCAATCCGCTGGTAGATTCTGCAAAGCACTACTCTTGCTAGGGCTAGTGTTAGCAACGCCTTCATGTTAGGTCCCCGTGAGCTCACTTACTCGCTAGAATAGGTAGGAAAAAGAAGTAGCTTGTAGCTAAAGGCAAATTCTAAGTCACTTAGTTCCGATTCTATCAAACTAAACTATGTTATGCTCTTTCAGGTCTGTCGGAAGAACACCGTGCTGTACTTATTGACAATGTTAATATTATATTTCACGTGGCTGCAAGTGTAAGGTAACAATAACAACATCTACACAACATCCACACAATGTTTATGTAACAATGCTAATATTTCGTTTTAGAATGCAGGGTAGTAGATAAAATTACGTTATAAATACGTTGCGGACTTTTTGGCGGGAACGCGAGGAGTGAAGTTGTGTGATTTGTTTTATTTTGTCTATTTAGTGTTTCTTCAGGTTTAAATGTGTAATAAGGGTGGCTTATTAACTGCTTAATATCTGTAAAAGTGCACAAATGTGGGAAAATGAAACAAAGCCGCTGGACGTAACTTCTCGGGATCCTCCAAAAAGTCCACTGAAAAAGTCTCAATAAATGACCACCATTTTACTGAGATTATATTTCATCCCATATCATCTCATCTCATTTCATCCCATTTGATTAATGACTCAAATTAATAAACTTAATTTTATTTCATTTCATTTCTCTCGTTTTCATTTCATTTCAGGCCATGTTTCATATTAATCAACTTCATTTCATTTCATAATATCATTTTCCATATAAAAAAGTTTTCATTAAAATAAGACTAGTCTTAAAGGTCTTAGTTACCAGGTCATAAAATCCTTAAAAAAAACACAACATCCACACAATGTTTTCGTGACAATACTAATATTTAGTTTTAGAATGCAGGGTAGTTAATAAAATTACATCACTAATACATTGCTTGTTCAAGGTTTGATGACCCCTTGCAATATGCGGCCAAGCTGAATCTTCGTGGTACGCGAGAGGTCGTTGAACTGGCGAAGGCTATTAAAAACTTATCAGTAAGCGTTATGTATACATTTTAGTATTTTATATCGTATACGGCTAAGAGATAACTTTTTTTATTGCTTAGTTGGTTGGACGAGCTCACAGTCCACCTGGTGTTAAGTGATTACTGGTGCCCATAGACATCTACCAAGTAAATGTGCCTCCCACCTTGAGATATAAGTTCTAAGATCTCAGTATAGTTACAACGGCTGCCCCACCCTTCAAACCGAAACGCAATAAAAATCAAACCCGCAAAATTATAATTTGCGTTATTACTGGTGGTAGGACCTCTTGTGAGCCCGCGCGGGTAGGTACCACCACCCCGCCTATTTCTGCCGTGAAGCAGTAACGCGTTTCGGCTTAAGGGGTGGGGCAGCTATTGTAAATATACAGAGACCCTAGAATTTATATCTCAAGGTGGGTGGCGCATTTACGTTGTAGATGTATATGGGCTCCAGAAACCACTGAACACCAGGTGGGCTGTGAACTCATCCACCCAACTAAGCAATAAAAAAAAATACCTCTCGAGGGTACCAGGGATTAGGCAGGAAAGAAATCTGCTTCAAGCGTCATGATCATGGCTACAATGAAGACTGTAGGTAGCATCCTAGGAATTTATTAGATCTGGAAATCGTGGTAACAATCTATTCAAAAATTGTTTCCAGGTAGATTAGAAGCAAATAGACCTGGTTTGACACCGATAACATGTACTGGTGGTAGGACCTCTTGTGAGTCCGCACGGGTAGGTACCACCGCCCTGCCTATTTCTGCCGTGAAGCAGTAATGCGTTTCGGTTTAAAGGATGGGGCAGCTGTTGTAATTATACTGAGACCTTAGAACTCATATCTCAAGGTGTGTAGCGCACTTTACGTTGTAGATGTCTATGGGCTCCAGAAACCACTTAAGACCAGGTGGGCTGTGAGCTCGTCCACACATATAAGCAATAAAAAAAACATACCATTAAAGATAAAAACCTTAATTCCAGGTGATGGTACACGTGTCGACTTCATACTCCAATACCAATAGGGAACTGGTGGAAGAGGTCATGTATCCCCCCCACGCTGACTGGAGGGAGGCCCTGGAGATCTGCGATACGGTAGACGAGCACACGTTGCGCGTGCTGACTCCTAAGTTAGTGAACTTGTTAAAGAAGACAGTAAAAATGGGGCGGTGGAGGTCTCAATTAGAATAAGAGATTCCATAACTAAGAAGCTAAAGCGTATCATCACCTTCGTCTTCGGCAATCATCTTCTTACGATCCCAATGTGGGCAAATTTGGTCAGGTCAAGGTTGACTGATTTACATATTGAGGGATGTAAGGCTATTAAATTTATCTTTGTTATTAGCATTAACAGTTCGATGTTTTTAGCCGAACTTCAATTTTTACTCCATTCGAATATGTAGCTGAAGAAGTTTTTTTGTCATAATATTTATTCCAAATTTTAAACTTCAAATAGTTCTCCTGTAAAGGTTCAATAATGTCGTTTTTAAACCTAATAGCCATTCACCCGATATTTATTCTTCAATAATAACGTAAAGTTGAGAAATGAAATCAAAATAAATAATAAAATGATTTTTTATTTATTTATTGTTTAGATGGGTGGACGAGCTCACAGCTCACTTGATATTAAATGGTTGTCGGAGCTCATAGACATCTACGACGTAAATGCGCGACCCACCTTGAGATACTAGTACTACGATCTCAGTATAGTTACAACGGCTTCCCCGCCCTTCAAACCGAAACGCATTACTGCTTCACAGCAGAAGTAAGTAGGGTGGTGGTACCTACCCGCGCGGACGCACAAGAGGTCGTAACACCAGTAATGTTTAAAATTTACTTAGAGTTTACTGACAGTAGGCTTTTTGAAAGAACAGGGATGTTTAGATTAATGATTAATAAGCCACCATTATTACACATTTAATCCTGACGATGAACTAAATCAACAAAACAATTCACACAACTTCCCTCTCGCCAATAATTCCACGTCTCATTTCTTTGCCTCAGAGATCTGGTCACATAATGACTGATCCTTCAACTCAAATTCCAGGTACATTGGAGAGATGCCCAACACGTACACATTCACGAAGCAGCTAGCCGAGCACGTTGTCTACGAGCAGAAGGGCGTGCTACCGGCCACCATTATCAGACCCTCAATCGGTGAGCGAGTTCAGTATTCCGAAATGACCGTGTCATATCGTGATTCTCATGACCAAAATTGTCGCCCTAAACACGTCATTACGGGTCCTCCCGATCCATTAACGGTGCTTTTAGGTACCATAAGCACCGGTCACCGTCCTCGCCGAACAGTAGTGACAGCTTTGCGTCTTCTGTTTTAGACAAAGATATTTGTTTTAAATTTTCTTTTCGTCCTCACTTCAATATATTGTATTTTATGATAAAAAGAATTCGTCTGGATATAAAGGTTCTCAAGCGACCAATGCTAACCATTTGACTCCCATGTCACTTACCGGTGCCCTACGCGGTGCATTCAATGAATTATGTCTTCGTTCTCGTCAAACTCGTCACTCGCGACAAAGGGCTCGACGAGTGAATTAACCCATAGACACAGCCCATTGAGGTTCTCGCCGGATCTTCTCAGTGGGTCGCGTTTCCGATCCGGTAGTAGATTCTGCGAAGCACTGCCCTTGCTAGGACCAGTGTTAGCAACACACCCGGTTAGAGCCCCGTGAGCTCACCTACACGTCAAGGTGAAGCTGAAATAGCCTCTTAAGGCTATCAGCATAGGTAGGAAAAAAAGATCAAACCTTATATCGAGGGGTAAAAGACTGTTTGGTTTGGTTTGGAGTTATTGCACAGCGCCGGTATGAATGGCGACGTGTATTCTCGCAGGCCAAGACCCACTTCGGGGGTCATAGCGACAGTCCAGTAGTAGTAGTAGTAGTAGTAGTAGTAGTAGTAGTAGTATAGATTCTATGTGCTTAGTGCGAGTTTTTACCGTTCTCGATAGCGTAAAAGTTAACTCATATTTGTATACCGTGGGAACAGCGCCCCTAGCGGCAAACGTGGGCAATCGTTCGAACTGCATACAAATTTGCGTTAACTCTTACGCGATCGAGAACGTAAAAAAACTCACACTGTTCTGGTTTCGCTTCTACAGTGATATCGAGTGCTACCGAGCCTGTGCCTGGCTGGATTGAGAACTACAACGGGCCAGTGGGCTTACTTGTGGCCAGCGGAAAAGGTATGAGATGAACAAACACATTACGCACCTTTAGAATTGAATTGGCTCAATCCAAAATTCTTGTTTTTTTTTTGCAAACGCTACGTTACCTATACTGAGACCTTAGAACTCATATCTCAAGGTGGGTGGCAGTATTTAGCTTGTAGATGGCTATGGGCTCCAGTAACCACTGAACATCAGGTGGGCTGTGAGCTCGTCCACCCATCTAAGCAATAAAAAAATAAAAAATAAATTCTTTAAGGGACGAAATCCGTAACGAAAAAATTCGACGGAGAACCAAAGTCGACGCCATAGCTCTCAAAGTTAGCAGGCTAAAGTGGCAATGGGCCGGTCACATCTGTCGAGCCAGCGACGAGAAATGGGGGAAGAAAGTCCTCGAATGGAAGCCACGGATGGGTACCAGAAGCGTGGGGCGTACTCCAGGTGGACCAACGACTTAGTGTGCACGGCGGGAAGTCGTCGGATTCGGAAGGCAGAGGACCGCATTCTGTGGAAGGCATTGGGGAAGGCCTATGTCCAGCAGTGGGCAGATAAAGGCTGATGTTGATGATGATGATGATGATATTAACTTAATAAACTACCGGTGAAGCGGAATTAGCCCATGAAGCGTCTGATGAAAAAACGAAATTGACTGCCCTGTTTACTGTTTAAGCATATTGCGTTTTAGTCTTCAAACTACAAAGGCTATATATTATTAGGCATAATGCGAAGTCTGTACACCAACCCGGATCTGATGGCCGACTACATCCCGGTCGACGTGGCCATCCAGACCATCATCACCGCAGCTTGGCACAGAGGAACTAAGAAGTAAGTGATTCGATATGTAACTAAAAATACACTTGTATTCCGCTGTTCGGTCTAGTGAAAAAGCGTTCTGAAGGCCCAGATGTCAGACTAATAACGCAAATAGAGAATAGGTATGGTCAATTACGTCGCATGTAACTAACTCTTGGAGCTGGGTACACCTCCCTCTCCCAAATTATAATATGCGTAATTACTGGTGGTAGGATCTCTTGCGAGTCCGCGCGGGTAGGTGCCAACACTCTTTCTGTTTCTGCCGTGAAGTAATAAAGCGTTTCGGTTTGAAGGGTGGGGCAGCCGCTGTAACTATATTTGAGACCTTAGAACTTATATATCTCAAAGTGGGTGGCGCATTTACGTTGTAGATGTCTATGGGCTCCAGTAACCACTTAACACCAGGTGGGCTGTGAGCTCTTCCATCCACCTGAGCAATAAAAAAAAAGACAGCGACTACCTATAGAGGTTCGCGGAGATCCGCTAAATACAAGCAGCGCAGGATCGATCTTTGTTGCTAGGCTTTGGGGAGGCCTATGCCCAACAGTGGACTCTGTGGGCTGATGGAATAAAAACCCTTGGAGCTCAGTTCTGTGTTCCACAGCTTTTGCACGGCTGTCCTGATCTTTCGTGATCCCCATCTCACAGTGAACAATGAGTCTGGTTATTTAACCACAAAGCCCAAGGTTTTTTTGTTGCTATTGGTATTCGTGATGTGAATATAGCTGTTTTTATCTTGAATATGTTTCTGTTGGTCACTCAAACTCGGGACCAAAGTAAAAGTCTGGCTTTCCTAATGGATACATTGGATATTTGATGATACATGAATATGAAGATCTTAATATATTTTTCTTTTGATTGGACTTCACGGTCCATATAGGCACTACCTGAACGCCATCGCCTACCTTGAGACATGAGATCTGATCCTCAATAGTATAGTCTATCGATTATCTCACCCTTCAAACTGGAAAATCGGCAGGGTGGTCATTCTTAAGCATCCGTGTTCACAATCCGGTCTAATACCAGTTCCTAGTACTTGTCTGGGCTCTGAGAGTCTGAAGGCTATTTATTGTCTGGTGAAACCATTTGTGGCCTTGACGATACCCGCAGGATGTGATGGGGGGTGCTACCTTAGGCAACCCCGTATCCTTGACGTGCGAACTAAATTGCTTCCTTTAAAATGTCTTTGATCCAACAACTTAGAAGCTTTCGGAAAATTCTTATGGCGCAGAGATTCAATAAACCATACTATATCGTTCGGCTTTTCAGTTTGACCACAACTTTAAACAATAACAAAATTTAGATAATAAACAAAGATTCTGTACATAAATAAGTGTTGTGTCAAATACATGGTACTGTGTGTAATGTTTGTTTATTGATTAGTGACCGGAATAAACGTCTTTACATTTCGTTGTGAAATAGCAAAATAGCCACAATAGCTAGCTGTAATATTGTCAGGTAGAGGAAAATATTTATGTAGTAGCTACATATTTTAAAATTCTGTATTTAATATTCTTTAAAATTCTTTTTCGCTAGGGTATCAAACACGATATAGTATTTTTTATGCATAATTAAAGGAAAATATTAACATTCTGCACTCCTGTCCTATATTTTCTTGTGTGAAATTTCATATTCCTCCGTCCGCGCAATGTTCGTAACAAGTGGTACAAAGTTTTTGATTCACGTATTAATATAGACAGAATGAATAAAATGTAATATTTTCGCCGTTTACGTATTTGTAAATCAAAAATGCTTAATGTAACTGTTAGTAATGACAAGATGCAATTCGTAGAACAAAAAAAATATGGAAGAAGCAAAAGAACGCCAAAAGAAGAAAGCTTATACCACGCTCCATTCCACCCATGACCGAACGTTATGGAGGATAGTCACATGTGGTCGCGACCCTCAACAATGAGATGAGAACGATGAAGAAAAAGAAGAAATGTCACTTTGCCATGGATATACTGTTGAAGACATAACACGAGGAGAGTTGACTTCAGGCAGACTGCTGGTCGTAACACTCATAGCAATTTCCTAAACAGCAGCATCAGAGGACATGCCACGCTAACAATGATAATTTTGAAATAATTATTATAAGACTAGCTGACTCGGCAGACTTCGTAGTGCCTCAGTCGATAAATAAAAGTCCTAAACTTTTGTATAAAATAAACTTATTATAAAACAAACAAAAGGAATCGGTCCGACGGCGACGTACACATCAAAGTAAAAACAAAATTGAAATTTTTATTTAATTCCGAGCATTTTCATATTTTTTCACCTTTTAAACCTTCTCTGGACTTTCACAAATAATTCAAGACCAAAATTAGCCAAATCGGTCCAGCCGTTCTCAAGTTTTAGCTAGACTAACGAACAGCAAATCATTTTTATATATATAGATAGATAGATAGATTACATTGTAAAATTAATTTTAATTATGTCCAGAGAAACCACTAAATCAGTTCCTACATTGAACCGAATTATCTCTATCTAACAATAAACAGGTTGAAACCAACAGACGACATACCGATCTACAACTGCTGCTCGGGGAGTCTTTTCAAGATCACCATGAACGAGGTGGTGGAAATGGGGCGGTCGCTGGCAAAAGACATGCCCCTTGACGGCATGCTGTGGAGCGTCGGAGGAAATCTCACCACGTCCAAAACTTGGCACTACTTGAAGGTAAAAGGAAAGGAAGGTTAAAGGTTTAATTTAGGTGTCAATCTCTGAGGGGGCGTTAAGGCGGCTTTTCTTAGCATAGTTTTACTATGAAGCTAGTGTTTTTATTTACTAAGCATTAACTGGTTTAAGCGTTGACTGGCATTAATTTGGCCAGGAAGGGCAAAGTAATGGCTCAGGAAAAAAAGAAGTGGAAGTGGACCGCCCAAATATGCCGTCGCACTGACAATCGGTGGGGCACAAAAGTACTGGAGTGGAGACCTCGTACTGGAAGTCGTAACGTGGGCAGACAGTCAACGAGGTCGACCGATGACTTGGTCAAAGTGGTTGGTAGAGACTGGATGAGAAAGTCAAGAGGCCAAAGAGAATGGGGTGCATTCGAAGAGACCTACATTCAGCACTAGGTGGACACGGGTTGAAGAAGAAGGCATTTAAACATTTACTGGTGATAGGACCTCTTATGAGTCCGCACGGGTAGGTACCACCGTCCCGCCTATTTCAGCCGTGAAGTAGTAATGCGTTTCGGCTTGAAGAGTGGGGCAGCCGTTGTAACTATACTAAGACCTTAGAACTTACATCTCAAGGTGGGTGGCGCATTTACGTTGTAAATGGCTCCAGAAACCACTTAGCACCAGGTCTGCTTTGAACTCGTCCACCCATCAACGCAATAAAAAAAAAAGAATAGGGACTTAACATCCAACCTTCAACAATGCTGAAGAAGGTGTACCCGTTTCTATTTCAGGTGCTGATACTGCATTTACTACCAGCTGTCTTCGTGGACACGTTGCTGCGTATACTAGGCAGGAAGCCGATGTGAGTGAATCGATTTAAGATCTCGGTAGCTGTGGTCGAACCGCGTCTGATGCCGTCTGGTGTGCAATAATCACAGCCCTACCCTCGCGAAACCGGATCGGGTTACTGCTTCACGGCAGGAATAGGCAGGGTGGCGGTACTAACTCGTGCGGGCCCACAAGTAGTGCTAAATATTTGTTTCGATGAATATTTTTTATGGAATAACTGAGGGTAGTTCGACATATTATACGTATTTCGTCGAATAACGATGACTGTAATGCATTACAAACGTCGGAAATAATAAATTTACAATAATAAACACGAGATGAAGCCGTTAGAAAAGTTTTGATAATTTTATGAATAAGACGGGTGGACGAACTCACGCCTCAGCCGATTACTGGAGCTCATAGGTATCTACAACGTAAATGTCGCCACCCACCTTGAGATGTAAGTTCTAAGGTCTCAGTATAGTTACAATGGCTGCCCGGCCCTTCAAACCGAAACACATTACTGCTTCACGGCAGATACAGACAGGGTGGTGGTACCTACCCGTGCTGGCTCACAAGACGTCCTANACGGGTGGAGGAACTCACGCCTCAGCCGATTACTGGAGCTCATAGGTATCTACAACGTAAATGTCGCCACCCACCTTGAGATGTAAGTTCTAAGGTCTCAGTATAGTTACAATGGCTGCCCGGCCCTTCAAACCGAAACACATTACTGCTTCACGGCAGATACAGACAGGGTGGTGGTACCTACCCGTGCTGGCTCACAAGACGTCCTAACCCTAATGATTCGGCATTTTTTATTATTTACATTACGTATACATGACTCGGGAAAAGCGAAGAAGATAACGCATTTCAGTTAGTTTTCTTACGACGTTATAAACGATTCTTTCAGGCTGGTCAAAGTCCAACGCCGCATATACATAGCCAATCTCGCTCTGCAATACTATTTGATCAAGCAATGGACGTTCGTCAATAGCAACCTGGTCGCCCTCCGTAGCTTCTTGAAGGAGACCGACAGAGCTGTCTTCTACTTCGACATAGAGGCGTTTGACCACAGAAAGTTCTTCTACGACTCGCTCATCGGAGCGAAGAAGTATCTGCTCAAAGAGAACTTGGACGACTTACCGAAGGCCAGAGCGCATTCGCGGAGGTAATAAAAATACGTTTGATGTTGTTGTTGTTGTTGTAGTCCTAAGGTATCCAGCTGGTACATATGGCCCTTATAAGTTGTCTCCACTTGTCCCTGTCTTGCACTTGCTCTTTGACATCACTCCAGGTCATGTCGGCAGTCATCTCGCTATTCACGGTGAATAAATATGAATGTACTAGTCGCGAGTTTTTTTGTAGACCTATTTAAGATAAGCATTTCCATTGTAGACGTCAAACTCCAATGGCTCTTGCGGCGCACGCCAGAGTAGCTGGCGGCAGATTTTTTCTTACTTTCTTGACAATTCTTACAAACTTTTACATTTATAATATTAGTAGGATTATTTAGATTTGATTTAATAGAGATTAATTTGTATGGTCCGAGAAGAGGCTCTGAATTGCGCACCAAGAAGGAAGGGCGCTAGTCTCTAAGAAAAAATCCTTAAAGAGCTTCTTTTCTTTTTCACAATTACAGATTAGCTATCCTGGATTTCGTCGTCAAGACAGCGTTCTATTGCTACTGCGCCAACTGGGTGATGAAGATCGAAGTTGTTAACAGTGCTATTAACAGTGTCATTAATTGTATTTTCTATTAAACTTATATCTCGAATGTCTTTGATTTCTTATAAGGAGAAATATTAAATAGTGTATGTATTCTAATCAGGCTCTGCTGTGACGAACCCAAATTTTATGAAAAACTAGCAGACCCGGCCACACGTTGTTGTGTCTAAGGTTTTTGTTTCTAAATAACACGTGGCCGGCTATGCTGATACCAAAGATTAACAAAGTAAGAACAATTGGATTTCACTGTATTGCGTTTACTGCAAAATAAATTTCACTTATATTTTAGCCTTAGCAACACGTGGTGTTTATGCCATTAAATTGTAGCTTATTGAAACGGTAGTATTTTTAACACAGCGCCATCTATGAGATATAAATGTCAGACAGCATTACAATTGTCTGTAAAAACTGATTTAAAGCGCCATCTGTTTTAGACTTTGAAACTTACAATTAATAACAATAATCAATATAAGAAATTATTTTATTGTTAATTAATAAATATTGCGACCATTAATCGAAATAAAAACCATGCTATGGCCTAAGTTGGAACAAAACACAAACTTTAAAAAGAAAAAAGTTAAAATCGGTTCAGTAGTTTAGGTGTCCATCGCGGACAAACAACGTGAAACTTAATAGATATATCTTAAGATATCGATTTTATTGAAAACACTCGCGCGCCATCTGTCCTAAGTTGATCATACTAAATGGCAATGTATGTTTTATTGTTATATAGATAGTCATTAGATTGTCAACTTTCACCTAATTCCGTCAAGCAGCTTCATCGCGAACTAGTCGCAAACATTTTTCCGCCTTCACGAAATTTCGCACTTTTAACACAAGTAGTAAGTTTGATGTTGTTAGCTGCACTGTAGCTAATTTCTGTCTCATCTTTGTTACTGGTGGTAGGACCTCTTGTGGGTCCGCACGGGTAGGTACCACTACCCCGCCTATTTCTGCCGTGAAGTAGTAATGCGTTTCGGTTTGAAGGGCGGAGCAGCCGTTGTAACTACACTGAGACCTTAGAACTTGTATTTCAAGGTGGGTAGCGCATTTGCGTTGTAGATGTCTATGGGCTCCAGTAACAACTTAACACCAGGTGGGCTGTGATCTCGTACACCCATCTAAGCAATAATAATAATAAAAATTATAAAAAATGGCTCGGTTCATCGCTTTAAATCTGCACGTGATTTCGTTGATTCATCTGCGCAATAAATAAATAAAGGAAACAGCCTGCAGACATTTATGTATTTAGTACGGTCTTCTTACGTACTTACAGCTAAAACAAAACGTTTGTAAGGAGCCGATGGTAGCTTAAATAACTTCTTGCAATAGCTTATAAATCGCTGGAAACTATCATGGAATAAATATGTATTCGAAGCATAAGTTAGTGAGCCATTCAGTAGCGAGACAGCACGACGCCTCGGAGGCCGGTCATCGTTCGACGTGTAAATTAACCCACAGACACAGCCCACTGAGAAGATCCGGCGAGAAACTCAATGGGCTGTGTCTGTGGGCTCATCTACATTCTGCGAAGCACGGCTCTAGCTAGGGTCCGTGTTAGCACCATCGTCAGATTTGAGCCCCGTGAACTCACCTACTAGTTAAGGTTACGCTGATATGGTCTGTCTAGACCATAAACTCGGGTAGGAACAAAAACCTCGGAGAAATGAGGGTCTGCGAAATGAGGTCAAAATCTGTTGTATTTTACATTGACAGTTTCCCCTTCTGGCTAAATCTCTGCTCGCCCACCTGTCCTGGTGAAGCTGGATAGACCTCTGGGCCTCCATTAATTTCTGAATTCTTTAAAAATAACACTATGCCAGTCATATCGAGGGATGAAAGGCTATTTGGTTTAAGCGACAATTCGCTTAACACGCGATATTTATTTTTGAAATTAAAGGTAACGTATTTGGTATTAGTATGAACAATTCGGTGTTTTAGTTAAACTTCAATTATATTACTACCCCATTTAAATAGATGAAGATATTTTTTGGTATGATATTTTTTTCAAATATGTAAACTTTAAATTGCTCTCCTATAAAATTGCAAAAAGGTCGTTTATACCAAAAATATCCTTTCACCCCTCGATATGTTTCAAGCAAGTGCTGTAAATGATTCGACAAAAAAACCAGCAACTTAGAAATTTTCTAAAGTGAAATGCTAATCAAAATTAAGAGAAACGACATGAACACCTGTCTCACAACTACTATCGTCCGTCAATCACAAACGCTCGCCAAACGTGGGATTTCCATTCACACGAAATGCTAAAAACAAATTACATCCTGCCAACGGAGCATGGAAAGAAGCTTAATGAAAATTAGAAAGAAAAAAAAAATCACAACTCTACTATAACAGAAACAACAGGAGTAATAAACAGCAGTAAAAATATACTCCGAGAGCTTACAATACCCTACGTGTTCAATAAAATAATGCGTTTAGGATGATGTTGTCACTGGCGCGCTTTTGTAGTCATCCACAATGTTTGCGACATCTCACACAGATGACTTCTTTGCAATAATGCGATAGAGAAGTGCATCGTCACTGCGTCGAGTCAGAGACAGTGGCAAAAGTCTTCTGAACATAATATCGAGCAAGATCGAGGGACTGCTGATTAATAGCCTTTGCAGCAGCCACTTGGAAAAAATTGTAATGTTATACCTATATAATGTATGTCTGATAGTTATGTTAGAATTTTAAGTTACTAACATAGATTATTGAATTATAGAATATTGAAATTGAAATTGAATAGATTATAAGAAGTAATTCTTACTAACAAAATGTTATGGTTTTAAAAAAAAACTGAAATAAAGTATAAATAAAAAAGAAACAGGAGTAAAAACAGGAGTAATACACCAAGCTATGCTGTGAGATTAAAATGGCATCGGGCAGGCTATGTGCCAAGAATGAGTGACGATAGATAGACTTCTACTGATGTCATGGCTAGCCCCTCGGGAAATAGAATAAGAGGAAGCAGATGGGCTGACGACATCGAAGGGACGGCTGGTAAACTATGGATGGAAAAGGCCACAGTTAGAGAATATTGAGTATCTTTGGAGGAGACATTTACCCTCAAACATAGGAGTTCACGCTAATCTTAACTGAAAACAAATCAATTCAAAATTATTAAATAAAAATAATAGAATATTAAGAATTTATATTAAAAAAAAAACAAATTATTTAAAATTGTATTAGTTTTTTTATGGGTGAAATCATAACTATTATTATATTCATACACAGTGAAATAAAAAGTTTTTTTATTTTTTTTTATTTTATTAAGCGAAATATCGCTTAAGTAATCCAAATAACCTTTCACCCCTCGATATACCTATCGTCTTCTCGCATTAAAACAGTATAATCTCAAAACTTACTAATTTTACCGCTGAAATATCCTCTCAAGGCTATCAGCTTAGGTAGAAAAATAAAATAAAAAAAACTAATTTTACACGAGAGTGTTTTAAAGGCTTAACATGTGATATTTTTAATATTAATCATCTTTGCAACATTATTTTTTTATTTTTTACCAGTTACATTATCTGTCTTTTAAAGTAAGATAAAATTATGTATTACTTTTGTTAATAGTAGTCAAAACATAGGTAAACTAAACAAAACAAAAAACTAAAACTAAACTACGCTCTTTTGACAGTATTTATGATAAAAATACTGGTGATACCAAATGATTCAGCATATTAACTCAATTTCGAATATTTTTGGAAATTGTACACTTTTAATGCGAAAAGACGGTATGTTTTAAAAACTTCGGACGTGTCTCGGGATGGGAAGGCGGCGCCCTACATCCGGTGCTATCAAATAAACAAAAATAAAAATTACAACCGCGTACGATCAACGTCAAAAATCAGTTCTAGAACTTTCTTTTCGCCCCCCTGGATTAATTATCATCAAACAAATCAAAAGCATGACCCGTAATGACATTTGTAATCAACATTTACAATTTTCAACCACATTGTATTCAAATGTTGAACTTTGAACAATAGAAGCTAAAACGAACGTGTTTATTTTAAAATCATGTTGTATTTTCGTGCAGTCAATGTACATTTTTATACAATAACACACACATACACACACAATTAATTCATAGCATCAATCGAGTTAAGCGCTTTATTCACGTTCCATCTTGCTGTACGTCCCGCCGAGGCCATGCACGATGCAAAAGTACCATGAATAGGCTTGACGTACGTCGATAATCTATATATTAATACGTGAAGCAAAAACTTTGTATCCCTTTTTACGAAAATTGCGCAGACGGAGGAGTATGAAATATTCCACACTTATAGAGAATATGGAGAAGAAGTGCACAATGCTAATATTTTTTTTAAATAATGTATAAAAGACACATTAAATCAATAAAGAAAACATTACACACACTACATACCATGTATTTGACGCACACACGCATGCATACTATTTATTGTCAAACTTTTGTTCTTGACGTTTGTGGTCAAATTGAGAATAGATTAAATATTGTTTGTCTTTATTAATATTTTTTATAGAGTACCCTTGGCGAAATTTGTGATTAATTATAGAAGTATAAAATACGATCATAATAGTGTACAAACTTACAATTCCAATTAATTATAGTCGAATTTCGACTACTGCGGGACCTCTAGTTATTATTAATTGTTTGCTGGATTTGCACGACCGATTCTGCATCCAGCGAGTGTCCCCACCACCGCGAACGTCGTGCAGATAGACAGTGATTAACGCGGACGTACGTCAGAGCGGTCCTGCGTCGTGCTTGATCGTGTATAGACTTGCTGTACAGCAGATTTAACACTTTCAAAATTTATTGAACGATTTAAGTTCCATTTATTCCCTCCACGCTTGATGCGCGCATGCTACATCCAGCACCGCGGCCTTGAGCTGACGTACAGCCGTGATGGATAGTGAATAAAGCGCTTTAAATTGTAAAAAAAATAGTTAAATGACATTGACAAATGAATAGGAAATACACAAACGAAAAATAAACTAAATTCGGATCACGAATATTTTTAAAAGAGAATGTTTTTTTTATGATTGAAGGATCACTGGTGACCCGGAGGCCTTTCCAGTTTCACCAGGATAGTTGGGCAAGCAAGGGCTCAGCCTGTGATTAAAGTTTGAATCATAGAGAGAGTAAAGAGGCACACCCTCTGTTTTATGAAGACGCAGGTATAGTAGCGTCCCTGATGGTATTGTGGTCAGCGAAACTAATAGATCATCATCATCATCTTACAGTCCTGTGTTGGCCTAGTCTGGTCCAGTATGTCTCTCTAGACTCCTCTATCCAAGACTTTCTCCTTCCAAGTTTTGAAACCAACTCCTTTGAAGTCCTGCTCTACGCTATCTTACCAATTGAGTTAAAGAATGCCACAACTTTTACAGTCGTCCGGAAAGCACAGCCCATAGATCTCACAGCTTAAACCAATCCTTAGTGAGCAAAGCCGATGTCTTAGTTCTGTTGTATAACATAAAATTGTCTTGAGAAACACCCAACGCTATAGTGGGAGCCGTTAGAAATGGCGACAAACGTTGGTTCATGGCTTTTTCTGCCTGTCAGCCTCTCGTATATACGAAACGAACGTACTGATTCTGGAGGCGGTTTTACTCGTATTTTTTTATGAAGGAAGAATTACTGGTGCCCCGAAGGCCTTTCCAATTTCACCAGGACAGGTGGGCGAGAAAGGCTCGGCCAGGAGAGGTGGGATTTGCTAACAGCTGCCCGAACGCCTCCAAGGAAAATTTAACAACTCAAGAGCAATTGCTTCGCGAATGAATCTACTACCGGATCGGAATCGCGACACGCCGAGAAGATCCGGCGTGGAACTCAATAGCTTCTGCCAAGAATTTTACTTGGCACTCACAAACCCTTAACCTTCAAATGCAGAAAGAACATTCCCGAGAAACTTATTCACTAATCAGTATAGATTTATATCCGATATTTTATATCCGAGTATGAGTTCTATCCAAAATATATCACAATTTCGTGTTTAGTAAGGTGTTGACGTATTTAAAAATAATTTTAGCGCTATCTATTTAGCATGTGAGTTCGTCTTATCATATAGTTGAGAACCCGAGTCAAACAAGCTACCAGACCCCTCTGGGTCTATCAGGCAAATGTCGAAAGTTATCTTAATTTCAAAATTAGAGGGTAGTTAGCAAAATATCCGACTACGAACAACAACGTACTTGTCGTGAAAACCGTAAATTATCTAAACCGTCAGAAACAATATAATAAAAATAAAATAATCGAGATTAAATTTGTAATAATGCTTATAATTATATAAAAAAATTATTACCATAATGATTTCGATGATGTAGCAGTAATATCGTCCCGAAATAATCCCACAAATTGTGTGTGCGTAATTATTGTTACTTAGATTTTTTATTATTATTAACATGAAAATCATTACAATTTCAATGAGGCGTATAATTAGCATAAAATTATACAATTGAATCGATCTTAATGTCTTACAGTGTATTGTTACTCGTTCATCGATGAAGATGTATTTTAAGGAAAAGTGATTTTTTTTTTAGTTTTTACGACTTTAAACACAGATAATTGCTTATTATTATTATATCTTATAATTTCGCAACTAAAGTCTTATAGCATCTAGGGTTTCCAGAAGAGAAACGGTTTTAAAAATATCATCAAAATACCACTAGTTTTCTGTTATTCCTCTCGACGGCAGTTTATTGGTACTTAAAACTGAAATGGGGTTCTCGGAAGAACGCGACATGACCCATGTCCCCACTATACCGGAGTACTACAAAGGAAAATCGATTTTTATAACCGGCGGCTCTGGTAAGTCCAATAGCTATGTTAAAGTTATTTTAATGGTTCGTGGTACTAATTAAAATTGACAAAGGTTGGCTGCAGATGCAGGTTTGCGTCATTACGGATCCTCCTAATCCATTAACGGTGCTTTTAGGCACCGGTCACCGTGCTCGTCGAACCCGTCGCTTGCGACGAAGGGCTCGACGAGCAAATTAACCCATAGACACAGCCCACTGAGTTTCTCGCCGGATCTTCTCAATGGGTTGCGTTTCCGATCCGGTGGTAGATTCTGTGACGCACTGCTCTTGCTAGGGCCAATGTTAGCAACACACCCGGTTTGAGCCCCATGAGTTCACCTACACAAGGAGAAGCTGGTACAGCCTCTCAAGGCTATCAGCATAGGTCGTAAAAAAAAGGTTTGCTCTTCAAATTTCCAATGAGTGTCCCGGGAACCTTCCGAGAGCATTGGAATTCTCGAGGTCGATATTTCGAACGGTTTTCAGAATCGGAGTCGTTGGGAGGGTGACGCCAAATTGGCGTCTAAAATAATGGGAGTCCACAACAGAGCGTAGCGTTATTTCATGTCTAAAGTTGTGCTCTAGAAAGCTCAAATTCGGCTTACTCAATCAGATAATGGCCGGTTAGACGTGTTCGCAGCATTTACTATAAACACCGGACGTACATACGGCGTTTTGTGCGTGTGCTATTTGACACCGAACAATAGCTATTTGTGCAACAAGAGATCAAAGATGTTTTTTGTTTCAAGTGCTGATTTTGAGTCCCGCGTAAGCGAAGCTACGCTTGTGAATCAATTATAGAATCGTAGGGCGTAGTGAGGGACTCAACAGCACGAGATGCAAAAAACTTTGCTCTCGTGTAGCACACATAACTTTTCACCTCAGCAGTGAGAACACAATATATTACTTAGAAGACATAGAAATGAACAGGAATAGATTGAAATCTATATATATATATATAAATAAATTGCTGTTCGTTAGTCTCGCAAAACTCGAAAACGGCTGGACCGAATTGGCTAATTTTGGTCTTGAATGATTTGTGGAAGTCCAGAGAAGGTTTAAAGGGTAAATAAATATGAAAATACTCGGAATTAAATAAAAATAACAATTTTGTATTTCCTTTGATGTGTCCCCCGTCGGTCGGATTCCTTCTGTTTGTTTTAAGTTTATTTTATACAAAAGTTTAGGTCTTTTATTTATCGATTGAGGCACTACGAAGTTTGCCGGGTCAGCTATAACTATTTAAAAAAAACGTACTTTATTTATTACAAACTAGCGACCCGCCCTCGCTTCGCTTCGGAAACTGTAATTTATTATTGATTTCTCCACTATTTAATGGGTGTTATTATACATATAAACCTTCCTCTTCAATCACTCTATCTATTAAAAAAACCGCATCAAAATCCGTTGCGTAGTTTTAAAGATTTAAGCATACATAGGGACAGAGAAAGCGACTTTGTTTTATACTACGTAGTGATATCTTTAAATTTTAGGGTATTACGCGTGTTCTATTTTAGTTTGAATTCCAAAATCGAATTTTTAAGGGGTTTGTTTTTTTCCCTCGCTTTTTTATATGCATGTGAAAGAGACAGAGCACAGTAAAACTCGAATGTTTCAAATGGCTGAACAATGTCAATTCGTGGCACTGAAGATTGAAAAATTTCAAAGCTACTTTGACCCACGCTCGAATCAAAATCGCGTTTTGTTCACTGTTGCCTCGCGGCAAAAGCGGCATGTTTAAGCTGCTGAGGTGAAAATATATTAAATTTTAACGACTTTTCAGGATTCATTGGGAAGATAGTCATCGAAAAACTACTGTATTCCTGTACAGATTTGGACAGGATATACCTGCTGATGCGGCCTAAGAAATCCGTGAGCCCGGACAAAAGACTGGCTCAATTGTATTCTACTCCTGTGAGTCTTAAAAATAACGGATTGTCGTGTGATGATACACGTGTTTTGAGCTAAACAGATCTCTATTTCGTCTATAAGTATGTTAACTAAGTAGTGAGTAGTCACCTTCGTTCGGAGAACAAGGGCGATACAAGAGGCACCTAATCGCTCCTACTCGCTGACGATTACGTCCCCACCCTTAGGTTTAGGTTTGAGCCGTTGTAATGAAGGGTGGGGCAGCCGTTGTAACTATACTGATACCTTAGAACTTATATCTCAAGGTGGGGGGCGGTATATTTATTATTTATTATTTACGTTATAGATGTCTATAGGCTCCGGTAACCACTTAACACCAGGTGGGCTGTGAGGTCGTCCACCAGTCTATAATAAAAAAAAAATTTTGGAAAGATATTGGTCGGCATTCAGAAAATACCTTTATAAGTCGGTAAGGCACGTGACAAGAATGACCTTTGGAAACGCGTTATGGAATAATGCAGCGGTTCCAAGTCATTAGGATGAAATGTGGTGTGGCGATGTGGCGTGTGTCTACATCGGTCTGCTTAGTGAATTTAATGGGATATTTTGGGCACATTTTTATCTTCTGTTTTAGTGCTTCGATAGGCTTCGCAAAGAAAAACCTGGCGTGTTTCAGTCCAAAGTCCTCGTTGTGCCTGGAGACGTCATGGAAGATGGATTAGGCAAGTAACTTTAGTAAACAAGACCTTTTTTTTTTTAATGGGGACTGCGAGTACTTTTATTACGAGGTAGAGAAACTACACTACACTACACTAACACTACATTATAATAACAATAATAAATGGGTTATTAAATCATAAAGCCTTTAATTTATAACAATATTGGATTTCCTGTTTCAGGTTTATCAGACGAAGACAGGAAACTTCTCGCCGAACGAGTGAATATTGTCTTTCATATAGCTGCTAGTGTGAGGTCAGTACTATTAGTTCTTTACTTAAATCGATGGGTTTAAATATCACAACCTCCTTAAAGAAAACAATCTCTTAATGATTTTCGATTCGCGGTCGCCACTCGAGAAATTATATGAAGGCATTAATAAAAGCGAGATCAAACTGTACTGATACTCGTAACATCTTGAATTACATCTAGAATTCACGAAAGACCGCAAGTACTTTATCTTCGTACTAGCTTTTGCCCGCGACTTCGTCCGCGTGGAATATAGTTCACAAATAATGCTTTATTTTAGAACAAATTTGGTTAGCATAAAAAACGTTATAGTGAGCCAACCTTAACATATAGACATATACTGTCGCGGACTTTTTTTTAGATCTTTTAAAGGGGAACAATTCCGTAGTACATTATTTTACCGAAACTTTAACCGTTTCTGCAGCGCACGCAGCGGAAGCTGTCAAAAGGTAAAAATAACCCCGATTTTGAAACATTCTTTATTGGTGCTCCGCTTGTACCTACATATATTGGCCTTAGCGTGGTGTTATAATATAATAGCCCGAGAGCCCGTGGGATCTACCTGTATGTATTTGACCAGACCTGAAATTTCGTACATTGAGACCCCTATACCTACCATGCATGAGGTGGGGACTCACTAAGCTCAAAGTGGTCGACGCGCCGAGCGCTCAGGTAGGACAGGTACCGATTTTGCCGGATTTTAAATCCATTTGACCACGTCTGCCGTTTTGAAATTTTGAAAATATATGATTATTATTATCGGAAAATAATAATGGCAGACCATTATCGCGCATTTTACTTTGTGGCAGACCACTTTGAAAATGCTAAATTGCATTGAAAATGCAAAATTTTGAAAGTAATTGACTAGATCTGCCATTGATTTAATAATATGTTGTTTATTATAGTCTTAAAAACTTATATTGATCACGGCAGACCTCTACATTGCGTACATACATCAACATATAATAAAATCTTAGCNTTCAAAACGGCAGACGTGGTCAAATGGATTTAAAATCCGTCAAAATCGGTACCTGTCCTACCTGAGCGCTCGGCGCGTCGACCACTTTGAGCTTAGTGAGTCCCCACCTCATGCATGGTAGGTATAGGGGTCTCAATGTACGAAAATTCAGGTCTGGTCAAATACATACAGGTAGATCCCACGGGCTCTCGGGCTATAACCTATAGCCTTCCTCGATAAGTGGGCTATCTAACACTAAAATATTTTTTAAATCGGACCAGTTCTGAGATTAGCGCGTTCAAACAAACAAACTCTTCAAATTTATAATATTAGTATAGATGCATAAAATCCTTTCAGCCTTCGTCAAACAGAACGCGTACTTAGCGCGCGTCAGAGCGCTAAACTAACGCCGGGCTATAGCGCTCATAGCGCTGGCACTCTGTTTGACGGTATGTTACCGTAGTAGTACAACACATCTCGGCGTCATAGCGTAGCGCTCTGACGCGCGCTAATTACGCGTTCTGTTTGACGAAGCCTTTCGTGTTACAGATTCGATGACCCCTTGAAGTACGCGGTCAGATTAAACTTGAACGGGACGAAGGAAGTCGTGGAACTAGCTAGGAGTATGCACAACCTATCTGTGAGTTTGTCTTGTTTACTGGTGGTAGGACATCTTGTGAGTCCGCGCGGGTAGGTACCACCGCCCTGCTTATATCTGCCGTGAAGCAGTAATGCGATTCGGTTCGAGGGGTGGGGTAGCCGTTGTAACTATACTTGAGACCTTAGAACTTATGTCTCAAGGTGGGTGGCGTATTGTAGATGTCTATGAACTCCAGTAACCACTTAACACAGGTGGGCTGTGAACTCGTCCACTCATCTAAGCAATAAATAAAAAATGAAAAAAATTGATCCTGCTCGGAAGACACACTGGTAACCTTAGGGTTTTTTAGGTTACGTACCGATAGACATCACAAATGCCAACTTGAAACATAAGTCTTAAGTAACTATTAAGTCCTGGTACGCAGACGAGCCTACGGCCCCATGGTGGTGGTGAATGGGTGGTACAGCCAAGCCCGTGTCTATCTTTGAGTGCTCTTCGCAAGCCTTGAAGTAGAACATGTCATAGCGCTCGGGAGACACAGTGAAAAGATGTGGGTTGCTTTGTGGTCAAAATGTGGTGGTATCTACCAATGCGGGCGGATCTCACTGCCTCGTGCAGAGGCCCTTAAACTCTTAGACTACGATTCTTCCGCGAAATGTTTCAGTATTTAGTTCCCATGTAATTATTTCCGTAACAATGTCCACTTACTAAACCAAAGCTAATTATAAAAAATCGGTCTTTGAATAAATTTTGAATTGTGTTTTAACTATGTTTGGCTGTTTTGGTTATACAAGGTTAGCGTCCACTGTCCTATACTAAATATTCTTCTCTAAGAGACTAAATGCAACCGACATTTAATTAAGCGCCATCGGTAAATTTCGATTGCACGAATTTCCTGTCACATTCGCAGTCATTCGTTCACGTGTCGACTAGCTACTCAAACACCAACCGCGAGGTCATCGAGGAGGTGATGTATCCCCCTCACGCTGACTGGAGGGACACCCTGGAGATCTGCGAGAAACTTGACGAGCACACGCTGAGGGTTATGACTCCAAAGTGAGTACTCCTTAAGAGGACGATGAGATTGTTGGATCGATGTATTTTTTTAAATGTGTAAAATGAAATGAATGGATCTCTTGCGTGTCTAAGATGGGTGATTTTAAGTGGTCACCGGAGCCCATAGACATGAAAAATAAAAATGCTGCCACTCACCTTAAGACATAAGTTCTGTCAGTTTTCAGTTTGTTTTTTCTACCTATGCTGATAGTCTCGAGAGGCTATTTCAGCGTAACCTTAACTAGTAGGTGAGCTCACGGGGCTCAAACCGGAGTGTTGCTAGCATTGGCCCTAGCAAGAGCAGTGCTTCGCAGAATCTACCACTGAATCGGAATCACGACCCACTGAGAAGATCTGGCGAGAAACTCAGTGAGCTGTGTCTGGGCTAAACTCACAAGACAACCATATGGGCCAGGAGCTGATCCGCTAATCGCAGCAGTAAAAAAAAATGTAAATAATATAATTACAATAGAAACGCTAAAATATTCCCGTAAAGTTACTTATAATTTATTTATTTTCAGATATAAACTCCGTCCGTGTGCTTAGTGCGAGTTTTTTAACGTTCTCGATAGCGTAAAAGTTAACTCAAATTTGTATGGAATCTGATCGTTTGCGTACGTTTGCCGCTAGGGGCGCTGTTCCAACTGCATACAAAATTGGGCTAACTTTTACGCTATCGAGAACGTTAAAAAACTCACACTAAGCACACTGAGCTCTCTTTTATGATTTCTAGGTATCTCGGAGAGTTGCCCAATACGTACACCTTCAGCAAGCAGTTAGCTGAACACGCTGTATATGAGCAGAGAGGACAACTGCCTGCTGTTATAGTTAGACCGTCTATAGGTAAGAGCAGCTCCCACGATGAGACAGCTAATGTACTCGTGACGAGCGAGACGATGTCGGCAAAACTCGCAAAAAGGATTTTCTAGTCATCGTGGCTTAAAAGATAAGACGCCCGGTGCATTCGTATCGAGTGAGGCGACTGTGCCGGAGTTCGAATACCGCAGGCGGGTACCGATTTTTCTAACGAAATACATACTTAACTAATGTTCACGATTGACCTCCACGTTTTTTTTTTTTTATTGCTTAGATGGGTGGACGAGCTCACAGCCCACCTGGTGTTAAGTGGTTACTGGAGCCCATAGACAACCACAACGTAAATGCGCCACCCACCTTGAGATATAAGTTCTAAGGTGTCAAGTAAGTTACAACGTCTGCCCCACCCTTCAAACCGAAACGCATTACTGCTTCACGGCAGAAATAGGCAGGGTGGTGGTACCCACCCGCGCGGACTCACAACAGGTCCTACCACCAGTATAAGGAAAGGCTCCAGTCGAAGGAATGTCGTCGTGTAGTAAAAATCAAATCCGCAAAAATCATAGTTTGCTTTATTACTGGTGGTAGGACGTCTTGTAAGTGCGCATGGGTAGGTACCACCATCCTGCCTTTTTCTCTCAGTGTCAGAAAGAATACGGATTATATTAACGCGGTGTTATCCAGGATTCGGCTTTATTAAGTTTGATCGTGTGTGATTAGTATTATTACAGCGTCACATATAGCTACAATAGACATTGCTACAATTCAATTTAGGTAAATTTGTATCACTAGATGGCGCTGTAATGAATAATTTATATAGATTACACGTGATGTAATCTATATAAAATAATTAAAATATGCAGACAGAACGGTCGTGTACAAATGTCTCTAATGTTTTTATCAAGCCATTTTCTATTTTCATCTGACGAGCTTTAAAATTATTAGCGGTTTTTTTTCAAGAAGTCAGTTTTTGTTCTCTAGATCTAAGTCAATCTAATCTAAATCTAATCTAATCTAATCTAAGTCAGTGTATTTTGTCGAATTTTCGTCATTGATCATTTGAGAGAACGCGGGGTTTTACGTCTACTCTCACGGTACATTGCCGGTTCGTGAAGTGAGAAGTCACGAAAACGACAAATACCTGTTTGATTTCTTCAATTCAAAAAGAGACAAGAATCGCAGCAGAATCAATAAAATTTTCTGTTTCCAGTAATAGCGAGCGCTGATGAACCAATTAGCGGTTGGATTGAGAATTTCAATGGCCCCGTTGGAATATTTGTCGCTTGCGGAAAAGGTGAATAGAACAGGAATAAAATAACTACTAATGAGTGCACGGTTCGTCCTACCTATTCGCTGGTAGCCTAAGTAGTAGGTAGGTATAAGCCGCGCCAATAAACAAACGAATCGAAAATGGCGTCTCTGTACCTTCACTGACAGATGGTAGGGTCAACAAAAGAAAGATAGAAAGAAAAAGTTGTTTCTTGTAAAAAAATATAAAAAAGAATAAATGAGAATGTACTTTAACAAAAAAAACGAACAAATGCAACATATAACAACAGAATTTCAGAGAAAACAGAGCGTGTCGAGACAGTTTGAGAACAAAGTCAGAACTGATATTGTTTTTGAATGCAGTACGCGCCGTGTGCGACTAAAGACAGCAATAGCTTAGAGTGAGAGCGCATGTTCGCTGCCGCCATTTTAAATTCGTTTCCTTATTGGCGCGGCTTATAAGCTATTCCAGCTACGCTGTGGCTGGTAGGTGATCTCACGAGCTCAACCCGAGAGAATTTGCTACGAGTATCCCTAGCAAAAGCAGTTCTTTGCAGTCTACTACCGGATCTCTGCTTTTACACTGTGCATGAACGCAGTGGTTCCAGGTAGTATGAATGAATTCTGCTCCGCGGGCAGTGCCATCGGAAAACTAAATCATGGGATCATCTCAAATTCCTCAGAGCAGAGAACAGAAGTCTCTTCTGGAGGCTGCAGAGCTATAAATCATGAGATCAACTCCTTTGGCAATATTGTTACGCGCTGGGGTTCGGGATAAATAAAATTTCACCAAAGTACAACTAAAAACTGTATTCAACACTTAGAACACTTAAACACTTCAGAACACTTTAAAACTCTCAAATCCATTGTTCCGCTTCGCTTCAGGTGATCCGTTCGCTGTTTCGCTTCGAGTAGTTCCGATTACTAACTGACTGCGTGCCATCCCTACGCTTTTATAGCCGATACCTCATCCCCAGAACTATCGAGAATATTCCACTTTTCTAGTAGTAGTTTCCGCTATCTGTCAATAGATGGCGTTGTAATTCTGGAGCATTCTAAATTCTTCTAAATTCGTTCGACTATTCGGCGATAGATGGCGTTACTTCTACCGGCGTAACAATATAATTTACACACTTTTGATTTGGATGATGTTCTGTGACGGCATTTGTATACTTTTCAGTTAAAATCCTATCTGACTTTTATATCATTGGACCCTACCTCCTAACAGGAGTCATGTATTTTTGCAGGAGGCCTAAGATCTAATAAGCTTAGTAGCTTCTAAGTTTATTTTATTTTCTTGCTTAAGCTAAGGTATTAGGTATGCTTTGTAAAAACAAAGTATTTCGACTATGTTTTTACATACCAAACTACATTACACACTAAAGAACCCAAAACACTAAACTACAAAATAAAGACACAACATTTTACGTTTTATATTAATATAGTTTCCCAATTTTTAATAACTAGAAATCAAATTCACCACCCTGTTTACTTTACTTGACGCCATATTTTTTATTTACGTTGCTGCTGTTTTAGCTACAGTCCACATTAAAGCCGAACTGCTTTAGCGACAGCGTAAGCGCGGTAAAATTCGAATTAGAGACCTAATACACTTTTTTAACATATCTATGGAGACTAGAGGTAAGGGACACTATTTTGTATAGGGGACAAGTCGAAAAAGTGTCCACTAGTAAACAGCAAGTTGTTAGGAGGCTCACCGAAATGGCGCTAGTGTAGGACGTGGAAAGGATATGAATACAGTAACTGTAGTTTTAAACAGAGTGAAGTGTGTAGTTTATGGCGCCATTTTTTTAATCTTTCCACTTGCTTCTGTGGCGCCACCATAATTGACTCCATTTCAGCGGACACTTTTAAGCTATTGCATAGCTTTTATCGCGGACTTTGAGCGCGGCGACCGAATCAAGAAATTCCGTAACGAAAATAAAACCTAACACCCCTACTCTGCCCACCATGTAGCTCGCGTTCAACACATTCACACGTTGCGCTTGTGTAGTGTTTGTAAATAAGCGCCGGCGTGACATCGCACTGCATGCGCATCATGAAAAGTCTGCCCTTCTCTCTCTTTTGCGTGGTCTAGCTTATGAGTGTGAAGGGGACAGTTAATGTTTTGCTTTTGTTAATGTAGCGTGGTCTTATTTTATTATTGTTTTGATATTAAATTATTATTGTCTAATTATAATTGCATAAATTGATAAAAAATGCTATGCAATAGCTTTACCACGACCGTCCCCGAGTGCCGTACGTGTTGTTTTTTAATACACTAAGATGGTGCTCCTTATATCTAACCTCCATAATCATATCATATGATATGCCCCAAACAATAATCTCGATTTTGCGCAGGCATAATGCGTACGTTGTATACGAAGCCAGATATTGTATCTGATTACATACCGGTGGATATATGCGCGAAGAACATTATAGTCGCTGCCTGGGCTAGAGGAACGAAGCCGTAAGTAAACTTTGCGATTCTCTGCCGTATTCAAAGGACATTAAGTTATTTTTCGGTGTTACGAATGTGGAAATCCATACGTCACTTCGGATCCTCCTGAATCTCGCAAGCGGGTACCAATTTTTCTAATGTAATACATACTCAACAGTAACAGCAGTGCTTAAAGTATTTACGGGAAATCAAGCCACTGATTCGAATGCATTAATGTAAAAATAGATAGAGCTAGGAATGTGAAATACGTTATGTGTAAGAGGGTAGTGAGCGAAGAAATTGTATATTATAGAGAAGTATGGAATGAGAAAACATGCTCCGCCGTTCAGTCTCCAAATGACTGGGAGAAGGGCACGAAAACGAATGATGAGTTAGATAGAGGAAGGAACGGAAGCCCATCGGACATTTTTCTAATAAAATACGTACTTAACAAATGTTCACGATTGACTTCCACGGTGAAGTAATTACTGGTGGTAGGACCTCTTGTGAGTCCGCACGGGTAGGTACCATCACTCTGCCTATTACTGCCGTGAAGCAGTAATGCGTTTCGGTTTGAAGGGTGGGGCAGCCGTTGTAACTATACTGAGATCTTAGAACTTATATCTTAAGGTGGGTGGCGCATTTACGTTGTAGATGTCTATGGGCTCCAGTAACCACTTAACACCAGGTGGGCTGTGAGCTCGTCCACCCATCTAAACAATAAAAAAAACCCATCATACTATTAATGTACGAGCAGTTAGAACTAAAAACGGATTCGCGTTTTACTTACTAAATTAATTGGAGGACAGATTTCATGAATGTTATTATTTAGTATGTTCCTCGGTTTTCGTAAATCGTAAGCTTAATTAAGAGGCAAGGAGGGAGTGGAGGAACATAGTCCAAACAAAAGTGTCTGTGGGTTAATTTACTCGTCGAGCCCTTCGTCGCAAGTGACCGGTTCGACCGTTAATATGACCGCTGAAATTTACGGTTTAATCTAGCTATATATACTTCCATCCTTCTCTGATCTTAGTTCTGTCCATAGAGTCTTTTTGTTTGGCTAATTGAATAATTAGGTAATGGAAAATTAAAATAAATAATAATCAAACACCAAAAATTTATAATTAAGCATTAAAAATTTACAAATTGTTATCGTTTAATGTGTACTATGCATGGAATTAAATAAAGCTTTATTATTATTATTATTATTTATTTATTTATATTTATTTAAAATCTTATTAATTACATAATATTTTTTAAAAAAAATATTAAAAATACAATTTTTTTAAAACACTATATAAAAATAGATTGCCGCTGATGGCGGTGTCTACGACACAAGCCACCAGTGGTTAGGACTCCAGAGTGAGAAACCTCCTCACAATGCGTGCAGTATCGAGGATAACTGCTTTCTGTATTAGGCCCTTAACCCAGCTGGATAACGAAAGTTTCTTAAGATGTTGATCGAAACTTTTCGCTATCAAGCCGTNAATAAAAATCAAACCTGCAAAATTATAATTTGCGTAATTACTGGTGGTAGGACCTCTTGTGAGTCCGCGCGGGTAGGTACCACCGCCCTGCCTATTTCTGCCGTGAAGCAGTAATGCGTTTCGGTTTGAAGGGTGGGGCAGCCGTTGTAATTATACTGAGACCTTACAACTTATATCTCAAGGTGGGTGGCGCATTTACGTTGTAGATGTCTATGAGCTCCAGTAACCACTTAACACCAGGTGGGCTGTGAGCTCGTCCGCCCATCTAAGCAATAAAAAAAAACCATCAAACTATTAATGTACGAGCAGTTAGAACTAAAAACGGAATCGCGTTTTACTTACGAAATTAATCGGAGGACAGATTTCATGAATGTTATTATTTAGTATGTTCCTCGGTTTTCGTAAGTCGTAGGCTTAATTAAGAGGACAGGAGGGAGTGGAGGAACATAGTCCAAACAAAAGTGCTCCGTAAAGGCCACGACCCTCAGCACTGAGGAACACGCTGCAAACAGGAGGAGACTTAATTAAAACAATTTTTTTTCCTACGTTTTCTAGTAACCTTGAGGGGTTATATTAGATTCGACGAATTAGTAGGTGAGCTCACGGGACTCAAACCCGATGACGTTGCTAACACTAACCCTAGCAAGAGCAGTGCTTCGTAGAATCTACCACCGGATCGGAAACGCGACCCACTGAGAAGATCCGGCGAGAAACTCAGTGCGCTGTGTCTGTGGGTTAATTTACTCGCCGAGCCCTTCGTCGCAAGCGACGGGTTCGACCGTTAGGATGACCGATATTTACGGTTTAATCTAGCTATATTATATACTTCCAACGTTTAGTATCCTTTACAGTTTCCGTGATCACACGATATTTAACCGTAAAAGTGTTTTTAATTCTGCGCTTCCCGTCTTAAATTACAGTCTAGAAAGCTCGGACGACGTTGAGATATATAATTGCTGTTCTGGTGAGCTGAACCAAATTAATATCCAGGACCTGATCGAGATGGCCAAGGAGGTAGGCGCCAGTGTCCCCCTGAATGACGCCTTGTGGACAATTGGAGGAAGCATCACCACCTCGGAAAAACTATACTACATAAGGGTAATTTTTTTACGTCTAATACTAATATCATAAATGAAGTCGGTAAGAGAAGTCGTCGTGGCCTAAAGGATAGAAGTCGTCGTGGCCTAAAGGATAGAAGTCGTCGTGGCCTAAAGGATTTGAAGTCGTCGTGGCCTAAAGGATAAGACGTCCGGTGCATTCGTATGAAGCGATGCATCGGTGTTCGAATCCCGCGGGCGGGTACCAATTTTTCTAATGAAATACGTACTCAACAAATGTTCACGATTGACTTCCACGGTGAAGGAATAACATCGTGTAATAAAAATCAAACCCGCAAAATTATAATTTGCGTAATCACTGGTGGTAGGACCTCTTGGGAGTCCGCACGGGTAGGTACCACCACCCCGCCTATTTCCGCCGTGAAGCAGTAATGCGTTTCGGNGAAATACGTACTCAACAAATGTTCACGATTGACTTCCACGGTGAAGGAATAACATCGTGTAATAAAAATCAAACCCGCAAAATTATAATTTGCGTAATCACTGGTGGTAGGACCTCTTGGGAGTCCGCACGGGTAGGTACCACCACCCCGCCTATTTCCGCCGTGAAGCAGTAATGCGTTTCGGTTCGAAGGGTGGGGTAGTTTTAGCTATAAATAATAAAATATATAAATAAAATAAAAATAAAAATCATTTAATTCAGACCATCTTGAGTCCATATTATTGTTAGTAGGGTAATATTTAGAACTATGTTAGTAAAATTAAAATTAGCAAAATTATTAAAACATTTAAACATTTAATTAATAAATCTGCGTTGCTTTGAGGCACCAGGTACATGGGTATGTATATGAACCCAGTGTCTCAAAACAGCACATTCGGGCTTATTACCTATAGCCATCAGGATATTGTTAGTACTCGCACGAACCCACCGCATCAATGAGGCTGTCCGTTTGCGGATGATTGATGAAAAGTCATCCACGTGAGCATTCGTGAGCATACCTGATGCGCTACAGTACCGCGGGAGCCCCAACAACATCCTGAAAGCATTATTATATTGCACTCGGAGAGCATTGTATGCCCGCCGCGCATATCGAACCCACAGGAAGGCTTTAGAGGAAGAGGTAGACCTAAGAAAAAATGGATGGATTGCGTGAAAGACGATATGCGTAAGAGGGGAGTGAGCGAAGAAATGGTATGTGATAGAGGAGTGTGGAAGGAGAAAATATGTTGCGCTGACCCCAGGTGACTCGAAGAGGGGCAGGAGAATGATGATGACTAATGTCATAAATGCGAAGGTGTGTTTGGTTATACTACTCAAGCGTCGAAATCGAACTTTCTCGATATTACTAGTTTTTTTGTTATTCGTTTCTGCTATTTGATGACAGATGGCGTTACTCTTACCGGCGTAATAGTATTAAGGCTGTTCCCCCACCCTCTAAACTGGAACGCATGACTTCTTCGCAAAAGGATGATCAATTTTTATTAGTCCTTATCATTAATTCCAGGTATTGGTCCAACATCTCTTGCCGGCGATTTTTGTTGACATAGTCCTTCGTATATTCGGCAAAAAGCCTATGTGAGTATTGAATTAGATTACATTTTGAGCACAAAACGATTAGTGCACGGTCCGTCTGGCGTTAACTGATTAAGGGCCTAAAGACTGTCTAATCTTTATTTTATTGCGTTATTAATGTTAGCATTCTCCTGTAACATGCAGTCACGCGTTGTCGATTGAAGACTCCAAACTAATGTCTCATTGTGAGTGTCTGCATTCTCGTACCTTAAAATCAATTTTGGCCCTGAGCATTTACTGGTGGTAGGACCTCTTGTGAGTCCGCGCGGGTAGGTACCACCGCCCTGTCTATTTCTGCCGTGAAGCAGTAATGCGTTTCGGTTTGAAGGGTAGGGCAGCCGTTGTAACTATACTGAGATCTTAGAACTTATATCTCAAGATGGGTGGCGCATTTACGCTGTAGATGTCTATGGGCTCCAGTAACCACTTAACACCAGGTGGGCTGTGAGGTCGTCCACAAATCAAGACAATAAAAAAATAAAAAAATAAAAAAGAATGTAATGAACACCAAAAAAACCTAATAAATCCTTTTTTCAGGCTCTTCAAAATTCAAAGAAGAATCTACATAGCGAATCTAGCGCTTCGGTATTATATAACGAAGCAATGGACCTTCGAAAATAAAAACTTCCTCGCGCTCAGATCTAAATTACTAGAGCAGGATAAAAAACAATTCTATTACCTACTCGAGGGTAGAGATAAAAAGGACTATTTCTTGAAGTGCTGCATCGGTGGAAGGAGGTATCTGATGAAAGAGAGAGACGAAGACATCCCTAAAGCGAAGCTCCGATTTCAGAGGTACGTTTCGTTCTTTCTATTTTCCATTCGTGGATTTCAGTCAGAGAATCTACCACGCTTTTATCGGTAGGCAGCGGCTTGGCTCTGCCCCCGGCATTGCTGAAGTCCATGGGCGACGGTAAACACTCACCATCAGATGGGCCGTATGCTCGTCTGCCTACAAGGACAATAAAAAAAAACGCTAAGAAAATTCCGCACCACGGCTTCGGCTTGGAGTCTATGATAAGTCTAATGTTGTCCATAATTGATTTAAAACTCCATATTTATATACCTGCAACGGCATGCAGCTCCATCTAGCGGATCCAATTGCTAAATTTAAAACACTTGAAGACACAGAAATACACGAAAGAAGCTAAAATCGATTTGTACGACACCATTGTTAATCTTTTCAAATGAAACTGCTATACAGAGTCATAACAAAAAAAGGGTGCGTGTACTTATGTACGCGCGTAAGAAGTTATACTTTATTTTTATTAAATTTAATTCTTTTTTTTAATATTAAATAATTAATAATAAATATTTAACGTTAATAATTTAATAATATTTACTATGAATTATATTAAATAATAATGTTGTCATTTATATTACTGAAAAATGAATGATAATAACACTTTTTTTTACGAGTGTACACGCGCGAAAGTTCACCTGCGGCTATATTCAGACTCGCCAAGTTACGTCGGTCGTATTGTAATAATCGATTTAGCGGGCAACTTTATTTCTGTTAATTTTGTGTCACGGTGCGCGCGCATCGTAAAATTTCACTCTCATCAATTTTTTATAAAGCGCCTAAAGAAGTATAACTTCAAAAATTACATAACTCCTCGCGTTCGCGCCAAAATGTCTAATCCGTGGAGAGGTAAGGAGAACCGTCTCTGTGTTTGAAAAGTGTCCGTTAAAATCTGCTAACTAAGGGTGGCGCTACAGCAGCAACCGGGTAAATTTTAAAAAAGGCGCTGATAGTTATTAAATTATGATAGACAAATAAAAAAGGACGAAAGAACTGTAAGCACTACAAAATCACGAAAAGTATTTTATTTAAAGCTGATAAGAAAATGCAATCGATGTCTCCACATTTTACCGCAGCAATAAATTTAAGTTATATTGATGAAATTAGTTTGGACTACGTAAACTTGGTCTTGTATATTAAACTTTCACTAACTACTCTAGACATTAAATATATTAAATTTCCTAACTCAGCATACTTCAGTCAGTTAACAACTGCTCAATTCATATTTTTTTAACTGTTATTTAGTACTGAAAGTGGGACAATTTTTCAAACTTCTCTCCCATATGAGACGGCTCTCCATACCTCTACCCTCCATAATCTAATCAAAAAAGGCTACAGACTAGACTAGCATATCAGCTTTAGGAGTACCTAACTAAATTTTAATATAATCTGTGATTTTAGTATATAATCAAAACTTCTTTCTAACTTTTTTTTCAGAATGATGGTCCTCGACAAGACAGTGCAAGTAATATTCTATGGATTACTCCTATGGTGGTCCATCAAAATATTTAATTATTATTTCGGAATCTACTGTAATTTTTTTGTAGCCTGATAAATGATTTTGTTATGTGAAAAAAACATTTAATATTTTTTAACGATTTTTGTATTTAGTATTCGATACAGTTTTTATAGACTTTTATTTGGGTTTTATTTTGCGTTTTAAAGAAATGTTATTTTACCGTTCAAGATGTATTCAAAAAATGTGTGACAATGCCATCTATCGACGATTTTAATGAAATATATTTTCCAACAGAGGCGTTTTTTACACGATACATATTTAATAGTAAATGCTTCTTAGTACATTTAACTACCACGTCAATAAAAGAAAAACACAGCATTCATTCAAGATAGAAAAAGAAAGTAAATATTTATTGTGAAATTATGAATAAAAATTACAATCTAATTGATTTATGACGACATTAGATGATATTATATTTATTAGAATAGCATTACATACTAATATGAATTGGCTATATATTTTTAGGCCAAACCAAGCATAAAAATCGTAAAATGCCATATCCACATCTTGCCGAATACAGATTAAAATAAAAGGTAAGTGTCTGACGTTTAATTTTTCCCTCCACAGAAAAGCCTTAGAACATGAACTTCACATTTATGTTGCCAGCTCACAAGAAAATCTCAAATCTAACAGTTAATTCTTTATTTAGATAAGTTTGTTTCCAAACCAAAAATGCCGGATTTGTGTACTTCTTTTGATACCTGTTTTCTATATAGTGTTGTAAAAGCAGTAAAGTGGTTTCTCGATTTAAATTCTTTAAAGGCCTGTGCAATAATTAGTTATTACAGGAATCTTTTTAGAATTTTGGATATCATGTTAATTTAGCACTCAAATCACAATTTTGCGTATAACTTTTTAGGGCAGAGGACTTCAACAGTATTTCACTATCGCGATCAGTCTTCAGATATACGCTTTACTTTGGGCCAGGTTATATTTCGCAAACAAATTGAAAAAATAAAATAAAACAAGTATAAAAAAATCCAACACCGTACTTTTAAAATGATTTAAAAAAATCATATTGAGGTGTACCAATATAGCAGAAAGTAAAACTAGATTATTGATAATCACAAGTTTCCATGACGTATTAAGTAAAAGTTTTATAACGTGGCGCCAAGAGCAAAGAAGAGAGAATTTTTAAAGAAGAGGAAATTCGGGTTGTTAATTGGTCAAATTTCTCAAATGATTGAAAACTGAGACTTTTACTAAAACTTAAGTTTTCCTCTGTTTATGCACTGAGTATTTTTAAATAATCTTATACCTTCATTTTTAACCGCTACGTGATTGACCAACGCAATTTAGTAAATTGATTTACCCAAAAAATTGTGTTTTTCTCTATTCCATCAAGAAAATTCAGGAATGCTTTGAATGTCCTAATTAAATAGAGGCTTAAAAAGTATTGTAAGTTAAGTGTATTGTAGCAGTAAGCAACAGCCTTTCATATAATCAGATGGATCCTACGCTTATATACCTGAAGAAATAATTCTTTGAAGTCAACTAGTATAAATTACAAAATTTCCTTAAAATACTTTTATCTCATTATAAGCAAATATTGTTAGACAAGTTGATAAGTAAGTGTCGAATGATGTAAACAGATCAAAGTAAATAAAAATATTAAAATTTAATTATTACATCCTTAAATGTACTTCAAAAAAAGGTGCTTGCAACACGATTAGTCGATGACATCATGTTTCTGACGTGTACATGCTTATTTTTTAATTTAACTTCTATTCTACGATTTAAACAATACAATGATAGCTATTCAACTCATTATTCATTATTAAAATAACTTAAACAATTTGTAAATGAACAGAAGCGAAAACAATTTTTCAACATCATTCAGTATGACATCACTTTTTACTCTGTCTGCCATTTGCCAACATAACCATAAAGTCACCCCAGTCGTTTTGATAATGTTGGCAGTGCTGCTAGTGTTAATGCCCGCTCTTTCTTAGTCACGAGTGTAGTGAGTGAATAAAACATCTGTGCAACGAATTAAATAAGATTTTAATTAATAATTCCGGTGTGAACAACGAATGTAAGTTAAAATTTTAATATTTCTCCAATTATTTATGCTGATATATTCTTACATCTCGTCTACGAACGTTTTGAAAAATGCCGGCTTGTGGTGGCGATTTGCGAACAGGTTCTGTGATAAAATACTCTTTTTTTCTCTCTTTTTAGTGTATCGAATCTTATTAATCCGGTTTTGTTTTAACTACGGCTCGCTTTTATCATTGATGTATATTTTTGTATCGTGTATCGATTAACAATATAATTTGTTTGCAAAAACATTGAAACATTTGTGTAGGGTAGTTCCATTGGCCATCAGCTAAAAATATATTGTTTTTGAACAACCTATTGCAATTATGTAGAAATGTAATTTAAAAAATATGCGTGAAATGAAATCGTCAACGCATTGTTTTATTTAATAACTAATGTAGATAACAAAGTGCTTTTTTTTTTAGTTTTTTTTTTTTTACAAGATGTAAATACATAATTATTATGTACGTACAGTACATTGAACGCTTCCGTGTTATAAATTTTAAATAGTTACTACATCTTTTAGTTATACGAATTCACCCATACAGTTACGAAACTCGAAAATCTTACCTCTACATTACCTACGTTTTATCATCAAGAACATTTCTTCTGAAACTTTATTTGAACACTTGAATGCAGATAAAACGTACCAGATAAGATTGTGACATCTGCGTGATCCGTATGTGGAACTTATGGAAAAGAAAAGAAACATCAAACCCATACACGTGAAGCATAAGCAAAGATAATAATAATATATCACACAAGTACTTATGTACGTAATTTCATTGAATACTGGTTAAAAGATTTGATAAATCGATTCCAAAATTTTTAATAATTGCATACAGAAGTATATGTTTTTTTTTATTGCTTAGATAAGTGGACGAGCTCACCACCTGCTGTTAAGTGGTTACTGGAGCCCATAGACATCTACAACGTAAATGCGCCACCCACCATGACGTATATTTTTCATTACTTAACCTAAAATGCAACGATTGTCTGGAAGAGATCCCTTATAGCGATAAGAGCGCCTATTGTACAAGTTTTACCTACCAGTGCATTTATTTTCAATGTTAATTGTGTTTTGGGGGAAGAAGGGGTAGAGATCGACTGAAGAAGACATGGATGGAGTGTGTGAATGACGATATGAGAGAGAGAGGAGTGAGTGTTGAGATGACGGCTGATAGAAGATATGGAAGAGAAACATTAGCTGTGCCGACCCCACCTAGTGGGATAAGATGGAGAAAAAGAAGAATAACTGTTTTTGTAGGAGAATTAAACTCACTCTCTTAATAGAAAGGTACAAATTTTCACTGAAATTGCATGGGCAGGATATTACTAAGCAAGCCAGCTTCCGTTTCGTTTTCTTACTTACGGGTACAGCATGTTCTGAATTCCCATAAGTAGCAAGCAGTAGTAAGTAAATGCAAGCAGCGCAGGACCAATCATTATGGGGAGCCTTGTGGAAAGACTACGTCCAGCAGTGGCCTTCTGTGGGCTAATAGATCGAAGCACAAGTGGCACCCTCAAACTCATTTCTGCCGCAACACAGTAACGCGTTCTGTGAGAGTGAGGTTTTAACGTTCTCGATAGCGTAAAAGTTAACTCAAATTTGTATGGAATTGGAACGCTTGCCGCCAGGGGCGCTGTTCCAACTACATACAAATATGAGTTAACTTTTACGCGATCGAGTAGTTAAAAATCTTCGCATTAAGCACACTGGTTTGAAGGCCGGGCCGTCCTCAACTGTTACAATTGACAATCGACGTGATGTTTTAAGATGGCAACAACCAGATTACGTTCACGGGCACCAGTAATTTGTGCCCAACTTACGGACGCTACTACATATTAGTTTGTTTCATGCGAGTTTTTTTTTACTTTTCGATCGCGTAAAAGTTAACTCGAATTTGTATGCAGTTGGAACAGCACCCTTGACAGCAAACGAAGGGAAACCGTTCTTCTACTTACAACTTCATACTACTTATAATTTCGTACAAATTTGAGTTAACTTTTACGCGATCGAATAGTTAAAACACTCGCACTAAGCACACAGTTTCCGGGAACACTCCATTTGAATGTGTATCAAATGATTTCAAGGTATTCGCTAAAACTGCACAGCGATAACGTTATAACGTAAATGAAAGTAGTGCAAAAACTTCGCGCGAATCAGTGAAGGCCGTCGCGGCCGTTCAAGGCTCGACAAAATTAATGTAATGTCAAAGCGTCTATAGGTAGGCTATAGGCTTGAAGGGTGGGGCAGCCGTTGTAACTATACTGAGACCTTAGAAATTATATCTCAAGGTGGGTGGCGCATTTACGTTGTAGATGTCTATGGGCTCCAGTAACCACTTAACAACAGGTGGGCTGCGAGCTCGTCCACCCATCTAAGCAATAAAAAAAAAGGTAATACTTTGTGTACTCCTTTCCTTACCTATTCGCTGGTAGCCTGAGGGGCTTTTTAAGCTACGCCCGGACGGGTAAATAAACGGGCTCAACCTAAGAGGACTAGCTAACACTAGCCCTAGCAAGAGCAGTGCTGAATCTACCACCGGATCAGAGCCGCGTGCTTGCTAGAAGATCCGGCGAGAAACTCGGTGAGCTGAGTGTGTTGACTACGCCGTTGTTAGTTATACTAATTAGTTCATATAGTTCACCACAAGAAACGCTCTTATCACCTAAATCGTTCACGAACTATCCGGAATCGCGTGCCACCGAGAAGATTTGGCGAGAAACTCGGTGGGTTGAGTATGTTGACTACGCCGTTGTTAGTTATACTAACTAGTTCATATAGTTAACCTCAAGAAACGCTCTTCTCACTTAGATCGTTCGCGAACTACCCAGAATCGCGTGCCACCGAGAAGATTTGGCGAGAAACTCGGTGGGTTGAGTGTGTTGACTACGCCGTTGTTAGTTGTACTAACTATTTCATATAGTTCACCTCAAGAAACGCTCTTCTAACCTAGATCGTTCGTGAACTGCCCGGAACCCCGTGCAACCGAGAAGATCCGGCGAGAAACTCGGTGGGTTGAGTATGTTGACTACGCCGTTGTTAGTTATACTAACTAGTTCATATAATTCACATCAAGAAACGCTCTTCTCTGCTAGATCGTTCGCGAACTACCCGAGACCATTGAAACGTGGGACAAGGGTTTTGAAGATAGAAGAGACGGCATTCATGTTGTGAGGTCTATGGGCACCGAATACTTACACTACGGCTATTTAGTCCAAGTAGCAGCAAACAAAAAAACTAACCAGGTATTCGTGTAAAAGCGAACGAATTGCAGCGACCGTGTCGTAATGCCTAAACATATTTATTATTCTAGTCCCGGAGTGTACTTACCTGGTAAATTTATTATCTCGTACGAACGAGTCTCCGGTCTTAAAAACCACCAGGTGGGCTGTGAGTTCGTTCACACATCAAAACATTAAAAAAAAAACTGAATCGGACATGAGTCTATACTTCTTCTTGCTCTTATCCAACATTATGTTTGGGCAGTTCCTCCTTATCATGCTGCATAGGGATTTGGCATGAGTCTTACGACTGTCCGCCTGCCGCCTGTCTGACGTCAACCCTACTTAGGTTATATCAGCAATATTAAATCCATTACAACATGCCACAGCAAAATCACTATTTTGGTTCCGACTTTTATTACTATAAACATTCACATAAATATAAAAAATAATTTATTTATTTATCTCTTAGATTAAATTTTATTTGAGTGTGTGGCTGAGTTATTCGCGTCAGTATTCTAAAGACTATACTCGTGTAGTAATTGTTACCATATTTATATGTTTATATGTATTTTTATATATTTATATGTACAACCGAACGCACAGAATCCGCAGCCCTAAACGGAACCGGCGATTCTTCTTGAAGCCATAATGGAGTGTATGATATCAGTAGTTATAAATATTTTATGAACAGATATGAGTAGAAGGATTATTTTGATAATATTCTGGAAAGCACCCCACGCTTTTTACAATAAAATAATTTTTTCCTACACTATTTTTAATTCAAATTTATTAAAATTTATATTCTATTTTTTATTTGGATCTTCTAATAAAAGCGTATTTTTTTGTTTTTTATATTTTATTATTTTTATAAATCATTATTATTCCATAAGCCATCTATCGATCGTGAACGTGAAGTATAGCATCAAATTCATTAGTTCTCCGTATTATATATCTAGACGTTAATTAACATAGAAATTGATGTATGCAGACACATATGCTTCAGCGACAACACGCACATGGTCACAGCGATATGGCTATGACCGTATGCGTCATAAATTATAAAAATAATGACTCGCTTTATGACTCATTTGCTCAATAAAAAGTTAAGCGACGGAAAGTGAATGCAGTCGTCTGCCTTCGAGTGAAAACAAAAGTGGCCAATGATTTCTTCTTTTTTTATTGCTTAGATGGGGGACAAGCTCACAGCCCACCCGGTGTTAAGTGGTTACTGGAGCCCATAGACATCTACAGCGTAAATGCGCCACTCACCTTGAGATATAAGTTATAAGGTCTCAAGTATAGTTACAACGGCTGTCTCACCCTTCAAACCGAAACAAATTACAGCTTCACGGCAGAAATAGGCAGGGTGGTGGCACCTACCCGCGCGGACTCACAAAAGGTCCTACCACCAGTAAAAAGTAAAGTAATATTTTTATAAACGGTATGAAGCGACAATGTTGGCCTTTACAATCACTACTTGGTTAAATGTGGTCTCATCTAGCTCATAAATCTGCTTACAGATTCCTTGGCATTGCCCTAGTCAAGCTACTGATAAACTCTTGAGAGTTTGCGATCCATTGTTTCAGTAAATCATTTGAAAAATCTCCGAAATCAACGGAGCAGGATTTATTTTCTTAATTGGTACTTTAATTTCACACCATCCTCTATGGGGCTTAAGTCGGGCGAATCTAGCGAAATCTTATGAGAAAGTGTTATATAGCTGTTTTCCTAATCCAAATATAAGTGGTTGTTTGTATGATTGTA